CTACCGTACTATTAGTATTAGTAGTAAAACTATCTAAAGTATAGTCTTAAGTTCCGATCGAGATAGTTAGGTAAGTAGTTCCTTCATCGACGCTACGATTACTACCCTCCGGAAGGAATCTAATGTAAAATACTTAGTAATTTTAAGTCTAGTATTCAACTTTTAGGTTACTTAAAGTAAGAACTAAGGAAAGTTAGCTAACTTTCGATATTAGGGAGACGTTAACGACTATTTAAGACGGATTATAATTATTAACGATAGTCTATAGGGAAGAGGATACTATTAGCTCCTCTTTATAGCGGACGGAACTACTTAGTTATACTTAGTTATTAACTTAAAGCCTTATCTCTTAACTAGAGCGAGGAAAATACTCAATTTCTTCATTTAATAACTAAAAGAGCGTGTTTTTAGTATACTACCGCGAGAGATCACTCTAGTATCTAACTTTCAAAACGACACTAATAGCTATAGACTATAGACGATTAGAAATATAGAGGTAATCCTTAATACTAAAACTTACGAGACTATACGCCTCTAATTAGCACTATCCGCTATTTAAGTAGACATCGAAGATCGCTTTAATATTGTATACTATATCTTTCGAATGATTAGACGAGATATAAAGCGAGTAAATAAATTAACGAAGTTGGAGCTCCCCAGCCCGAAGGGATTAGACGAGAGATAGGTCGATAACCTCGTAAAGATGTTAAAAGGTATTAAGAAGAACTAAGAGAGCTTATAACATCACTAAGACTCAGACCTTAAGCGAGGGCGTTAAGGAAGCGAGTGATAATAGGAGGGATATAATAGGGGAGAAAGGTAAGCTAGAACGTAATTAGTGGAATTAGCCTATATAATGTATAGGTAGGTACTCTTGATTATTAGTTAGTAGGGATATAGGCATTAGGTCTAAGTTTTCCTTTCTTTTTCCTTAAGTAGAGAAGGATATACCGTAAGATACGGTAGAGAGTAATTAAGTTATCTATCTAGTTATAGAACCTATCTAATTAGGACCTTCTATATTATTATTATTATTATTGAGCGATAGTCGTTACCCCTACTACTATACCTACTGCCGTACGAGTTGATACCTCTAGCTAAGAGCCTCGCCCGAGTTCAGTAGGTAAAGGCTAGGGAGTCTTTCTTGTTAAAGCTTTTACTAATTAGTGTTATATTAGCGGCCACTTACTATAGTACCTAGGCTAGTTAGCGTTATCTCATATAGAAGAAAGAAGTTCTTAAGGAGCGTCTATATAAAAGCTACTATTCGTGATATATATTCGCTTACCGGGATCGATTCCGATACTAAGGCTTTAGTTAATATCTAGGTTTACTAAAAGAAGGAACGTAGGAAATTATCTCTTAACGCTTCGGAGCGTATATATTCGTATATAAGTCGAACAAGGGTAACCTACTTGTACGGCTCCTATATTTATAAAGGCTTATATACGTTAATAACCTCCCTAAAAATACGCGTTACTTCTTATCGTTCTTACGGGCTAAGCGCTAAGGTTACCGTAAGTAAGTTTATCACTCCCTTAAGGGACGCCCGGTAGCGATAGTAGGGAGAGATAAATGATATCGCGTATTAACGATTTCCTACTCCGTGTAGGTTCTCGAGGTCTTCTTACGCGTCAAAATATTACTAAAGCTCTTAGTAAGGTAGCCTTGTTTATAGTGGAGCCTTAAAAGTAACCTATAAGGCTGTCGCCCGTGGACGGCCTATTACGTGGAGACCTACGGAATGATCTAGAAATGTTACCCTTTCTACGGCCTTCGCCCGTAGAGTAGTAGCTACTTTAACATTATCGATATAACTAGCTATATTATAGCGCCTAACCTCGTAGCCTCCTAATATACCCTTAGCTAGAGTATGCTTAAGGATAGGCGCCTTAAAACCTAGTAAGTGGCGGAGAACCTCCCCTATAGTACCCGGACAGTTAAAGCACACTACGCTAACATTCGTCGATTCGGTACTACTACTATACCCCGGAATCGTGGCGGGTACCGGCGATCTATTACCCCTTCTATGCTTAAGGTATTGTTCGAACTTCTCGAAGAATAGGACGATCTATACCTCGATGAGATAGTAGATTTCCTTCTAGTTGAGTACGATTGTCGAGTCTTAGTATCGACGATCAGCAGGACTCTAAGGTCAAATGGGTGGACCAAAAAACAGGAATAACAGTAGCGAAAATCATCTACCTCTCAGGCAGTCGCTGCAGCACCGTATCATAATGTTGGGAACTCAGGTCCTAGTGCTGCCACCTTACCACATCCGACTCAGAAGGTGCTTCTTGGGTGGACTGAGCCGATGTCCTTGCTTACCTCTAATCCGACTTCCCACAGCTAAGTTTCTATTGGTGGCAACAATTGTCTGGACACCATCAAGAGGAATTCGTCTTCATCCTTGATGAGACCTGGTCGCTGTATTTCTGCCCTCTCCAACTTCCTTCTCTCACGGTTTTCTACACCTCTCTCTGCTCACCAGTCTCCCTGCTTCACTGTCTCCTTGTCTCTCTTCCTGGCATATGTACACGACAAGTTTGCTTCTGCATACTATACGGTTCAAGATCGATCCTACTGACTGCTCCTGTCGCTGCCTCGAAATGAATTCGTTTGACACCCCCATACATACTCCGGGAACAACGCCATGTAATCTTCTGCTTGGATTTTATCGGCTGAGGACATGTGGACGCCTATGAACTCTCCAACTCATCGTGATGTTCCGGAATCTGGCACCTCAATCATCTCGCCGTTTTCTCTGTCGGATCCTTTGAGTCCTGTCTTTGGTGCCCACCACCATGCGAGCCACCCCATCGACTACTTCACGCCACCACAACCTCTCAATCAATACTTCAATCACCGGATTCCGTCAAATGACCTCTCGTCGCCAGTAGAAGGGCTGCAATGTGACTCTCTTTAATCCCGGCTGCTCTTCTTGCCGCTGAGATATCTACAGGGGTCAGGAGGGAGCAGTGTGCAATCTGTTTGCGATGCTGGAGACAAGATGTAGTGGCCTTGAAGGCTAGGGCAGGCACGGAGTAGTGTCGGGTCGAGGCTACCTCTTGCCTCGCCTTACCTTCCTCCGGTGCCGCAGGTCTTTCCTTGTCACACCCTCTTCTTTTCTTTGTTGTCGTTGTCACACTTCATCTCTACTCTAAACGGTTACTACCTAATATCTCATGATAAGCCACGGGCAGTTCCACCGGATGTTGTCACGGGGCAAGCTCATGCCTGTCAGATTCTCACGAGAAATCTCGGCGTCTCTGGGGCAAGCTTGACTGAGGGAGCGGAGTTTTAGAACAAAGTCTGAATTTGTGGGGTCTCTGAGGATTGAGCAAATGTGACGGCCACCTCAAGCCGAATCACGGAAATATGGCCCGTTGAGTTTGACAGGGACCGGACCCATGCGGAAATGTGTGCACGGAAGTGCGACACTTACCAGCGGACGGCCCGGCTAGCGGGCATGATCCTTGGGTGACAGGCAGCACGGAACGGCAAGTGCTGAAACTCGAGCAACGGTATTAGGTTTCTAAGGAAAGGACTCTTATATTATCTGCGTACGAGTGCGGCTCGTGGCCGAGTAAAGGGTGGGTGGGCTACTACGCAAGATGTAGCAGAAACTCGATGATCGGCTCCATCCTTGTCCCGAACGTCTGTGATGACCACGAAACGAACGGCTTGTCCAAGGCAAACATCCGATCGCGGTGGTAGAGAAAGCTGTGTACACGTGCCATGAGGAGATTGGTTTCAAGGTCGAAATCGGCTGACCCTCGAACATGGAGGCATTCCCCAACAGTATATCACCACACGTTGCCCTTGGTCTGCTTGATCTTGCCGACATTGAGGTTCCTTATCATGAATACTGCAACAAAGGCCAAAGCCATAAAGGAAGTTCCAGCAGCAAGCATGCGAGTTTGAGCATAAGCATAGGCTTTCTGAATACCAGTACGGGTAGCGGAGCCCTTGGGGTAGCTGAGTTGGGTGTCAAAGTCGTTGTATATGTCGGACAAGTCTGGTAGCGCGGACGCCGGAAGATACCTCTCTAGAGCCTTCTCGAAGACGTTTGTCCAAATTGCGCCCGAAATAGTGTAACCAATCGAGTCGCCCACGGTTCCAGTGACGTTGAGCAAAGCAAGGGCCGCGGCGACGTATTGGTGATCGACAGCAGCCAGAACAGCGACCTGACAGCATATGATAAAGACGGCACCGCCAATAGAGATAAAGATCTGGGTCATGACGATGTAACCAACGTATGGGTCCGGGTTCCGGAAATAGATCATCAGACCTTGAGCAAAAATATAAAGCGGGACAGCAATCCACAAGAGCCACTTGAAGTATCCCGTCTTGCGGATCCCGTAGCCGACACAGAAGAGGAGGAAACCAGACACGACGCTGAAGGTATTGTTGACGTAGCCGGCCTCTGCAACGGTGAGGTAATTGACCACCTGGAGGAAGGAAGTAAAGTAGCTGTTCCAGCAGTAATAGGATATCTGATAGACAAAGTCCAGAAGACATGCGCCCATGAGTGTCCGGTCGGATAAAAAGTTGAACTTCATGAAGGGAACCGGCGCTAGGAAGAGCTCGTTGAGGACAAAGGTCACTATGAGGACGAATCCAACCACAATCATGGCAATAATGTAACCCGTTGCCCAGCCATCAGGAGCAATGGACGCAATGTTGAAAGGGAGGAGGAAAATGATCAGGCCGGCGGCGAACAGGAACACACCGAGAACTGTATAGGACGTTAGCTGAGGTTGGAGTCCCGGGCCCGGTTGGAGCGTACCATCGAATTCTTTGGTGTAATACCATATACTCTCCGTCAAGGTCCGGCCGCTTGCCTTTCTCTCCTTCAGCAGACCCTGCTTCTTAGCCTTGCGGAGGTTGTAGACCAACACGAAATACAAGGGTGCGCAGACAACAGGCGTGATAAAGGCATAGGTGGCGTAACCCCAGGACCAACCTATGTCGGCGAGCATACGATCGGAAGCATATGACCCAGCAAAGGCCGAGATCATATAGGGGGACGAGGTGAAGGCGTAGGCCAGAGCTCGAGTCCTCAGTGCGGTGGCATCAGCGGTGACGACGTCGATGGTGTAGATGAGACCGGTGAAACCAACGCTGTAGAAGACCTGGAGGAGGTTTTCTGTCAGCATGCTGCGTCAGGGTTAGGACAACAGAGAGCTTCTATAACTTACGTTGGCAGCACAGTAGGTTGACAGGTTGTGACTGACGGCCATGAGGATGAGACCAAGCTCGCAGAAGCCGACCATGGTCAGATAACCCTCGGCGCGGCCCCAGACGTCCAGAGCCTTGGCCAAAGGAATGAAAACTGCGGCAGTCATGGAGCTTGAGACGACGCCAATGACAGTTAGGAGCGAGTGAGAGTCCCAGGCGCTCGTGACATATGGCGCAAAGTTGCCGATGGTCGAGCCTTGGAAGGCATTCAACAGGTATACCAACCACATGCCGACAAAGGCGCAGGCCAGAGACCTCCTGGACCAGACTATGGAAGTAGCCTCCATGGCCTGGACACCAGCTTGTGCATCTTCAGCCGGGGCTTCTTCATCCGGTTTCTGCGCAATGTCTGTTGTACTGGTGGTTTTGGGCACTGCGTTGCCTTCGAGGTTCTTATCGTCGGCCGGGACCATATCGATACCACCAACATCCGAGGCTTGGGCGCCCCGTTCCCCTGCCTGCCCAGCCCGGTCCCTGAGTCGGTTAAAAACATCCATGGCTGGTTTGAGGCGAAAGGAAGGAAACTGGCAAATTTACAGGAGTAGGCCAACGATGGCTGCAGCTTGCGGTTTTATACCTCTTGGCCTCTGGCCGGAGGCACGAGGCCGAGCGGTCTCCGCACTGGAGACAAGCCCGATGCAGTAAAGACGGATCAGATAAGATGAAAATTTTGTCTGGTGCTAGGCAAGTGGGTTCTGCTGGGTATGCTGGCCTCCTGGTAGAACCCTCGCCACAGGAGACGACGCTAACACCTCAATGCAACATTGCTAAGAATCCATACCGTCGCCCGGTGAATTGTACACAGTAGTCGACGTGGCTAGGAACCGATCGGCGATGCCATTGGGAGAGAGCATTGGGGCTTCTGCGGAACCTGAAGTATAGTACTACTGAGTAGAGCTGCCACTGGGATGGAGACAAGCATCTAGCGGGGGAAAAGCTTGTGCTATTGGGCCCCGCTCGGTATCTAATCTCGGAACATCTAATCTGATTGACAACAGAAAACACGGAAAGAACGGCATGTTAAGGCGAACAGAACAGATTCAGCCCGATCTTGAGGAGTTCCCGATCTTCCAGCTTCCTTTCCGCAATGGCCTTTTTAGCATGCACGATCTTCTGGCCCTTATGATTTGTTCCCTCGGTTTAACTACCAGAGTCAGTGACATGAATCTTTGGAATGCGTGACTCGATGGAGGAACATGATGAGTTGTGGAGGACTCATATCCTATCGACGAATAGGAGCAAACCTGGTAAGGGTACCGAAGCGCCGAGCACGGAATCTCGAGAAAACACCTGTCGCGGAAGACCACAAGAAGCTTGACGCCCCCGACGGCTGCTAGGGTCGGCCGCTCCCGAATACAGTGGTGAGCAAAAATCCAAAAAATTAGTAGTTTTACCGAGGGTACAACAAGGGTTACACCGCCATATACGTATATAGCGGTGTAGGTCTACGCACTTTAGAATAGTATAATTTATATAGTAAATAGCTATCCTATAGTATATAACGTGGGTGTATAGCGAGTCGCGCAGCATAGCGAGTCGCGCACTTTCCCACTACCGTATGACAATCTAATTCAATTACACCACCACTATAAGATATATTCACTTAATCTACTCAGAACTATATACATCAGATATTTCTTTATCCTCCTGACATATACGTACATTATACCTAGGCTTTCCGTAGGTACCATATCGTCGTTAAGTTAGCTCACCCCTGTTACGAGTCGCTTCACACGTGAGGTGTTACTAGCAAACCCTGTATGGTTTACTTAGTAATATAGTAGTGGGATGGAATAGCTGAGACGAAGCCAAGAGTATAGTATACGAGCTATACGTAAAGCGTATAACCGAGAAGAACTCGATTATTTATAAACGAAGTTAACTACGAAGGATAACTATGAGAACCACCTCGACTATATAGAAAGGAAACTCGTAGTGCTCTGTAGTGCTCTGTGCTGCTCTGTCGCGGTCCACTGTAGAGCATGCAGTCCACTCTGTACCGCTCTGTGATGCTCTGTTGCAGTCCGCGGCAGAGTACGCAGTCCAGCTTCCTCCTTCGGGCCTAGCCGTGCCTTGGCACTTTTGCATGCTTTGTCTTGTCTCTTCTTCTTGGGTCCCTCCCGGGGTCAGGTTGTAATAACCCCCTCTTGTACGACCACCACTTATACGCCTTTCTTATTCCACCTACTAATCTATATCCCTCTAGTCAATTATATCCTATATATCTCGTATAGTAAGTTATGAGGGTTTAGAAAGAGTTCTATAACTAGCTAGCTAACCTAGTAATAAAGAGGATAAATCTAAGGAGAGAGAAGAAGGAATAACGTCCCCTCCCTCTCTCCTTATATCGTACGCTCCTCCGTAAGGGGTACTTAATATCTTCCTCTTTCTCCTTTATCCTTCCTCCTTCGTATATGCCTTACGTTCCCCTTACCTTTATCTCTCTTCCTTACCTTCCCTTATATACGGTATCTTAGTTACTAGGATCTAGTATCCCTTATACTATAGTCGCTTCGTCTAATCAGGAGGCGTATTTTACCTATATAATATATAGGCGAATTTAGCTAATTAGGAAGTAGCGTTGGTCCTAGCGTGGGTCTTGGCGCTAGTTCGTCAGAACCGAGCCTTCTCCTAGGTTCAACCTATCACAGTGTGTCCTTATTGTGCATCCTGAAATGCAACGGCTTGGAAGTCCCTGCACTGTCATTTGGTCGCCTACCTTGCACACCTCTAAGACAGCCTCCTACACGACGCAAGTGATACCTGTGACGATCGAGCTTGATCCTTTCGGGTCTCGGTGCAGGGAGTGAGGAACATTCATGATTCAGATCCGAGAACGTCATTGTGAAATGTGTGAGACATCAGCCCTAGCCGCTTGGGGCTTCAATGACCCAGGCGAGCCAGTAATGGAAGAGGCGAAAAAGAGACCCAGCATCCATTCAACTAGCGTAAAGCTAAGCGGTGCAGACGTGCAAGTCGCAAATAGATGTCGGAGGAGGGCTTTTCGAGCTAGAAGCCATCGATGAGCCAACTATGACATGACGCAGGAATGCGTCAACAGGAGTCTGCAAATGTCTAGCCAAACCAAGCTTCTCAGCATACAACTTGATGGAAAGGACCGATATTTCGAGGCGTTTAGGAGATCGAACTCCAAACACTCTCAACTTGAATACCCAATCTAGACGCTTAAGATTCGCGACCGTTGGAAGATATATTTGATCTCCATTAGGGCACGTTAGGAAATGGACAGCCTGGACCGACACTTATCGGATCTTATAACAGCATTTCATATCCTTCACAAGCACCAGGTGCTCGATGAACATGGCCAAATATCCGTACGCAATCCAGTTGATCCTTCGACTTTTTTCACCAGCAATGTCCCCGCCATTCTGATCTCGTCGAAGGCCGATCTGAATCAATGGCGTGTTGCTGACGGCTCTCCGATTGCTAATCCGTATGACGGATGTCACAAGATCGACGAAGTCTCTGATCTGTCCGAACATTACATCCATAGCTCCATCTACGACCGATTCCCTGGTGTACAAAGCATTATCCATTCACATTGTTCGAGCGCAATCGTTTATGGGCTATGTGATAATTGGCGGAGTATGCCGCAACCTAGCTATCTAATGGCTGGGTTTATAGGGCCTTCGCCGCCCATTTTTGACATTGCACAATTCTATGAGAGCCTACCACGGTCGCATCCGCGGAACTTGCTGGTCAACAATCAGTATCTCGGAGATAGGTTGGCCGGAATGCTCGAGAAATCCAACAATAATGAGGTGGTAATGAATGGGGTGGTAGCAGATGTACATAAACAAAAAGTTGTCTTTCGACGAGGCCATGGTTACACGACCTGGGCTGGGAGTATCGAGGATGCAGTATGGAGGGCTATACATATCCGGCGGGATGCAGACATTCAAACCACTGCCAAGAACCAACGAGACGCGACAGACCTGCACGTCGTTTACCTTACAGAAGAGGAGGCCAGAGACTGTGAAAATACAACAAACCGTGCTTCGCGCGAGCATTGGCTCGCATGGCCGGCAGAGGCGGACAGGTCAGGATTCTGGTAGCTCCACATTTACGAGGCACACACACCCTCGACTCCACAATTTACCCTTTGAGACCTCCCCAGAGTACCTATGCACGTGCTATGCAAGTAGGTAACTCAATAGCCCCTCACATGGACATCGTCATCATCATCGCCATGACCAGAACACTGAACCCGACGAATTGAGAGAGTCTCGAACCGTGGTTTCGGCTGCACCTCGTCACTCTTGGGTACTAAGGCCCTAGTCCAGGCACCGTATCAGTTTCTATGCAGGACTTGTTAGCACAAAACGCAAAGTCATGCCATATTGGCCGGGGTTTCGAGTCTCGAGTCTCGACCATGACATCCGTCTTCAGCCAAGTCTCATAACACACTTGGCCGTCTGCGTGTGCTCTCTTTAATCATCGTAATTCCCCCCAGAGTACTTTGGTTTTGAGTTATGGTTGATTACCAGATGGTTCCAGACCGTGGGGAAGTATACTCCCGTGGGCAGTTCCACGTGTATGTTCGCGTGATATTTCCCTCCGTGTACCACCTATTATGTACTACCGCTGAGTGGCCATGTGGGGTACAGGTCACTATTACCTCATACTCTTCGAGCCATTCCCCAGACACTCTTCCGACCCAGGACGGATATCACCACTTATCCGTCTTCTCATTGACCGTCTTTGGATCCGTCGGCGCCAGCACGGGCGGATTCACCCTCGCCGCGCCCCCCAACGTCTCCCCGCTCGGCTTGTACCCGACACTGCACATCAAGTCGCCCCGGTCCGTCATGACGGGGTTCTTGTAGAAGAAGACCCCCGAGCACGGAAAGACCAGCTTGCTCGCCCGCCCGATGTCGTTGGCCAGCACGTTCTCCAGGCCGCCCAGGTTGTCGAAGTTGAACGTGTTGAACCAGCCCTCGAGCCAGTCGATGATGCCGCCGAACTTGTCCTTCAGGTCGCGCTTGTCGCTCGCGTCGTAGTCGACGCGGTGCCCGCGGTCCGTCATGATGATTTGGAGGCCGCCGTCGTTGACGGATTGGAGGGTCAGGTTGAAGTTCCATTTGAAGGAGCGGTGGAGGCTGTGTGTCAGAGAGGTAGATTAGTGCCATGTCCGTGTCACAAGGGTGGAGAGATTGGTCTGGTCTGTGTCTGTGCCGAGTGATATGCATGCATGTATGGGATACGTACTCGTCTGCCTTGCTGGCCGCATTGTCCTCAAGTCCCCACCATATCTCGCTGTACAGGCGTATGTACGAGGTGCCTTCGACGTTGATCGTCGGGCTGTCTCCAGTGGCGGTGATTTTTACCTCGCAAGACGCTACAGGGTGATAAGAAAATTGTCAGCATCGAATCCGCAGTTCCTAGCCAGTCGACCAGATCGCAACAAGGACACGACGAACTCACATTCAGCAGTAACTTTGATCGACTGAGCGCCGTGGTCGCGTTTCAGATCCTGAGGCCAGGACTTTGCAAACGTCCAGACCGTTTTCGGACCATTTTGGGTCTTGTTGAATTTGTATTCGCTGTCTTTGACGTTGCCGGGGTCGTTGATATGGAGATTGACTCCCCTGTTTTCCAAGTGTCAGTTTTCAAAGCTTTGGGGACGGCGTCGATAGGGAAGATAGGGAATAGCCATTCATACATGGCCCACGTCGAGTTAGCCCACGCTCCGGCACTCAAGTCCGACCACCCAATGGCCATTCGGGCAATGATGTCTCGCAGCCTGGGAAATAGATATTGGTCCATGAAATTGCCGGATGTCATGACAAAGGCGCCCAGGGGGAGGTCGTCTGGGACGTTGTCCTGCCCGTTGCTCGTCGAGATGGACCCGGCGGTCCAGTTGCCGTCGTAGCCGAGATACTTTTTGTCCCCCGACGGCATAGGTGGCGCGTCCTTTTGGCCCGGGTTGAGTGTCTTCTCGAGGTAGCAGAGGTAGTTCAGCCTGGAATTGCCGGTCGTGCCGTCCCCGGCGGCGTTGCCGTTGGATTTGTACGGATATGTCTGGAACTGGAGTCCACAGGGGACGAATATCGCTTTGGGAGACTCGACGACGGCTTTGTTCTGGGGGCCGTTGGTCACGTAGCCGAGGACATTCAAGTCTTGCATGTGTAGCATTGTGTCTGCGTCCATGGGTCAGCTCTTCAAGGTTCTCATGCTCCGTCACATATGGTATTACAGGCAACATACTGCTTTGACCCTCGCCGATTGTCGTCATCAGGATCTTGATGTTTTTCAGGCTGTCTTCAGACAATTTGGGTGTTTTGTCGTTCTCATACCCGCCAAAGTAGGACTGAGTCATTGTGGCTGAGCTGATGTCGGGATCTGTACCCATGTTAGACAATACAAGCATGGCTTTTAAACAGATGTCTGTATCACCTTTCATATTCATGATCAACTTCTGGATCGAGTAGTCACCCGGAATGTCGTGCTTTTTGCGCAAGCTCTCCAGCACCTCTGGCTTGCCGATGTCCGCCAGAGCTGTGCCATGTCAGCCGCCACAAACCTGAGTTGAAGAACGGAATACTTGCCAATGTTGACGGAATAGGCGAAATACCAGTCCTGGATCGGCCATGTGAGAGGCGTCGTGTCCGTCCAGCTTTTCTGGGTCTAACACGGTGTCAGCAATGAGAGGATTTGTTCAGAAGAAAATGGACATACCACAAAACTGCCGCTGGTAATGTGGATCTGGTAGAGGAAATGGTATTTGTCTTCGTCACTGTAGTGCACGACAACCCTGGGACAACCCAGTTTGAAGTCCTTGAAAGCAAAGGTCCCTGGACCGAAATTCGGTATCACGGCGTCAGCTGCGTGGCCAGCGCTGACGGCGTTTGCTTGGTTGATCGCAAACAGGTCCTGGAGTGCATTGTTGATCATTTGTCTGGTTGAAAGGTTAACAAGAATGGCAAAGGGGAGTCGAGGGTTAAGACTGAGCCTACTGCGTAATGGCAACCACTTGGTCGTACTCGCCAATCTGGTCATATGGGATCAGTACATGAGGAAGAACTTTATCTGGATATGGATGGTCCTTTGCGTACAGATGGTGCCATTGTTCCTCTGTCGTTGCACTGCAAATTCTGGATCTGGCTCTATGGCAGGCTGGAGGACTTGGACGAAGGCTCGCTGGGATGGTTGTGCAGGAGTTGTTCCTTTCTGTGTAGAGACCGAAGATGACCCCTTTTACAATAACCATGCATGTGACAGAGCGAAGAGCTGGCCAGCGTCTCCAGCGTGGCTGAGAGTTTGAGAGCTGAACCTGGTTCTAGACCAATATACACCTGATCAGCCCTGAAGCTAAATACCGGGTACTAAGCACCAGGTCGATAATGACAAGGGGAGGACGTGCACGGTCACTTGTCAAAGACTGTCGAGGTTTCAATGGAGGAGAGAATGGATTGAATGCAATGAATACGAGGTCCGTACCAGCCACGCAAGCCGCTTGACAAGCTGCCTCAAGCTTTATTCTCTTTGCGGGCCGTGCTGCTTGTCTGATGCTGATGTGGATGCAGATGCTGGGGGCCTCGAACTCAAACACCATCTTAGTATCGTGCTGATATGGGGTTCTGGGGGATCACATTCTGGCCAGACCAACCTGGAGTTCGGAGGATAGTTGGGGCCTCGTATACTTCGCCAACCCACGAATCAATTCACTCCCGTCGGTATCAGGTGCTTCTCCACTTCTCTAATGGTCACAACATGTGAAATCCAACTTGACGCCAGCCACGGAACAGCTGGTGACATGCTGTGGATGGTAGAATGTTGCAGCCTGTCGAAACACGTAGCATTACGAGGGATGGGTTCGCGCATTGACCAAGACCCCGCTCGCATTATGCTGAAAGAATAAGGATGGGCGGATGCCTCGATGTTTAGCGGGTTTCGTGAACTGCCAACTTACAAGATCAAGATGGCGAACATTACATTCGATACGGAGTTGATGGCCAACCATATCGCTGCCACGCCGGCGGCGGCAGGGTCTGTGTTCACCACGGTGCTTGAGCCCATCACGCGGAGACCAGCCGTGATTGGCTTGAGCAATGAGAGTCCCCTGGTGCTTGAATTGATCAAGGTAGGACTTCTTCGAGGTCGATTCCGTTCGGATACTATAGTGACCGTGAACAGGAAGACGACGCCGGCAACCGTAACTTGGTGGACCTCGGAGGAAAGCTGAATCTACCTAATGGAGCTGTCATACAAGCCTTCGTGGCAGAGCAGGATGAGGCCTTGAAGATCTATCTCGCTGTCGCCGTCAAGAATGACAAGAGCTCCGATGTCTATGTTTGTAAACCCTTCCTCCTCGACAATCTGGATGGAATTTCCTTGTACCCGAAGCAGACCATGCCTACAGTGAACAAGCTCTTCATGGTAAGTACCGTCCATTCTCCATCAGGGCTGAGGCTGAATCACATCCAGGGCGCTGTGACCAGCCCTGGTTCTTTCCCACTGCTGGTCGCAGACATTCAACCGCCAGCAAGACAAAGCAGCAAGAGCAGCGACCTCAAGGCCATCTGGGTTGACGGCGACACGACGCAGGCCCTGCAGACTTTCGAACTCCCCCAAGATGCAGACAGGATCATATCCGTCGCAGTTGCGTCGTATGGCATCCTCGGCAAAGGTCTTTGGGTTCTGTATTCCACCCAGAACCAGGCGAAGCTGGTCTGTAACCTGGCCAGGCCCGGGACAGATGGAACAGCTCTGCACTTCCAGCGTCTCGAACCGTCGTGCGACCCCAGAGCGACGGCTATTGCCTCGTATACCGACAAGAACCAACAGTCTGGTCTCCTCGTGGGAACGCCAAAGGGACTGTACACCATTTCTGCACAGGACTGCATTAATTCGACAGACTTGCACACGCTTATTGCCGAAGACAGCTTCTTCAAAGCACCGGCCAGCATTTCCGTAGCGCAAGATGGACCGAGTTTGACCGTCTGGGGTCTCAGCCGGGACGGGCAGCTGGGATACTTGACGACTGATTCGACAAATGTCGAACGGGCACACCAGTCCGGAACGGTTCTGCTGGGAAAACAGTCGTCGTCGTCCTTTTCGGCGTCCATTTCTCAGCGCAGCCCCGGAGCCAAACTCAATGTCATTACTCAAACAGTCATCTCGAATGATTCCCAGGGGAATCTCACGTTACTGGCCCAGAGCCAAGATACTGGGATATGGAAGTCCGAGCCGTTTGGGATTGCCCACTACACTAAGACCATCGAGGTTCAAAGCTACGCCGTGAGGGTGACAATCAAGGACGAGAAGAGCCTTCCCATCTCGAACGGCGAGGTGTGCGTTGTAGGGTCATCCGACACAACCGCCTATGTCAATGGCAGAACTTATAACATCACCTCAGACCTTGAGGGGACCTGGTTGCCTTTGGACTCTGCAGGCTTGCTCTCCATGATTGTGGCTACCAACATGATCTCTGGCCGTTCCTTCCGCGTGGTCCAGATCACGGATAATCAGAAAATTGATGTGGAGATGGCAGACCGGACCGTCAGGATCGACCCGAGCTTGAAGGTAGTGCGGAATCTGTGCTCCAAGCTCGGCGGTGATGCCGATTTGGCCAGTTTGAAGACGCAATCTGGCCAGAGCCTGTGGTCGGACGGCAACAGGCCCGGACAGGAAGAATTAAAGGCAGCACACGAATGCTTCAAGAAGCTGAACCAGGCGCACTCGGATGTCTTGAATCCTAGGTCGTCACGGCGAGTCGACGGCGGGGCAGGGCTAAAAGCCATTGGTGACTGGACGATGGACGCGTTCCACCACGTCAAGGTCGCACTAGATGATGCAGTCGCTTGGGTGATTGAGCAGGTCGAAGGAGTGTGGCGGTTCGTGTGCAAGATAGCAGGCGAGATGAAGAGATTTGTGCTGGACACGATTGAGAAGATTGGTGAAGCTGCGCAATGGGTACGTCGTCGTTGCTTCTGTTAGATTCCTGCTATCTAACCCAGGCTAACTTTGGGCTCCAGGTCTGGGAGAAGATCAAACTGGGGTGGGATAAATTGCTCGATCTCTTGGGACATCTGTTCGGGTGGGATGATATCAAGAATACTAGCGACGACATCTACAACCTCCTTCTCGGCAGTGTCGACTGGATATCGAATGGCATTCACAAGGTGGAACCCAAGATCGAAGGGTGAGACATTCCTTCCCTCGTCGTGGAAGATGGAGTTAATGTTGCGGCAGCTTCTTTGACAACTTGAAGGGGATGGTCAAAGTCCCGACCTTGACCCAACCGGCATCGACTAATCAGAGTCAGAGCGGCAAGAGCAGCTCCTCTGCCAAAGCATCTGATAGTCCCGCGTTCAACTACCTGACTGATAGAATGAAGAACGGCAACCCTGGCGCAGCAGCCGCGGCGTCATCGCCACCGACGAGCAAACCCTCTGGAGCCGGCGAACCGTCCTTTGAAGAGATATTGAAGCCGCTCGGAGAAAGCTTGATGAAAGTGGTGACCGACCTCGCCCACGACGTGTCGGAGCTGTTCCACGGCATGGGCGACCTCTCTCCCGGCCAGCTCTTTGCGAAGCTGGGAAACGACCTCCTCGTCAATGTCATCGACGTGGTCAAGTCCATCGTCGTGGGTGTGTTGAAGTTCCTGCGCAAGTCCATCGGCCTCTTCAAGGATCTGGTGACCGGCAAGATCAACGTGCCTATCATCTCGGCCCTGTACAAGCTCTGCACGGGCAACGATCTGAACTGGCTCAAGCTGGTAGCGTTCATCCTGGGCTTCATGACCTGTACCATGTCGAGGATCGTCACGGGCAAACCTCCCCCGAGGCTTCAGGACCCGGGCCAGAAATTCCTCGAAAAGATGGTCGACGGGGGTGCGTCCGAGGTGGAGCAAAAAGGAAACGCCCTCTTCTTCTCCGGAGTCGGGATGAGCATCAGCGCCGTCAAGATCGTCTACGACGCCATCGCCGTGGCCAAGAGCGTTTCCAAGGTCGGAGCCGCCCAGACGGCTGTCACGAGTGTCAAGACCGAGGCTTTCGGCGTCGCCATGGACATTGCCACCATCGTCTGCATCTTCCCAACCGATCCCCAGGCGCCCGGGTACGAGATTCGCAAGTGGATCACGTACATCAACGCAGCGAGCGTCGGCATGGACCTGGCGTTGATGTTGGGCAGCCAGGGGCCCAACCCGGCGGCGGAAAAGGGCGTCGCGATCTTCAAGTTCGCCACCGACCTGGTCAGTGCGTGTCTGTACGGTATCGTCTTCTCCAAGGAGCTCGACGCCGGGAAGAAGTCCTGGCCCGGCAAGGACGACGACCTGACGAACTGCGCCATTTGCGAGGACGTCTTTAGTACCGTCAAGAGCTGCGGCAAGCTCATCTGTGCCGTGTCAGCCGAGTCGCCGCAGTCTGCTGCCGTTGGGCTCGCCGTCATGGCAGCCGCGGGTCTTGGGTTGACGGTCAACAAGGGATTCACCCTGAATCGTACCGCCGAGGTGAATCCAAAGTGTTATCGTGGGGCTTTGTGTTGAGTCAGGATGGACTATTTAGATTTGGATGGATTCTCTCTATAATACTTGTTGGGTGAGATAGCTCCTTTGTAGCTGACATGGTTAATGGATGATTGCAAACTGTGGACGGAGGCTCGCTTTTATCGGGAAGTATTGAACATTCAACGCCAAAGAACCTATACCTATACCTATACTCAGACTACTTTTCTCTCTCCGTCAGCAACACACAATGTGATTCCCCTTGGGTGTATTTAGCGATGAAGCAGCTCCGTAGCATTCTGCAACACCATCTCGCCCGCCCACTTGATATGCGGCTGCACGATCTGCGTCAACTGCCTGCTCTTGACAAACGCCGCGACCACGGCCAGAAGCACCATGTCCCGCTCGGCGTGGATGCGCGGCGACACCTCGCGCAGCAGGGCGTTGAGGGCCCACCACCTCGTGCCGCCGCGGAGCTTGAACGCGCCCCAGTCCACGGCCAGGGTGCGGCGCCAGTACTCCTCGGCCTTGCCCGGCCACGAGGTCACGTTGCGGCCGTGCTCGTTGATGAACCAGCTGGAGCAGCCCGAGAAGAAGACGCTCGACCTGAGCTTCGCGTGGATCACGTTGGTCTCGCGGTCCTCGGCGCTCTGTTTGACTTCGATCCGCGAGGCGCGGCCGTCGACGATCGGCCGGATCAGGCTGCGCACCGCGTAGTTGACTTGGGTCTGGCACGAGAAGAGCGCCGAATTGTTGGCCGGGAAGGTGTTGGGGCCGTAACTGTTGGGTTTATCAGATCGTGTCTCGTCGTTACGAGTGTGAGACCAAACGACTTACATGATCCCGAAGTTGGGAAAGTTGTGCACGTACGTCCCCATGTACGCCTGCGCGCCGCGACATTCCCGCCACTGCTGGGCGAGGGAGACGCCGTGGGCGCCTTCGATCTTGATCGTCTGCAGAAAATCCGTGACTTGGTACCCCGTGGCGAGGACGATGATGTCGAAATCCGCCGCTTTGCCCGCCATGTCGATCAGCCCCGTCTCGGTGAATTCCTTGATGCCTTGGTTGATCAGCTCGACGTTCCTGCGGTTGAGGCTGTCGAGGTAGCCCGGGTCGAAGATCCGTCGTTTGCATCCTTTTGAGAGATAAAAAAGTCAGGCACTCAACCTACTAACTTTGTGTTTCCAAGGAAGAGAGATATCTGCTGATGGCAATAAAGAAGACATACCGAGAGGGAAGTCCGGGATGATGAAGCTGTGGTACTTCTTCGGCGTCTTGGACAGCATGTACGCCTCCGCCTTCCTCTCCAGCTGAGATCGACTCTTCACCCCGGTCGTGGACGAGTAGTATTCCTTGGTGTCGGCGTCGGCGTCGAGGAAGATGCGGAAGCGCAGCCATTTCTGGAGAAGGGGGATCCAGCGGAACGACCACTTTTCCGTTTCGGTGAAGACGTGGTTCGGCTGTGTCAGACGGCCATGTCAGATGGAGTTCTCTCTACCTGAATGATTCGTACAAGGGGTTAGGGACGCTTACCCTGGGAAGATACCACTGCCGACTTCGCGCGTACTGCGTGATCTTTGCCGCCTTCTCTGCCATGACCGGAATGGCCTGTGCTGAGCTGCACCCGTTGCCAATCACCGCCACCTTCTTGCCCTCCCAGTTGAGGCTGTGGTCCCATTGCGCGGTGTGCACCATTGGCCCACGGAACTTGTCCATGCCGGGAAAATTGGGCGTCTTGGGCGTCGAGAGCGCGCCGACGGCGGAGATGAGGATCGTGGCGAATCGCGAATATGTCATGTCGGTCTTGTGGTCCTTCAGAAACACCTCCCACTCGTTCCGGTCTTCGTGCCATTTGCCTCCTAGGCATTCGATCCCGAGGTGGAAAAAGGGCCGGAGCTCGAATTTGTCGACCGTATCGTTCATGTCTTTGACAACGTTGGCCTAGGCCTTTACCTATTTTTGGGGAACTCACATTGTAGGATCTCAGGTTGTTCGCACAGTTCAATCGACCAGTTTGGGTTTGGGTTGAAGCTGAAGGAGTAGAGGTGAGAGGGAATGTCACAGCCACTGCCGCCAGAGTCAGTCTCACAGCCTCGTTTGCAGACAGATCTGCCACGTTACCATCCCGGATATGTATTCGTCTTCCAAGTACCCCCAACTCCGTCATTTCGCTCGTATATCTGATCCAAGTCAGTCGTTGAATGTGCATGCAGTCGCTGGAGTCTGGACACCTACGATGAAGTCTGTGTAGCCCAGCTTGTGCTTCAGTTCGTATGCGAGGGCGATGCCGGACGGACCTCCGCCAATGATGATGGTGCTCGGTGTCGCTGTGTCTGACATTTTGAGCGTCTGCACACTGCTGGAGGATGCGGTCGATGAGAATGTTATGGTTGACTCTGAGTATCATGCATCGCTGCTGCGCAGGCAACTGATTTATCAACATCGTAGGACCATGGCAAGGGTATGTCGGTATACAAGTCTCGGTCTATCCGGGGTACATGCTCTGGCAAGTGGACCAGGACGCGGTACCTCGACGAATGGATATACCGGCATCAGAGTTGGCGATATTGCCGTCCTGGGATTTCTACCCGGCCCGGCTACTTACCTGGTATATGTGGGCAGACCATTTACCCGCCGGTATCGTTCTGGACCCTTGGAGACTGGGACTGTCAGTCCAGTGGGACAAGAAGCACCAAGACGACCATGTGATTGTCTCCTGATTATTCGCATTGATTTGCCGAGCATTTGATGGCTTGTTCTGGACAACAGCACAGACCAGGAGCATTTCCTCCACCAGTTCTAACTGCAAAGTCAACTGCTTCTCACATGCCAGCACTGCCAAAAGTAAAGGCACAGCTATGCTTGAGCCACTTTAATGTACTAGAACGTGCTACCTATTATTCTTAATGCGAACTTTTGTTCATACCCATAGCTTCTTGATCACATCACCCAACTAGATTCAATAGATATGGGTATCCGGATGAACACGGTCATTTGAGAATAAATCTAATTTTGATCCTTGAGCAGGACATCTAGCATGAATCTACTTTGCTCGCCTCAATATTTCCTCCTCGATGGCTCCTCCCAGTCCAGCCGTGGTTCCACGTCCGCCCATGTCTGGCGTGTTGACAGACAGGTCGCCTTTTGCCAACACAGTCTCTATGGCGTCCAAAAGTGTTGCGGCCGGTTCCTTGAACCCGAACCATTCAAGCATCATCTGGCCAGCCCAGATCATGCCAACGGGATTTGCAATCCCCTTCCCAGCGATATCCGGGGCACTTCCATGCACCGGTTCAAAGAGACTGGGGAATTTCCTCTCGGGGTTGATATTCCCGCTGGGTGCGATGCCGATCGTGCCAGTGCAGGCTGGACCTAGATCAGACAGGATGTCGCCGAAGAGGTTACTCGCGACCACGACGTCGAAGATTTGTGGTTTCTGGACAACATGAGCGCTCAGAATGTCGATGTGGTACTTGTCGGTGTGAATATCGGGATATTCTTGTGCAATGGCAGCGGCACGCTCGTCCCAGTATGGCATCGAGATAGCCAGGCCGTTACTCTTGGTGGCGCTGGTGAGGCGCTTGCGAGGCCTTGATCGTGCAAGGTCAAAGGCGTATCTCATCACGCGATCGACACCCACGCGGGTCATGATCGTTTGCTGAAGCACAACTTCTCTCTCGGTACCTTCGAACAGCCTGCCACCGACGCCGCTGTATTCGCCCTCTGTGTTTTCCCGGACGACCACAAAGTCAATGTCGCCGGGCTGACGGTCTTTGAGCGGCGTCGGCACGCCCTTCATGAGACGACATGGCCGGAGGTTGATGTATTGGTCGAATTCGCGTCGAATTTTAATCAGGGATCCCCAGAGAATGACATGGTCCGGGGCAATGGCAGGGTTTCCCTGAGCGCCGAAGTAGATGGCGTCAAAGGGCAAAAGCAGTTCTTTCCAATTGTCCGGAAGCATCTGGCCATGCTTGAGGTAGTAGTTGATCGAGGAGAAGTCGAATTCCTCAAACTTCAACGATAACCCGTAGACCTTTGCGATCGCTTGAAGACATTTGACTCCCCAAGGCATCACCTCCACGCCGATGCCGTCGCCAGGGATGACGGCGATCTTGAATTCCTTTGCGCCTGCAATCATGGTGGCCGTTGAATATTGTTTGAATTTCTCGGTTGTGAGAGATCTGGGCCTTTGTGGTTTGGAGGTGAAGATCCCGCAAAGACAAGACTATGCAGGCTCGAAAAGGCAACATCGCACATTCGGCGTCCTTCTATGTATCCTTTGTATTTTCCCATTGTGAATCCTTGCCAAAAATCCTACACTCGTCATTATCCCTTCTATAGCCGAATATGTTCATACGAGTACGTGAACGTACCCCTTCGAGAAGTTCCTAATGTGACTATGCCCAATATGGATATGGCGGGTATATTACCCAATTCGGCACTATACGCCGTCCTCGTCACATCATGTACCCGGTAGACTGTACCTGTATGCCTGTTGTACACGGGCGAGGTAATGGCACATCTTCGGCGTTTTGTCAGAAGAGAAGAACTCGTTCGTCTACGGAATCTAGACTTATCATACCCAATAGCCTTTTCTTCGAGAACATCGCGCAAGTTCTTCGCCTCGTGACTTTGTCAGGGTTCTCCCAAAAATCCAAGCTACGGATACCTGGCCAATAGTAATACAGCCGAAGTTGAACCTCTTTAATCCTCACTTTACCCAGTCAGGAACGAGAGAGGATGATTTGGCCTATTGCCCAGAATCTTAGTGTGTTCTTGATGATACCCCGCCTGGGGTATAACTGCGAAGTTTCCCCAGTGAGTTTAGCTGCGTGTTTATCCCGCGAAGAGGTAAGAAGGGGCGAAGCCAGAGGGATCAGTGTAGAGGATCGAGTGGTCTTCTCTCGCTCATTCTCAGACTCTAGACAATGTACAGACAGCTGAGCAAGGGAGAAAAGACTATGGTCTAGATTTACAGTGCCTTCATTTGATATTCACCTGCTCGTCGCCCATGTTCGTCCGCTGGAGACATTCTTCTCGGTTCATCTCACAGGCCCGAGCTCACAATGGCTTCCGCCTCGCGAACTACTTTCGTGCCAGCCAGATTCCGTGCAGCGAAAGCATGCCTTCTGTGTCGACAAAAGAGGGTCAAATGCGACGCCATGGACCACGGCACTCCCTGCACGAGATGTGTTTTGAGCGGAAAGACCGACTGCGTTCTGTTTGAGTCCAAAAGAGGAACATATAAGCGCAAGCAGAGAGTCGCTGTCGAGCAGCAACGTCGGGAATCACCCGTAAAGGACCTCCATGGCAATAGCTCTGAGAACCCGGCAGTCCCATCATATACTTCAGGGACAACACTGGCCGAAGAACCTCAGCATCGACCCGACGCTTCACCTTTGAATCACAGATCCACAACTGCGAGCGAGCCTACAGCAAGGCCGCCCGAAGAACAATTCCAGACGGAGCACCTGTCAGCAACGTCGGTCAATCTAGGTCAACCTGAGCAGTCTGTCACAGACCCAGCTGGATTCAATGAATCTGCGTCCTTGTTGAATGGTCTGGAGAACAGTAACCACCAGAGGCGACTGTCCCTAGATTGCTCGTCGCCCGTCTCGTGTCTGTCCAACACCACACTCTCGCCATATCCAGATATCTCGTGGGCGTCGACCTTTGATCCGTTCCTCAAATCGCGCAAGACCCATACGGCCGACCGATCGAACAGGTTCTCCATCACTTACCTCGATGAATCCTTCCCCCTCTCACTTGTACTGCAGTATCAAGGTCACGGAGTAAAGCCGCAGCTACATTATCTCACTCCCGCAAAGCCAGAGCCTCCAGGCCCGCCTCAGCCTTCGGGGTACCAACACCCTGGCCACATTCCACCCAAGGATATCGAGTTCCTACAAGCCAGAGGATGCTTCGAAGTCCCCGACCCAGAGATCCTGGACATCTTGGTCAAGACGTTCCTGGATCGCGTCTATCCCATCTATCCGATCTTCAAGCGAAGTAGCTTTCTCGAGCATTACCGAGCCCAACAGATCCCATGGCTCCTGCTTCACTCGGTCTGCTTTGCCGCGGTCACCTTCTGCGACGAAGACGTGCTCTTTCGCGTCGGGTACCAAAACAGAATCGAGGCGCGGTTGTGTTACTACAGAAAAGCAAAAGCCCTGTTCGACCTGGGCTATCATATGAACAAGATCATGATCCTCCAGAGTGTCATCCTCCTCAGCTTCTGGGGCGGCGCGCACAATAACTATTGGAACTCGGCCAGCTGGATCGGAGCAGGGGTCATCATCGCAGAGTCACTAGGCCTCCACCGATCCATGGCGGACACGAGGCTGGCACCAGAGGACAAGAGTCTGTTGAGACGGTTATGGTGGATCTTGTTCGTCCGGGACACTGGCGCCGCGACGTTTTCAGGTCGTCAGTTCCGGATGAATAGCGTCGACGTGGCCGACGTCGAGACTTTGACCACAGAGGATTTTGCCGCGGACTCGCAAGACGACATGGACGGCGTGGGCCACGGAATCGACGGTATCGTCGGCTCTTTCCACGTTGAGAACACAAAGCTCTTCCTCATCCTGCGGCGGATCGTGCTTTCCAAGCGAACCGGCCACGGGCCCAGCCACGACGACCTGTGCCACGAGCTCCAGCAATGGCGAGCAGAGCTGCCGCCAGCGCTGAAGTGGCGCGACGCCGAGGCCAAGCTGGACCTCCTCCCAGCCTGTCTCGCCCTGGCGTACAACCACAACCTGATCCTCGCCAATCTGGGCCCCGGTCCCCAACAGTCTGCAGACTCGGTCCATTCGGGCTCCCACGTCCATCAACTCGACGGCGCATGCGAGAACGCGGCACACCGCATCTTCGACCTGACGTGCGGCATGACCACCAAATCCACATTCCCGCGCCTGCCGCACGAAGCCTTCCACGCCCTGTTCCTCGCCCAGGCCGTCTTCTACTCCCAAACCCTCGCCGCCGACGCCGCCTCGGCGAAAATGGGCCGCATGGCTGTCAACACGTGCCAGGTCGTCTGGCACAACGTCCGCGGAGGCTGGGACCCCGCCCGCTGGGTCATGAAGCTGTTTGAGAACCTGCTCGAGGCCACCTCGCCGCAACGCCGACCGCGGTCCGCGGAGGACATGCTCATGGTCAATGAGGGCGACGTGGCGAACCCGGCCCTCCCAGCCGGGGCCGACTACTTGTCGTCGGACATGCCGATGAATGACTTTTCGGGCATGAATTCGCTGCTCTCGTCCATCTTTGACATTTCGACCGCCATGGACGGCCTGGAGGATCCGACTGGGCAGGAAATGTTTTCCTTTGGGCTGCCGAGCGATGCGAACTGGTAGTTACTTCATATCTTAACCATTTTAAAGAAGACGCATTGTCAAGGATGCGAACCAGTTATTGTGTACGACTGATTTTAAATGTATGGTGAACATATGATGCAGATGCGATGGTATCTTATGAATGAACAACCAAACCCTCGCGAGTGGTTATATACGGATGCCAGCCGACTAAAGAGTAGTACTCTACTTGAGTAAAGTCCATCTACGAGGCTTCTTCCCACCACGATGCGAATTGACATATCTCGTAACCTTCTGGTAAACCCCCTCCGTATCCAGGCCGAACCGGCCGTAATTGGCGAGGCTACCCCCCGAGAAGCCGAACGAGTCCATCGCGATCGACGCGTTACAGTACCGCGCCCAGATGGTGGAGATGTACGCCTCCGCCGAGATCGTGTACGGAGTCTCCGACAGGACCGAGTCTTTGTACTCCTCGCTCTGCTCGCTGAAGAGCTGCACGCAGGGCATGCTGACCACGCGGGTGGCGATGCCGTCGGCGGTGAGTCTCGCAGCGGCCTGCACGGCGAACTGTAACTCGGACCCGCACGAGATGAGTGTGACGATGGCGTTGTTCTCTTCTTGTAACACGTACCCGCCTTTGAGGACCGCGTGTCTGTTAGTGTTGTGAGCCGGGGCTGTTGCTGGATCCCGCGCCACGGAGATCATGGACGGGCGGCGTTTCTGAGACAGCGCGGCCAGCCACGCCCCAATCACCTCCTCGCCGTCCGCGGGGCGGATGAAGAGGAAATTTGGCATGGCGCGGTACAGCGAGTCGAGCTCGACGGCCTGATGGGTCGGTCCGTTCTGGCCCTCGCCGATGCTGTCGTGCGTGGCGATGTGGATCACTTTGAAGTGGCTGAGGGCGCCCATCCTCACTCCAGGAGCGGCGTAGAGGTAGAACATCAAGAAGGTCGCGGTGGTCGGTAGGATGGCACCCTCAGAGTACGCGGCTAGACCGTTGGCGATCGAGGCCATCGCATGTTCCCTGATCCCGTACCGGACTACTCTGCCGCCAGGGTTTGCGGCGTCGAGGATCTGAGCAGACTGGTCGCCTAGGGCGTTGGAGTTCCACAGGTCTGCACCCCCGGGCATCATGTGCGGAATGCTGGCTAGCAATTTATTGAAGATAAACCCGTTGGCCTGCCGGGTAGATTGCTCGTGAGATGGTGCTTGGAGCTTTGACAGAAGTTCCTTGAACTCGATTTCGCCGCTCAATCGCTTTGTCAGCTCCGCGCCCTCTTCGGGGAATGCGCACATATAGCGCTTCAACCTGTCGTTCCAGACTTGTTCGGCTAGACGGCCCTCCTCTTGCTTTTTGTCAAAGTATTGTTTGACCTGGGCCGAGATGTGGTGGGTCTCCTGGTTGATACCGTCGCTGTGGGTCAGGTAAGGGAGCAGATCTTCGTCGGTAAACGTCCCATGATGGGCTTTGGCTGTTCCGGCCGTTGCGCTTCCATATCCGATTGTCGTTCGGATGTTGATGAAAGTTGGTTTGCCGTTGGTGGATTTCGCGAGCCGCAGCGCGGCGACGATGTCCTCGACCGATGTGTCGCCTGTGAATACATCAATCACGTTCCACCCCAGCGCTCTCATCTTGGCGTTGGTATCCTCGGTCGAGATCCAATCCAGCGGCCCATCGCAAGTAATAGCGTTATTGTCATAGCAGAGACAAAGGTTGTCGAGCTTCAAATGCCCTGCCAGCGCGAGAGCCTCCTGCGCCACCCCTTCCTGTAGACAGCCATCACCCGAAGTGACATATATTCGAGAGGTAGTTATCTCGAACCCGTCCCTGTTATACCGAGCCGCCATGTGTTTCGACGCGATGGCCAGTCCGACGGCGTTGGCGATGCCCTGACCTAACGGGCCCGTCGTCACTTCCACCCCGGGAACTTCGTTCTCAGGGTGCGCATGGCACAGTGTTGTCTGCCACTTCCCATCTTTCAGCCCCTTGGCGCTGGCGTACAGCTTCAACTCGTCCATCGTCATGTGCGCGTACCCCGTAACGTGGAGCATCACGTACAGCAAGATGGCCGCGTGCCCGTTTGACAGGACGAAGCGGTCGCGGTCGAACCAGAAGGGATTCTTGGGATTGTACCGCATCGCGTGGCCCCAGAGAGCGACCGCCAAAGGCGCCATGCCGATGGCGGAGCCTCCGTGTCCCCCGCCGTTCTGGCGACAGCAGTCTATGACCAGCTTTCTGATATCCCGAACCACCAGTTCATCTTGGGTGTACTCGTGCGACGACGCGACACCGTTGACTACAGCGTGGGATTTGGCCATTGCTGCGGTGTGGAGGGGGAGGGAATGTCGACTATGGGGGAGACAACGAGGTACAATATGACGGATGGGCTTCTTAAGAGACTAAACGCTCATCTGCTCTCGCCTCAATCTCATCTCCTAAAGCGCGGACCTAGTTTGATACGTATGCTATCCTGTATGTCGACCCTTTCGTATGTTCTCATGTCAACATCATCAACACGCGCTCGGTGCCGTGGTACAAGAATCCTCCGAAGACGACTGAATTCTGTAGCTTGTATGGTATATAGCCGGTAACTCCGTCCTGAGCACGCGAGATACTGCTAATATAGAACGGCGGCCTCAAGGGATACCCTCCGCCTATGGAGCTCTAACAGGTTAGCGCGTTCAACCCAGTAATTAGTGCGTACACTTCCAGATACGGTAACTTTGAAGAGCTCCACTTCCAACATCAGCTAATAGGATACAAGAATACTCGGTCCGCTTACCACAAGGAGTGAGGCTGTCTCCCTTTGTGACATGGAGGAGACAGAGCCACATCCTGTCTTACGGATGGATGCCGGGATAAAATACTCTGGAGGAGTTTATCAGCGATGGCTATACGAGGTACTTTGTGGCAAGACGTTATTCCCGCGCAAGTTGAAGTAAACCGACTGTACTTGAGCTTGGACTCATTGAGATCCGCTCGAATAAATGCGTTGCGGGATACGCGTGGGCAAGCATTGCTCCTTGTTTCGCATTCCTAGGCCGCTTCCTTGAAAATATGCCTTAACATCGAGACACTGAGCTGGCTCAACTTCGGCTCATCCTGAACACCTCCCAGACCGTGCCTGCTTGGGTTGCCGCTCACCCTGCTCACCCGTCCCGTTAGCCGGGTTCAGTCTCGTTCTGGGTCCCGCTGTCATCGAATGCTCCCGACATACTTGCGTAGGTGTTCTCTCTCCCAAGGACCGGCCCAGTCAGTTCTCCTGAAGCAGAATTTAGGACGGAACTTGAATTCCGTACTTTTCGTAGTTGGACTGCTCAAGACACGGAGACAAGACTCGGAGACATGAGCAGCCTCTACGCATGCCATACATGGCCAATAAGTTTCAAACCAATGACGAGGCTAAAGGTGTATTAAGGACGGCTAGACAATGAGAGGATGAGGCGCGGCTGGAACATGGCGGGATGTGCAACATCACTATTGGGATCGAAGCGAGAGAGGAGAGGAAACAAAGGAACTAGGCCACAATATCCCACAGGGTCGTATTGACTCTCCATCATCTTAATGGCGTCTGAATTGTGTGAGGCTACCTCTGGCTAAACGAGAAAAGAGAGAGAGAGGAGAGGTGCGCTGGGTGCTGTAGAAGAAGGTGGGCAGGGTGGCAACAGGCCATCTCAACAGGGAAGGTAGAGCGATAGGTGCATCATGTGACCACAACACTCACAAACCGCTCATGGCTGTCCGAACTCACTTTTATTCACTCTATCACAAGCATTGCGGTATCTGTACGACAGCGCCAGTTTGAGAGAGCAATAACCTCCCTTCTCAATGATCTTTTTGGAGAGTCACTGCCACCATCATGTCGAAGTTCACTTTGCAGGCGATATCCCGGATGCTTGTTTAAGTATAGATCGATGAGGTTGATGGATCTCCTCAGGCTCTCTTTCCATTCAGCTCTAACAAACCCAACCCCCATCAACGCTGACAGTCACACCCGTAATAAAACTGGCGTCCGAGCTCAGCAGGAAGGCGACCGTCTTTGCAATTTCAATGGGCTGCGCAAACCGGCCCAAGGCACAAATTTCGGGGTTCTCCTTTTCCTTCGCCGCCTTGGGGTCAGCGTCGATGGATCTTTGCATCATCGGGGTCAGAGTGAGGCCACTATAGGTTAACATTGGTCAGTTCTTGCGCTTTCAAAGTCCGTACTGTACATCTTGAACAACGCAAGAATATGGCAGGGATTGGGTATGGACACTGACGGTGCAACTGCCGTGACCCTTATATTCTGTCGACCAAACTCCTTGGCCACGCTGGACGTCAAGCCAATCACAGCGTGCTTACTTGCCGTGTAACACGCCGCTTCTGCACGTCCCACGAGGCCAAGAGTGCTGGAAAAGTTGACGATGCTTCCTCCACCGCGTCGGAGCAGATGAGGGATCTCTGCCCTCACACAGTTCATCATCCCACGCACATTGACTGCAAAGACATTGTCCCAATCGTCGTCTGCCTGGTCCAAGATCGTCCCTTTGTTGTGCGACTTTGGAATAATCCCAGCGAGGTTGACAGCACCGTCCAGGCCTCCGAATTGCTTCTCCACATCTGCTAGCCAGGCTTCGGTCTGCTCTCGATTGGTGATGTCAACCTTGTGAGTCAGAACCTCACCCCCAGCGGCGCTTAGTTCCTGCTGTACTGACGCGAGAAGCTCGTCTTGGATATCGGCAATGGCGACTCTGGCTTTTAAGTCGACGAGTAGCGTCGACACAGCATGGCCTATTCCAGAGGCTCCGCCGACAACGGCGATCACCTTTCCCTGCAGAACGGAGCCAGACATATTCAACATTCAAAGTTGGTCTTGATGGGCAGGGCTCGTGGTGGTAGATCCAGTCTGGCCGCCTGTGATTATATGACCTCAATCCTTCCGCCGATCGAGACACCTCCGGCAAGGTAAAGTTTTGCGAGTTCGTATTAAAGATTTGTCGGTCTGTTTGAGTTTTTCGATGTGGTGCGCATTTAGCCAGGGGTTGGAAAGAAATGCAGGGATCATATTGAACCCTTGGAAATGTTGTTCTTTCCGGGCATTCAATGGTGACCGACTCTCGGTTATATGCAGTGTGACATGGACACGGACTTGGCCACACTTCAACTCCGGACCGTCCTTGCGTTCTTTTAAGCGAAAATCATGGAGAGCGCATATACTCAGATCGAGCGGCAAATAGGTGGCTAATCTAGGCCTTCGCAGTCTATTTGCTATTCCCTCTATGGGGTAAGTTATTCCCCAGTTCTGTTTGACTGATCTCTTACTACAGAGCCACGGTCATAGTGATCGAAGTTTCCGTCCAAAGCTACGGATCGTTCAACTTTCAACAGAACCATGACCCCGGATTCCCAACGAGCACTCTGAAGCGTGTCGGATCTGCCTTTGCTCAGATCATCTAGATAGTTACCCTTTTCTCCATCACGGGCGCTCTCCACTACAACTTGTTAGATAGATGGATACATATCCCCCTGGAACCAGCTCCACTTGACCTCCGTGCCGAAAACCGCTTGACCAGTCAATTTAGACCACCTGAGGTTGAGACATGACCTTCACTCAAGCAACTTCTTGGTGCACGACCGTTGCCGCCTCCACTGGTTTGCTTTCAGCCTTCCATGCCTCCAACTCACTAGCATCGATACTGTTACGTTCCAGTGCTGAAGCTCTTTTGGTCTCCTTGTGAGTTTTCCACGCCGGTGTCCCCAAGTACTTGATGCCATGAGGATCCTCGAATATGCCTTCCACTTCTTCCAAAGTCTTCCCGGAGGTCTCTGGGAAAAAGAAGAAGACGTGTATGAACGAGGCGATTAGGAATGTCCCGAAGATGAGGTACGTCCTCCATTGAATGTTGACAAAGGCAACTGGGACGAATAAGCCCAGGGCAGTGTTGAAGGCCCAGTTGGCGGAGGTACTCAGGGCCACAGCCTTTCCCCGAACTCGTAGTGGAAACAGCTCTGGCGGGTAGATCCAAGATACCGGAGACCAGGTTGTTGCAAACGTACCAACGAAGAGATATGTGAATGCAATCAGCGCTTTTGCGGGTGCGCCACTGATCAGCATCGATTGTTCTGCCACGCCGTTGACGCCGCCGGGCACAAAGGTACCGTATGTCCCCAGAACGCCTCCACTGGCGAACATCCAGATGGCGCATCCGATACTTCCAACCATGAGCGTCGGTCGGCGACCCCACCTATCGACCCAGATCAAGGCAGGGATTGTCATGACCACGTTGATGACATACTGGATCGACGAGGCCAGGAGATTGGAGTTGCCCTTGTACCCAGCCATACCGAACACAAAGGTCACATAATACACTGCCAGACAATCAATATTCGCGTATCAGATACAAGGAGAAACCGGCCACGTACTCATCAGGTTCATCCCACTGAGCTGACACCAGATTTGATCGAAGGCGCCAATAATCGTGCGATTGATCATCTTGGGCTTGAACAGCTCCCAATACGTGACATCGCCAAACTGCCGTTCAAGCTCGCATGCCACGTTGATCTCCGCCAGTTCCAAAACCACCAGTTGATGGTCTGGGTTCCCTTTGCCGTGCACCAGCGTCAACACCGCTTTACATTCCTCCCAGCGATCCTTTTTAGCAAGCCAGCGAGGCGACTCGGGCAGGAAGGTCATGCCAATCATGAGGTAGATCGCGGGAACCATCTGGATTGCCCACGGTACACGGAACGAGAGCGGGTTGTAGGTGCTGGAAGTCTGGCCACCGATATGTGCTCCGCCATAAGAGATACTGTCGCCTATCAGCGGGGATGCACTAAAGTCATTGGGTCAGAGGACTCGACTCACTAATACATGGTCATGATTCCGCAGGAGATGGCCATCTGCTGGAGTCCGACCAAACGGCCTCTCTTCGAGGGTGGTGCCAGCTCCGAGACGTAGACCGGGACCTGCGCGGATTCTATGCCCACGGAGACGCCGTTGAGAATTCTTCCCCCGATGAGCATGCCGATATTCTGCGACGCAGCACTGACGGTAGACCCGGCGATCCTGCATTCAGTCAGCATTTCAAACCTCAATCTTTCTTCGACATTATCATTCTTTACCAGAACAGACATCCAAGGATAATAGACATCTTCCTCCCGAGCCAGTCGGACATGTACCCCGAGATGAGTGCCCCAGCCCAGGACCCCGCCGCCATCGACGCGGTGATTCCACCTTGAACGAGCGACTTGGGTCCCGAGCAGTTCTCGTTGTCGTTGAACGGGGGCCCCTCGGGACCCTGGTTGAAGTAGCACTTGTAGCCCGCGGTGCCGAGGATGCCTGACATGGAGGCGATGTCGAAGCCAAAGAGGCCGCCTCCGACCACGGCGATGGACGCAATCACATAGATGTTGCCGATGACGAAGCGCGGCATGATGGCGAGTATAGAGTCAAGCAAGTCACAATGAGTTGGGTATATGCGTGGACTTCAAGGCCAAGGTAGGCTTTCACGGACCACAAGCAGAATTGGGACCAATTAATGCTCGTAGGTACAACAATGAGCCTATACGAGGTACTTTTAGAACACCGTGCGAACCCCATGGGGTCCCCCGGGAAATAATATACCTGGTGGGACACCACCCCCAGTCCTCCCCAGAATCAGAAGGCGGGACGGATAGGACAGGCAGGTCTCCGCAAGGAACAAGGAAAGGAAACGAAGTACCCGAAATGTGAGTATGAGAAAACCCCAACATCCGAATATCCTGAATGTTTGGGAGCGGGGAAGTATCCGTGGATGGAAGTTGGCGCAGATACGAGGACAGATCTTCTAGGATCGACATATCCAGCTGCTGTCGCCTAGAGAGCATAGAACGAAGAATCTCGCCGTCTCCGTACGGAAATGTGTTGTCGACAAGTCTTTGATATGCCGTTGACTAACCAAATGTGTGACTTGCCTCTGGGCCCTGTTAGCAACGTCTCGTGTTTGTTGGGAACCGGAGAGTTTCTGAACGGATGGATGACATGTTTCATTAGATGAGATGTCTGGAAACTATCACGGTATGCTCCCTCCCCGTTATTTTGTATGAGACTGATGCTAAGAGTACAGTTGGAAGACTAGCACTTGTCTTCGTATTGCCATCTGTAACGTATGGCGGTGCCTCAACAATGTCCTCTCGGAAGACGGCCCTTGGAACAGATGATTCTCTCGGATAACTTGACTTTCAGCGAGCAGGGGAGCCCCCCGGGCCATAGTCGTCACGCAGGCGAACCGTCGACGACTCCACTACATGGCTCCCAGCACGGCCTGAGAGGAAACTGCTGGTGGTGGTGGTGGTGGTGGGAGCGGCTGTCCGGGCACAGCCCATACAACCCTTCGCCCAGGGTCTGGAAAAGGGCTTTCCAAGGACATTTTCGGCCCGCCGCTGGCTAGACGGTGAGATGCCGCCTGGATATCTGCATTTGGCAAAGGTCCAGAACATCTTAGCATGTCAAACTCCTCTGGTCCCGGACAGCGGAGAGAACGATCGAGACATTCGTCGCCGGCCAGGCTAGAATCCTCAGTGATGCTTTTTTCTGTTGTTCTGTAATATCAGTACGCACGCAATCCCTGATGACACGCGGGATAGGCCTGTCCCCGACATGAAACATCACACTCATGGGTCGGATACATGCCATCCGTCGGATACTTGGAGAATACGAGGACTCTTCGGCGACTTGTCGCAGTGGCATGGCAGGATATCCATGTCAACCGAAAGACAGTTGCAACGCTGATCAGGGTCGTGTCTGCCTCGAAGCAAATTCGGTGTCGGCATGCGGGAGTTGGAGTATTTGTCGTGTTACCATCACATTCAAAGTGTATGAATTGGCGTCACAGCCTTGCCGTGACATTGAGAACGTGCATTGTCGCCATTCTCGCAATCCGGCCCTCTTTCGACGAGTGTAGTCGTCCTGAGGAAGGCCCACATCCATGCATGCTCCCTAACATAACTCGGCGTCATGGGCACTTGGGAGAATATCCTCGGTATTCAGGCGCGGAAACACACTCATCCCGGAGTTGGCACCTTTGTAGTTACCGGGGAAATGCGGGTCTCAGCCTCAACTGGTTTCCGGGAAGAATCTGGGCACTCTGGGGTAACCCCAGAATCAGACGGCCTAGGACAAAGTGGCTGATAGTCGGATCATCTTGTCGGCCCGCAGGTATAAAAGAAGAGATGTCCTGAATCGTGGTGAGATTCGTACTCCTACGCTTAGTTTTTCGTGTCAGAACCAAGCAATAGTCCTCCAACTTACCCGTCCGTCATGCCTCCCAAAATCGGAAATATCTACCTTATCACGGCCATCGCTGTCATCGGCGGTGGCCTTTTCGGCGCCGATATTGCGAGTATGAGTGCAATGTGAGTGAACAAGACGTGTATCCCAGCACTCGCCTGGCCGTACTAATATCTCGATTTACAGCTTGGGGACAAATCAATACAGATGCTACTTCAATCAGGGCCCCAGTGGACCTCCGTTCAACGACAACCCTGACTGTTCTGGACCAACTGCAGTTGTCCAAGGGGGCATTAATGCTTCAATGCCTGGGGGCTCCTTCATCGCGTGTATTGTGTCGGGCTACCTCTCCGACCACTGGGGACGAAAATCCGCCATCCAGATTGGCTCTGTCATTTGGATTCTGGGATGTGTCGTGACTTGCGCAGTTCAGGTACGCAGCCGGTTTCCTCTCCTGTGAGAGATACTAAAACGTGGTTCATCGATCAGAACATCGCCATGTTGGTTGTCGGGCGCTTCATATGCGGATTCGCCGTCGGCATCTGTTCGTCTCAAGTTCCCGTCTACGTGTCCGAGCTGGCGCCCCCGAGCAGACGTGGCCGTATCGTCATCTGTCAGCAGTTCGCAATCACCTGCGGCATCACCATCATGTACTTCGTCTCCTACGGCAGCTCGTTCCTCACGGGCTCGGCCTCCTTCCGTCTTCCTTGGGGCGCTCAGGCTCTTCCTGCGGTCTTGTTGGGTATAGGCCTCATGTTCACGCCCGAGTCGCCGAGATACCTGGCACACAAAGACCGCTGGGAGGAGACGCACGAGGTGCTCGCCCTGGTCCACGGAAACGGTGACCGCAGCTCGCCATTTGTGCAGAGAGAACTCCACGACATCCGCGAATTCTGCGAGTCGGAGCGCAACCAGCCCCCCAGCTCTTACTTGGAGTTATTCAAGCCGAAGATGCTTTATCGTACTCACATCGGTGTATTCATGCAGATTTGGTCCCAGCTGTCGGGAGTGAACGTAATGATGTACTGTAAGTACCTCTGTGCTCACATTGACCACTACCACTCTGTTGCTAATGTCCTTCCTCAAAAGATATCACATATGTCTTTGGCATGGCAGGGCTGTCCGGCAACGTCAACCTGTACTCGTCCTCGATCACATACGTGATCAACATGTGCATGACGCTACCGGCGCTGATGTGGATCGACGTCTGGGGCCGTCGCTGGCCGCTCATCCTGGGGTCGGCTTCTATGGCGGTCTGGATGTTTCTGAACGCCGCGTTGATGGCCGGATTTGGTTCCCCAGCTCCGCCGGGAGGTGTGGACCATATCCCCCAGCAATCCTGGCAAATCCACGGTGCAGCTTCCAAGGCTTTGATCGCCAGCACGTTTCTGTTCGTCGCTAGCTTTGCGGTCTCGGTAAGTTTTTTCCGTCACCGCTCAAGTCCCTTAAAATAGCCAATGTACTGACCATCCTGCGCACGCACAGGTCGGCCCCATCTCATGGATCTACCCACCGGAGGTCTTCCCGCTCCGCCTCCGTGGAAAAGGCGTGGCCGTCTGCGTCGCATCCAACTGGATCTTCAACTTTGCGCTGAGCTGGTTCGTCCCTCCCGCCTTCGTCAACATCAAGTGGAAAGTCTACCTCATCTTCGGCGTCTTCCTGATCGCCATGGGCATCCACTTCTTCTTCGTCTACCCCGAGACGGCCGGCAAGACGTTGGAGGAGGTCGAAAATATCTTCGCAACAAAAACGAAAGCGTGGAAGACGCGCATCGAAACCAAAAAGGCACGCGAGATCGAGTCGGCGAGCATTCGCGCCGACGATCCGGAGGAGGTCAAGGACGCGGCACTGGGGTATGTTGCGGGCAGGGTGGGCGCCGAGCACGTGGAAATGTCGATTACCGAGACGACAAAGTCGTGATTCGCGTGTGGGATGGGACTAGACCTGTGGTGCTACTGAGGACCGGTCGACTTGTAGGGCATATTGATTGGCATCTACGAGATCTTGATCTGTACCGTTGGCGGTTCATCAAGGGTCTTTGTGTCGTGTCGATTATAGGTGGAGATGAAGTAGCGATGGCTCAATGAGTCATGGGTGGATCCATCTGCATGCTGGGCCTGGCCATATCCATTCGCTTATGTACATAATGGTCTTTGAGCAGATCAATTCTCCTCAATTCCAATACAGAGATCTACATAGTAAAAGTGATGCTCAAGCGTCTACGCTTTTTCACGGATCGCACTGTTTCTGTATTTGAGACTTTTTGGCATAGAGACTTACCACCAAGCCCCGAGTACACCGTTGCTCTGGTTTGAATGCCTAGGTAAACCTGTCAAGGTCACCCAACCCCTGGAAGTCCTCAGCCTCGTAGTCCTCACGGGGATCATAGCCTTGCCAAGCCTCCCTTCACTCTCACTGGACGCTAACCTCACATGGTTAAACCGAGTTTAAAAGCCCCCTACCCTCAGGTACACATGGATCTTGACCAGCTATGCGATGGAGTGATACCAATCATATCTTTTGCTGTCAACAACTGACTGGATGATGAGAGTACTAGTGACTCTCTCTGTATTTCCCCAAGACTAACATAGCAACTAAACGGTGCTCATCTTCCAAGGCACTAATCCGACCGGCAAGCCTAACAATTTCGCGGGGAATTTACCGTAAATGGCGCTATACCCGCTCCCGCCAACAACATCGTTGCGACTGCGAGACAGGGCGTCGCCGGCGGAGAGCGTCGCGTATGTGACTCTATAGCTATACTCGTAAGCCCTGGCGACAATTCCGGGTAGACGACTCCGACAAGACATGTCGACAGATTTTTACATCCTTGGGGGATTGACGCTGACATGCAAAATGGGATCGGTCTCGATAAAAGCTGTCCGGGCGCCTCAGGAGATGCGAGATATTATCGCGGTCGAAGTGATTCATGGTTACAGATCCACCGTACTCTACTCAACACTCGATACTCGATACTCGATACTCGAGGTTTTAGGGGCTGGATCTCAAAGGAAAGCAGAGAGACTCGCTAAAACAGAGCCGAATTGACCATGGCGTCGAAAACTCTTGCAGGGATCAAACGAAAAGACCTCCTGCGAGACAAGGCCTTTATTGACGATGTCTGGGTCGACGCCTTATCGGGCAAGACCTTTGACGTGGTCGACCCGGCGACGCTGGAGAAACTGGCCACGCTGCCCGAAATGGGCGCCGCGGACGTGAACAGGGCCGTCGAGTCGGCGGACCGGGCGTTTTCCACGTACAGGCAGACGACGGCGCGTCAACGAGCCCGCTGGCTCCGGCGATGGAACGATCTCATCCTCGAAAACGCCGACGACTTGGCGCTCCTGACCACGGCGGAGAATGGCAAGACCTTGGCCGAGGCGAGTGCCGAAGTCGTCTACGGTGCCTCTTTCCTCGAGTGGTACGCCGGCGAGGCTGAGCGGACGCACGGTGAGACTATCCCTTCGGCGAACCTGGCGCAGAGAATCATCACCATCAAGCAGCCCATCGGCGTGGCGACGTGTCTCGTCCCGTGGAATCTGCCCATTGCAATGATCACCCGGAAGGTCGGGGCGGCTCTGGCCGCGGGGTGCACCACGGTATGGAAGCCTGCGGGCGAAACACCGCTTTCGTCACTTGCATTGGCAATCCTAGCCAGAGAGGCTGGCTTTCCAGCCGGGAGCATCAACGTGATTACCACCCTACATCGCGTTGCCGAGGTGGGCGAAGCGCTCTGTACCAACAAGCTGGTGCGGAAGCTGAGCTTCACGGGAAGCACCCGGATCGGGAAGCTGCTGGCTCGACAGTGCAGCGAGAACCTGACGAAGCTCTCTCTCGAATTGGGCGGCAACAGCCCCTTTCTGGTGTTTGACGATGCCGACGTCGGCAAGGCCGTCAAGGCTTGTCTCCTGGCCAAGTTCCGCAACGCGGGCCAGACCTGCGTCACGGCGAACAGGATCCTAGTCCAAGCGGGGATCTACGAGGCCTTTGTGTCGACTTTGATTGAAAAGGTCAAAGCCCTCAAGGTGGGCCATGGCATGGAGGACGGTGTCGACATCGGTGCGTTGACGCACGAGCGCGCGGTAGAGAAGGCGATGAGGCACATCAAAAGTAAGTCTTTTCGTTAGAAGGAACTGATACCATTCCTGTGCTGACACAACCACCTCATCCAGGCGCAGTCGAGCTCGGCGGCCAAGTCGCTCTCGGCGGCGGACCGCTCGAGTCCAAGAACGGCTACTTCATCCAACCGACCGTCATCACAAATATGTCTCACAGCTCCATCACCTGGAAGGAGGAGACGTTTGCGCCCGTCCTCGGCGTGTTCAAGTTCGAGACGGAAGAGGAGGGAATAGCCCTCGCCAACGACTGCGACGTCGGGCTGGGCAGTTTTATCTGCACCTCGAGCATTGCGCGGAGCTGGCGTGTGGCGGAGGCCCTCCAGGTGGGCATGGTGGGCATCAATCTGGGATTGCTCAGCGCGGCGGAGAATCCTTTCGGTGGCGTCAAGGAGAGTGGGTACGGGAAGGAAGGTGGCCGCCAGGGCATCGACGAGTACATGCACCAGAAGTCCATCTTTATCGATGTCACCGAATGAAAGCGACGTTTGAGAAGAGGCCAAGGGGCGGTCTGAAGAGACTCCTCGGATGAACAAAGTGTCTTAGACCTGTCGCCTCGTTGGCAAGTTTTGCGGGTCTCCAAGCTGATGAATCGCCCAGTTACCTTCAGGCGCTCAGACGCTCATCGATGTGTATGTCCTATCTAGCCTAGGAAGGATTGTATCCGACCAAGAAATCAATCCCAGTAGGTCTGGAATAGAGAATCCAAGGAACCCATCTAGATCCAGCACCATTTATCAGAGCACGAATCGGTCGGTTTATTTTCCCACTGACTGCACGCTCTCCAGTGTCTCATGATCGTCAGATAAATCTACGCGCTTGGAGGGTCGTTGTACTTTCAACCACACTGTCGAGACAGGTATATAGGATATCACCGCTACTTGGGAAGAGCTAGGAATAAGTGCGAAGCATCACAACGAATCTATTCTATTCTCACTCTAGTCTCGGGACAATCGAGGCTCGAAGTGATAACGTGGGTTACAATAGAAAATTCCTGGTAGAGTGGATTTTACGCCAGATAGCGAACAAATTGATATCCCAAGGACCAATGTAGCCATCCCTTTCCCCTTCTCTTCTGAACCGACTCCAACACTGTCATGACTCGATAAACTTCAAGAGCTCATCCACAAACCCCTCTGGATTCTCCTCTGCGAGATAATGCCCCGCCTCGGGCACGGTACCGATCTGGACATCCTCGTAGAACTCGCGCGCCATCTCGACGGCCTCGTCGGCGTGAAAGCTCCTCTCGCCGGACAACATCATGTTCTTGACCTTGACCTTGCCGGCCTCCTGCCGCCACTTGAGGTTGTCCGCCGCGTCGGCCTCGAAGGCGCGGTAGACCAGGAAGGCGCAGCGCAGCGAGTCCGGCGCCGCGTACTGCTGCGCGTAAAAGTCGACGACCTCGGGCGGGAAGACGGTCTGGTTCTGCATCTGCCGGTCGAAGAAGTACTTGACGTACAGCCGCTCCTTGCCCGAGACCAGCGCGACGGCCAGCTCCGTGTTGTGGCTGTGGAAATCAAAGTGCCACATCTTGCGCGTGTGCTTGTACATGTCGTAGAACTTGGAGCCTGGGAGCAGGTTCTCGCCCCAGGTCACGCTGGCCACGCTGTCGGGGAACTGGCATACGTACGGGTGCGTGATGATGCCGCCGATGTCATAGCCGACGAGGTGGATCTTATCTTTCACACCGATGTGTTCCGTGACGAGCTGATAGAGGTCTTTCGCTAGAGACCGCGCGGTGAACGGGTCTTGTTGGTTGATGTTTCCGATCGGTTTGCTGCTGAAGCCGTGGCCGAGGAGATCAGGCGCGATGACATGATATCCCGCTTCGGCGAGAGGCGCCATGACGTGCCGGAATTGGTACGATGTCTGGGGAAACCCGTGTACTAGGAGAATCGTGCCCTTGGTCTTCTTCTGCCGGTCCGAAGGGAATGACTCGACGTAGTACAGCCGGATCTCGGGGTCGACATGATGGAGGTACGCCGCCCGGCCGAAGACCTTGACGTTTTCAGAGTGAGACAGGATTTGTGCGGTGCTGGTCATTGTGGTGCTGCTTCAGTTAGGACCTGTTGAAGAGATGAATGCAAGTCAAGAATTAGCCCCGGGTTATCCGAGAAATCACAGGCAGTCTTTGCGAGGTATGAACAGCCTGCAAAGTTCACAATTATATTTACAGGCGTAGACAGTTATATAACATCTGCCGAGCCTATGCGGGGATGTCGCAGTCTGTAGAAAGATCCGCGCTCAGAAGCGTCAGGGCATCAACAGTTGACAATCAAGAACTGCTCGGGCTCATCGGACATGGATTCGGGACATCTTCGGAAGATCTCTGATGGAAACGTCGAGTACCTGGATGTTGCGTTGTCTCTGGTAATACTTATAAGGCAGGTGCAGGGCACGACATGGGAATAAACTGCCCGGTCGGGGAAGAGACCGGGTATCACGACTATGCCAACACTGATTTGCAGACGCTGGACCATTGGCGTTTCCGTAGGCTAAGCATCACGGCAATATCACTTTCGATTCATCCCCTCTCAGAGAATATGCGCCGATCACCCTTCTAGAAAGGCCCACCGTGGGCCCCACAGGCTCTACCCAATGTTGCACTCCCGCTCCGAATATAGCAGACCTTCTGCCTCGCGCATGCTTCGGTAGAGCAGCTCTCCGTCACCACGCTACTCTTAGTTTCGAGTAGGTTATACAACTCCACCAGCGTCTGATTGGTCAACATGCTTTTCGTGACGCCGTCCCAGAATGTGGCGTTCAATGGAGCGCTTGTTGGCCAACTTCCAGAGGAACTGTTATGAGCAGCTGCAACTGAATACGTGGCCCGGGCATCATATTCAAATGCCCATTCGGGTGTGGTCCAGCTGTTCGCTTCACTGACATTGGCAAAATAAGTTTGGATGCCCATAATGGAGAATGTTGATGCATCGACTTGATAGAGTTGATAGCCGGCGTTGTTCCCGGTCAGGGGTGTAATGGATGGGCCAATGTACCCAACAGTCAGTGGCTTAGAGTAGTCAACCATCGTAGTGTTCCGATACGTCTTGCCGTCCACGGTATATGTGCTGTTCGGGAGGAAGTCATAAAAGATCTGGATTTGGTCCTCATGGGTATGGCCGAAGAAGATGCCCGCAATTGTGGTCGGGGAAAAACGCACGACAATGGCATAGAAGAGTGCCGAAGGGTTAAGGACGGCGTTGTCCCCATCATATCCTGAAGGGACATGCCCAATGATCCATGCCCGCTGGGCTCGGGCTTCGCATGCAGCAAGCTCAGATGCCAGCCACGTCAAGACGCCGGATGTGTCGGGATTCGTAACATTCCAATAGTTGAAGATGTTATCAACATACCAGAAATCAGTGTTGATGGATATGATGCGAAGACCTTGAGCAGTGGTGTGTGCATATGCGCCATAGTGTGTCGAGGCATACTGTTGCTCTGTGCTGTTGAGCCAACCAGCATCACCCCAGAGAGAAGAGAGGAGCTCATAATTCCACCCGAAAGCATTAGCGGCAGCAGCAGTTGAGCCTGCAGGGTTGAGACTATTTTGCGCTGTTCTGGATGTTAGTCATTACTGTCACAGAGTGCGGGTGTGCGATTGCCTGACTGTTCCATGCTTCTGGGATAGAATCGTGATTTCCTAGCGTGGCATAAACAGGAATGTTGCCCAGCTGAGCCTTGAAGGTTTGGTAGGTGACTGTTTCTTCGTACTCGGCATATTCGCGAGATATCTGCATATCTCAGCTCTATACCCTCTACACACTATCACTAGTCTCACCTGGTCATCGTTATCGTGTGACAGAATGTCACCTGTAAAGATTGTAAATGAGACACTGCTCAAATTGAAGAACTGATGCATGCTGGTAAACGAGCTCAGTGCCAGGTCAGGAGGCGTATCGCAGTAAAGATAGCCTTGAAGAAATCAGCGAGAATCTAGTGGCATCAGGACCATCACCAGTACCGAAACGTGAGGCTGGGACACTGGCGTTTGCAGAGGTTGTCGAAAGATCATCGTTTGTGGCATACGGACGGCAGCAGAGGTACTGAGAACAATTTGCCTCGCTGCCAATATCGTAACGTGGATCTAGATGCCAGTCCGAAGTATGGAGGACGTTGATGGATTTTCCTGCATGCAGTTAAGGCGGCGAGTCCGTTCAGTATCTCGACTCTTACCTGATGGTGGTGGCACTTTCGTTGCATTAACCGGCTTCGGGCTGAAGTACAGACTCTCTTCAATGCCAACCGTAAGGGGTTGTGGGCATACGCCCCAATTGAAATAGCAATAGTAGGTCATGTCTCCAGTTATAATGCTCATCTTCGAAAATAGCTGAGCGTAATATGCTCCTGTAGCACCACCGCCAGACGAGTAGGGGATAGACGTGTTTTGGACGCTGCCATACTCTGCTGCGCAAGTATCGGCAAAAATAGCGTCCTGCACTGTTGGGACTGCCTCGCATCTGTAGTAGCTTAGCACTAATCATGCTGCCTGAGTATTTGCCACCGACATTCGGATCAAGATATTAACAAAGTTGTCGACCGGCAATGTGATCGCTGCTAAATGCATCAGCTCAGCACCCGCGACACACTGCGAACAGTTGTTCGAGAAGGTCGTTGTGTTAGCAATCGCCAGCAGCTCGACGAAGAACATGTCTTCTAAGCTGGAACTGCTATTGACAGGTGTGATTGCTGGTGGAATAGGCGAGACAAGCTCGTACGAGGGAACTGGTCCTGAGCCATTGTAATAAAGCACAGGTCCATTTCCGTTGGGGATTAGATTTGTATCGGTTGTGTTCAAGGCCTGAGCGGTCGATTTAATCGCAGCATGAGTGAGGGTAGCAGAGCCCAGTAGGAGCACACCGCAGACACAGCTTAACATCATGATTACTATAAGGCTGAGGGAATCGAGGATGCTGTCTGAAACACTGGTTGGGATGAAGGACGTCCAGAGATCTACGGGGAGCTTGGCTTCTCATCTTTAAGCTACCTTTCGGCGATAGGAAAGCTTCTCTGCGAGCGCAATGATAGCCTCGCATGGCCACGCAGCTGTCTGCAGTGAAATATCGAAACACCAATAAAGACGCCCGGGTTGAGCACGGGATGGATCAACTAAGTGGTGTAGGGTGAGAAGGGAGCGGGATGCTTAGCGAGCTTGTCGAAGCTTAACTTGATCCTTATTAGGTTGGACATCATAGGGTGTGACGAGAGGTCCAATGCGGGCGCCGGCAAAAATGTACAAGGATGGAAGAATGATAGTACTGCATTGGAACAAGGAATGAAGCACAGTTATTGATGCCGAATCTGGCGAATCAAATGAAATGTTTGCACGTGACCAAGGTGCTAGTGAAACGATGTGATCTCGGCAGAGTTTCCCTGCAAACGCGCATCTCGGCCCTAAAGAATTCGAACTCGAGTCAATGCGTGCATGCAAACACCAAATTTGCGGATTCTTTAGCAGCCACCCGCCGGTTGCACGATCTCACCATTGAAAAGCGTTGTCCTCATCAGACAAGAACATGGACACAGTTTCAAGCTCAATATGTCGAGCTTGCCGGCAGTGTTTGATCAAGCCTGCGCCATATCGAGCTTTCAGCTCATCCTCTCCTCGCGCATATATCCCACCCGAGTCTCCTGCCTTTGTCGATGTCCCAGAGCCACTCCAAACAATTCGAGACTCTCAAGCTCGACCAAAGGGTATTCTTCCTGTACCTCGCGAGCTTTTCCCGTCACGGCGGCCCGACAAACCTGGCCAGCAATACCTGGACAATGTTACGCCTGATCCGCTTCCCAAGAACATCCCCCCTCCCGATCATCTGACCGAGACGGGGAAATACAAACGGCGCATGGCCGAACTGAGAAAGACTCATCTACGCTCAGCGCTGAAAGAATTACACACCCGGAAAACGTCGATCGACACGACCATTGCTGCTCGCAGTGCTGCCAAACAGCGCGAACGGGCCCGACTCCTGTCACAGGCCGAGCGAGAAGACGTCCGTCTCACCAACGTTTCTGTCCCCAGCGCAATGCGTCCGCAAAAAATTCACGAGCTGTCAATTGAAGAAGAGCTCGCCAACTATAACGCCCGGAAAGCCGCATATGAAGCTCGCCTCGCGGCAAAACACGAAGATCGTCTCGACAAACTTCATACACTGTACATGAATTCACGAACGTTCATCACCGATAGGGAACAGCTCAGTGCGGCTATTGAAAAGGCATTCACCACCACAGGAAGCATCTGGAGGAAGGATGGAAGGCCAGATACAGTGGAAGAGATGATCAAGCGCGGAAGGGACAGGACTGCAGACCAGGGACGAGGTGGCATGATGTTGTTCAGCGATGTCAATGAACGTGCACTCAAGGATCAAGAGAGGATGAAGAAGATTGCAGAGAAATTGAGCGGTGGAAAGCTGTGAGCGGAGTGAGTTTCATTTGCGCATACTTGTGGGAGCAATATCGCGATGGAGTCCGTTCGCGGAATAGCGTGTGTGAGCGCCCTGAGGAAATTGGCATTGAGGTGGACAGTCAATAGAGGCCCTTCATGGAAGAAAAATGTATAACTATGTAAAACTTGAGATCAGTAGACTGCTGGCTCTGGGTTCAAGTGTATACAACCCTGTCGCGCTAGATCTTGTCAAACAATATTCGATCCTTGCCAATGTACCTCACAATGTAAGCGCAATACCAAGCTATATCAACAGACAGCTCTTCAAACGGTAAACATGCATCCTTTACCAACATCCCTTCAAAACTCAGCTCGAGGTATGCGACTTCCGATCGGCTCTCGTATCCCTTCGACTCTCGGCGTGCTTCCATCTTCCTTCCATGTCGTTCTTCAGACGGAGACCTCGTTCAAATGGTCGAGGTCTCGTGTGCTGGTCCCAACCGGCTGCCATTGACCTGTGGTGCTGCGTTGCCATTTAAGAAGATGGCTGTCTTTAGGAAAACCTCTGATACGTGACATGTACTATGTCGACTGCGTTTGTCGTCGTTCTTGTGACTCAATCCACAGTCGGTCCTTGCGACCGCTTTGGGCATCGAAGTCGATAGACGAGAATATGGCAATGTTCGTGTGCGGCTTGCAAGCAGACATCGTGTCGTATCTTTGCCGAATAGGATGATATTGTTGCACAAACTTTCAAGTCAATGCACGCACGCCGAGCCCAACACTACGAGTCTCAAACAACTCGATCAACCCGGCACCGAGACACTCCTCGAGGATCCAGTCAAAGTTGAGGCCGTAGAGGTCTTTCCACTTCTTGGTCTTGGATGGCATCACTTCGGAGAATTCTCCCCTGATTTGTTTCGCGGTCGATACTCTACTTTGCGAGTCAACCGCGCCATCCCACCGCTCACGTAGGAGATACAGCGGCGCTTCCTTGTATTTTGACCTGCCCAGGAGTTGGAGAAGATGCGTCCGGCCCGTCTGCAACAGTCTCAGATACGGACCGATGTTTGGCACGGACAAAGTCAAATCTCCTTCTTGTGAGGCTTGTGTGTGATGAAAAGAAGATTTCGATCGTCGCGCAGCACCAACGCCCCCGAGGTTTTCAAAGGCAGCATCTCCGCCAACAGCGGCGGAAGACCCTGACGCGGCACGAGAAACTTTAGGCATGGAGACTAGAGATGAGCCAGCCAACGAAAGATTTCGAGTGCCTGCCAATGACGAGGATACAAGGAAGCCAGTTCGGGTCAGTGTAGCCACATGGGATGCAGGTAGCTCTTGAGACGGGATAGACGCGGCTCGCGGATAACGACGAAGCACATCGCAGAAGTCTGTACGGACGTCCGGTGCGACATCGCTCCGCTCCAGCAAGGCTTGGAGATCTCGCATGGTGATCAACACCTCGCTTAAGCCGCTGATATCGTTTCCTCGCCCCATGACTTTTATTTTGCGAAGCTTACCGGCGGTTTGCAAGGCGGCGATCTCCCTTTCAGTCTTGGATGAAGCAGCAACAAGAGCATGTACATGAGCCAGAGAGACGATGGCAGGCATGTTCCGCTGGAAGTTGAGTACTGCAGCAATACGGACACTGTTCATTCCCGCCCGTTCTGGAAGTGTTGCAAACATGGACGTGCGAGCATATTGCACGGCAGTCAACACATCCTTGGCTTGCTCGACGGAGACAGTGGATAAGACTTTGCCGCTAGGAGTCAACCTATCCTCTTCTCCCTCGTCGCCCTCGTCCAGCTCATCGTCGATAGTATCAATAATTGGCCTTGCTTTGCGACCGGGCGGTTTGGTGCGTGGAAGGTTCGCGAACGACGCAGAGGAAGAGTGCGAAGAGGCGGGTCTCTTGGCCGGCTTTTTCACCCGCGATGAGTGGGCCGCTGTGACATACAACGGCATGACGCAGGAGGAGAAAGAGGTAGGACGAGTGGTAGAGGGATGGTAGAACGAAATCAAATAGCGCCAAGCGCATTTTCACCTGGCAAGGTAGGATGAGCACATGCTTCCCGTTTCGCTCAGGTAGAGGGGCAGAATTGGGGGGCACAAGGCAACAGCATTTGGTGTAACGGAATGGAGTGTGTGGTCTGAGGATTTTTCAAAACAGAGTTCCTGGAGCGCAGCAAAGAGGGGCCGAGAGAGGGGTGGTTGGAAGAAAGTTTGACAACCTTGGCTGGGTGGGTTGGGCGTTGCGGATCAGATGCCGGGCCAGTCGAAGGGCGAGAGTAGGGCTGCGCTTGGCTGCAATGGGCAGTGGGACACCCAGTTCCGGGCGGCAGCACCAGTACTTTGGGTACTTCGGGCACCTTAGGCCAATTAGGCCTTGGGATGGGCGACGGGTGCCTCCGAGGTTCAGGCGCAATGGGCCCATAGGCTGTTAACTTGGCCATGGCTGGCGTGCCAGTCTCCACCACGTGCGTCATGCTGCCCCCCAATGCGTGTTTCCGGCCCAAACAAGCTCAGATTCGAGTTTCCAACTCTCACCATCAATCTGTATTTGCTCGTTTGTCCTTCGCTTTGCCGTAAGATATCTCTCTTTACTGTTGTCCGGCTGATCGCGAGATGTTGGAACCCATGGGATCCAGCACTTTGCACACCTGCTTCCGACGAATGGATCCTGTATCACTGCGTCGTCTGTGATTCAACAATTCCATGGACTGGAAGAATCTCGTCCTTGCCCGACCTCAATTTTTTTGTTCCACCCACCCCATCAGCAATACCACCACGTTCTCTTTTAATATTCATACTTCTTCTCTTCCACTGCTTGTCTACGCACATACATACTCTCTCTCGATTATTCGTGAAACTTAGGACTGGCTCGAAAGTCCACCTCACTCGCCCATCGCAGTTTTAGGCGGGGTGACCCTCGACCGCAACCACTCACACCACCAACTTCGTTCCTCGTACCTTCTCTGCCTACCAACAGACAACATTGATCAATCGTTACGCTGGTTCTGCGCCGTCTTCCAAAAATCATCCATTCTGTCGACACTCTCTGCGTATTCACAGTGTTAGCTCCGAACGCCACGATATACTATTGAAAATGACCATCTTCGTTGCTACCCTCTTTCTACCCTATACTATCAACTTCGACATTCCATCCTGTACCTCGCGGCCCGAGTCTCCTGAACTTCCGAGGCAGCAGATAGCCCTCACTCAGAACACTCCGAGTGACACTCAGACTGTGAGCCTCTTCACACCTGGCGCAGTCAGTGGCTCCCCGCTGTCCCAGCTCTCCCAGAGTTCCGGCCCAATTCCTCCGACTCCAGGCGCTACTACCGACCATGAGAAGATCTTCCGACCTCATACTGAGCGAAAAATAAGCTTGACTCTCCCCAATGTCAAAAAAGAGGTTCCGGTTCCTGTGCGCGCCATCTCTCGACATGACCTCCATTCTCCTGGTTGGGGTAAGACCTTCACCTGGAACCAACCTCCTTCACGCGCCAAGTCGCCTCCTCCAAGTTCAATCTTGAAGCATGCAGTGGTCAGCGCCAGGGATGTTAAGGAAGTCAAAGAGAAGGCTATTTCGCTAGCCCACAATGCCACACACCGAGGACGTCGCCAGAGAACGAGGACTGTCAGCCACGAACGACACTTTTCACATGACAGCTACACTGTCGAGAAGGCGATCATCGGCAACGGAGGCCTATACAATGCCATTGACGCTGCTGTCGATGCTGGGATTTGCGAGGAAAAGACCTGGGTCGGGACACTTGGCTGCCCAGTCGATGCCCTGGACGAGCATCTGAAAGAGAATATTGCCGAGAAATTGGAAAATGACTACGATTGTTTGGCTGTTTATACCAGTGACAGTGATCTTAACGGTCATTACGAGCACTACTGCAAGACCATCCTCTGGCCTGTGGTCCACTATCAGATTCCAGACCACCCCAAGAGCAAAGCATACGAGGATCATTCGTGGGTATTCTACGCCAAGGTCAACGAGGCTTTCGCCGATCGGATCGCAAAGAACTGGAAAAAGGGCGATATCATCTGGATTCACGATTACCATCTGCTACTTCTGCCTAATTTGCTACGTCAGAGGCTCCCTGAAGCTCAGATCGGCTTCTTCCTGCACACTGCATTCCCTTCGTCGGAAATCTTCCGTTGCCTCGCTGTTCGTACAAACCTCCTCCAAGGAATGTTGGGTGCCAACATGATTGGGTTCCAGAACGATGAATATGGACATCACTTCCTCCAGACCTGCAGTCGTCTCCTCAACGTGGAGGCGACCAAGCACGGAGTCATTCTGGAGGACGGTAGATTTGTCCATGTCAATACGTGCCCTATTGGTATCGACCCAAAAGCGATCGATCTGCAACGACAAGCGAAAGAAGTCAAGGAGTGGGTACACACAATCACCGACAAATACCGAGGCAAGCGAATCATTGTGGCACGAGACAAATTGGACAGTATTCGTGGAGTTCGTCAAAAGTTTCTGGCTTACGAGCTATTCCTCAACAAATACCCCGAGTATCGGGATAAAGTCGTGCTCATCCAAATTGCAACCTCGTCTGCTGAGGACCCAGAGCTGAGTGCTACCGTTGCTGATATTGTCACTCGGGTTAATTCGACCCATTCGACTCTGGCCCATCAACCGCTGGTGTTTTTGAAGCAAGACATTGACTTCTCCCAATACATGGCCTTGCTCACCGTTGCTGAATGTTTAATGATCACCAGCTTGCGCGAAGGCATGAACTTGACGAGCCACGAGTGGATACTCTGCCAGGACGGCAAGATTTCCCAGAACAAGTATGGTCCTCTGATTCTTAGTGAGTTCACTGGGTCTGCTACAGTCTTTGGGCACAATGCCCTTTTGGTCAACCCTTGGCACTACAGCCATTGTGCCGATGCTATCAAACAAGCCCTGGACATGTCCCTCGAGGAGCGCGAGCACCGCTGGAAGGCTCTGTACGATATTGTTGTACATCAGAACGCTGTTGGATGGTTTGAGCACTACGTCAAGGGTTTGGAACACGCATGGAAGGAACACACAGTCCGTGACTCCACGGCAGTTCCCCGACTGTCTTTACCCAGTGTTAAATCGAAGTATCTGAAAGCCAAAAAGCGATTGATAATTCTCGACTACGAGGGGACGTTGGCATCCTGGGGTTCACCCACCGATATCATCTTGACCACTCCGAAGAGGTCGGTCGACGTATTGAACGATCTCATTGAAGACAAGAAGAATATTGTGTACGTCATGAGCTCGAGGATGCCTGAAGAGATGGAGCGGCTCTTTAGTCCCGTTAGTGGCATTGGGATGATTGCGGAGAACGGTGCTTTTGTGCTGGACCCAGGAACCGATGAGTGGCAGGAGTTGACCAACCTCGAGCATGTTCGAAACTGGAAGAAAGGGGTGAGGAGTATTCTGCAATACTATGTCGACAGAATTGAGGGCAGCCGGGTTGAAGAGCGCCATGCGTCACTGATCTTCGACTACTCGGACGCAGAAGATAGACAAGGGGCCTTCAAACAGGCCGGCGAGTGCGCCAACCATATAAATGATGCTTGTCGTGGACAGAATGTCAATGCGATTCCGATTGAGGATGGACTCAACATTTCGGAGATGGATGTCAACAAAGGGTCAGCCGCCCAGCTGATTGGTGACAACTTGGAAAAGCAGGGTCAGGGGAAGGACGTGCCATTCCCCGAATTCCTCATGGTAATTGGGGATTCGAGGGAGGACGAGTATGTCTTCAACTGGGCTCATCGCTTGGAAAAGGCTGGAAAGATACGAGACGTTGTCACCGTGACGCTTGGTGCGAGAAGTACTGAAGCATCAGCTACATTGACTCAAGGTGTTACTGGTAAGTTGGACCTTTACAGTCAACCCTACACGGTAACTAACATTTTGTCTAGGTGTATTGTCAATTCTGGAGAAACTCGCATGGTCTCAGCAGAAAGCGTGAAGTTTGGTGCTCCGATTAGACTGGATGTTGTCTGTGGTTAATGAGGCTCATTGCGCGGAAGGTTGAACAAAAGTACGCAGGGTTTACACGATGGGAACACGAGCTTATGATATGCTTAGAGCGGGTTAGCGACCCCCATAGATACCCTGTATTAGGAAGGTCAGGCAATAGGAAGACATTCGTCCTAGCGGTAGAGCAGACTCCGGACGGTGGAAATAAGTGATATTCTGTACTTCCACGTAGGGGTTACCTGAAAAGCATTCAATCGATGCTGCCATTCCTGCGTGGGGTTTTGCAAGTTGATCATCCAAAGGAGATTTGGGAGGTTTGTCAGCTATGTTTGATAGATTGGCACGACAGGATGGTCTGTCGTTGGTGTACCACCAACACCCCCTCCATATCCCGCTATGTATCTATCTAGATGGTTGTACGAGAAACCTTGTAGTCCGCTTCGTCTGGTTGTGATACAGACAAATTATGACGTCAGCCTGGCTGCCCGACTGCGATTAGCGCTATCTCAGCCTCGCGAGGCTGTGGCGGCTGCACATCGATGGATTTGTCATCCCCCATATTGCTCCCACTCTCTGCCATTCACTTTGATCAATGTTAAAGTCTTCAGAATACGGCAATCCTGCTTTTTCGAGACAAGCTAAACGGAGATGCCAACGCCAATGCCAGTCGATATGCTGATTCATATCACTTCATCACTTGGAGGATTCAAACTTTGACGGCTTGGAGGTGAGAGAACAAGGACAAAGGGCGTGCGGTGTTTTCTCATTATGAACGTCGAAACCCCCGCAAGTGTGCAGGTCAAGTTACATCCCTTGCAACTCTCTATTCTTTCTTGTTGCCCGTTGGCATTCTGGGGATGGGCCTTATTCCTATGGACACATTTGGCTTACCAAGCCAATTGACCAGTTTGTTGTGACGCGAGTAACTTTTGCTATAGCCACGAACCGGTACAGAGAAGGTTCAACCCCGTCGCTTTAAGGTCCTATGTATATAAGAGATCGCCAGACTCTCCGTGGTACGGTCTGTATTGAACAACTTTCTCGTTTAGAACAGTCGATATAAAGTGATCGCAATTCGCACCTACCAAGCTTTTCCTCCCGTGTCGATTCAGGAGAGAGAGAGACCGTCTAACTACACGAGATCGAACTTGATATGGCTCCCACCAAATTAGGCTTCATTGGCTTGTCCGCTGATGGGTATGTTGTCCCGCAAACAACAAGACGCTGTGTTGGAAGCTGAGCGAGATGTTTCCGTCCTGCAGACAATGGGCAGCCAGTTCACATCTGCCACATATCCAGAAGAGACCAGACCTGTTCCAGATCACGGCGCTGCAGAACAGCAGCAAGGCGTCGGCGGAGAAAGCTGTGCAAAAGTACAAGCTGGGTGGAGATGTCGCATGCTATGACGACCCGGAGCCTCTGGCCCGCGATCCCAATGTCGACATGGTGGTCGTGTCAGTCAAAGTGCCCGAGCATTATCGACTCATCAGGCCGGCGTTGGATGCGAAGAAGGATCTCTTCGTCGAGTGGCCGCTCGCGGCGAATGTGAAAGAGGCAGAAGAGCTCACGGCCCTGGCGGCGTCCCAGGGGGTCAGGAATGTTGTCGGTTTGCAGGCTCGTCAGAACCCGAGCATCCGCAAGGCCAAGGAGATGGTGGCCAACGGCGAGCTGGGCGAGATTCTCGGCACCACCATGCTGGGTTCAGGCATGGTCCTGGGCGCAACCGAGGCCCCCGTGTACGAGTACATGGCCAAGATCGAGCACGGAGCCAATCTGATGACCATCCCTGCCGGACACGCCATGGACGCCCTTTGCTACGTCTTGGGAGAGATGACAGAATTGCAGGCCAAGTTGGCGACGCGGCGCCCGACCATGGACATTGTCGATGCCTCGGGACAGGTCCTCCGAACCGTCAACAAGACCGCGCACGACTGGATGTCGGTGACGGGGACACTCGAGCGCGGAGGAGGTGTGGCCACGATTGTCTATCAAGGCGGCCTTTCGGACACGGGCAAAGACTTTTACTGGGAAATCAACGGCACCAAGGGGACTCTGGTGCTCGAGGGCCCGAACGGCCACATCCAAATGTTCCATCCGACGATCAAGTTCGTTCCAGCGGGTGCCGGGCGCGCACAGCTGAAAGAGATTCCAGTCGAACCGGCCAGTGACTTTGCGTATAATGTGGGGAAGGTCTGGGATGCGGCCATGGGCGAGGGAGACGGCGGCGTCGTGACCTTCAAGGATGCGTTGCTCAGACATAAGATGATTGACGCGATCTACCGCAGCAACGAGAAGGGGACTCGGGAGTCGTACCTTTGAATGTCCAGATACAACACCGGTTTGGCTGAGGGGCTCAGGACATCGGAGGATGATAGCGCGTGTAGGGGTTTGAGCCATTGGTTTCCCTTGACCAGTGTCTCATTCTCTAGAAATGAATGCACATGTCGTCGTAGATCACCTTAATTATTCAGCTCCTGCGCCTATTTCTCAGTGATAGGCCAGGAAATGAGGCTGATCGACGACGGGGAGGTCCACTTTCCCCTTGTCACGAGTACAAGGACTCCCAGACAGGTATCCGGGATAGAATCTCCGCATCCACCCGGTCTCCTTGCCCACTTATCTACCCACCTGTAGTCGTTCACCGCGCAGGTTCCAACGGCCAGGGCCGCAGGCACATATATTTGCGCGACTCAGCCCCCACTTTCAGGCGGTGGGAACCATTCCCTCCAATAATACCCGAGGACTCGGTAGATACGAGTACGCTCGAGTCCTCGAGTGCCACGTGGTGGCATCAGCCCTATAGACCTGACCTTACCTTGCCTGCATGGGTCCTGGTCCTGGTCCTAGGCGGCCCGTTCTGGACATCTGCGCCTGCACTGCGCCCGCCTAGGGCGCCCCTTGTAAGCGCTTGTGCCGGATTTGGGAGACCCCGTTGATGAACTTGTCCTGGGCGGGTGGCTCTTCGGTCCGTCCTGATTGGAAAATATCCCCCTCCACGGTTACAGTACATGAGACCCTTTCTCATCTCTTTTTGGTCTTGGGACGCCGTATCCAGATTTCGCTTTCTGCAAGTCTGTGTGTATATGTATGTCGTCAGCTTTGGCATCACAGGTGACGAAAGGTCCCTTGGTCCTTGGGGCTTTGGTCATTGGACTATCCAAGTCCGCATCGTCTCGTGTACCTCGCCCAGATGCTCGGCTGATTTGCTGGTGTTGGTGACATGGATGCTCATTCGTGACCCTGTCGCTATCAAGATGTTACCACTGGCTGGATGCGCACCGAGCTGAGGCACTGCCACTGACTGTCACGCCCAGCCCATGAGAAGACCGCTGCTTGGGAGGTCCAGGGGACAGGTGAAGATGTATAAGATGTTCCAAGATCCGCGTTTGTCGTCTCATGTCTTTGAACCAACCACCCAGTACACACGCAGGTCTACCATCACCGAATAACTTCATCACAGTCCAAGATTTCACACCAAGGCTAACCCATCAACGAGGACACTACCAGAGACAACCCGGGGCTTTATCATCTAGTATACAATGGCATCGGCTTTCTTCGCGCGCAAATCAGTGCTCTCCATGAACACAACACCCAATACACCAGCCAGGTTTTTCCAGACATCTTCAACTTCATCTTCGACATCATCATCATCGTCGTCGTCATCATCATCAAAAACATCCTCTCCCGTCACATCCAAGAACCAGTCGACCAGCTCCACGAGCAGGAATAACGCCGGCGCACCAGGCTCCGACGCAGACTCTCTCTCAAGCTCTATGAGTAACAGTTACGGATCGTTTATGCGGTCCATGTATACCAGAGGCCTGTGATTTGAGCATTTCTTCCAAGCCACTTCACGCGAGGGTAGTGTTTTACCCAAGACCGGTGAAGGAGGTTGGAGGAATTGGGATTCCGGGCACCCATGTTGGACTGTGGTGGTGGTTTCTTGGGGTTATGCGAAAGTGTTCGAGCCAAGTTTTTTTGTGGGCGAGAAACTGCCAGAACTAGGGGCAGATGGAGTGAGCTGTTTGGACAAGGCTTCGCGGGACTGAGGGAGTAGTTCTTTTCGAGAGATCGTCATCTCCACATCTCTGCGTCCTTCTGGAAAACCTGTCGACATTACACCTGCTCGGTTTTTTCAGCGGTTAGATGTTTGTCTGATGAAAAGAAAAAAAAAAAAAAGCAATCTTGGTTCCCACTGGTCGATCTCCCTCTTTCCGATTCTCTAAGGTGTTTCTTTGTCTGGCATTCGTGGTTTGAGACTGATTTCGAGAGTCTAGCTTGGAAGTGCGGATACTCATATCGAGTCGGCTCCCCATACCAGAGAAACAACGGTAATATCATCTCACGGACTTTCTCGATCTGCGAGCTACGCCAGGAAAAAGCAATCCTAGTGATGAACACACGCACAGGTCAGCCGGCTCATTAAGCCTGTTCAGAGTGTAGGTGGCTCTGGAACAGCAAACTCACCTCGAAAAGGCCGTGATCAGTCAAAAACATATTCCCCGTGGGGATTTCAAAACTTAATGGACTCTCGTCACTCGATGTCCAGTCCCATTGTTGTTCAAGGAGGACAGAGCTCGTCAAGTTTTCATCCCTCGCAAAATTGTCCGTGACGTGGTACGCGGGTTCAGTTCCGGTTTCTGCCTCTGTTTCGATATCAAGCCCGTCGATGACCTGGAAATCTTCTTCGCGTAACTCACGCACGCTGTCGCCTTGGTCGTGTTGTGCTTGAGCCTGTTTGATACTGCTTTTTGGTGCCTCGTGAGTATCAGGGGCGGGCGATTCTTGGAACTGTTGGACGTCGCTCAGGTCTGCAGAGATGCTCGTTCGAGAAGACTGGAGAGAGGCGGAGCATTGTGGAAGTTGGTCAAACGCCATGGTTGCAATATTTCGGATCTGCGTGAGGGCTTCAGAGCTCAGGCAAACCTCACTAGAGCTAGAGTGTTTCTTCAAGGAATCCGATACCAGCCTCAAAGCTGTGGCCACATGGTGCGGGTAGGCGTCAATGCTGAGGAGGCACACCATGTCGTTGCGACGTGACCCTACCGTTGAGCCAAATACGGTTTGAAGGGAGACTTTGCATTGCGTCCCCAGCGAGATGATATTGATAGTCTCTTGTACTGCAGCCCATTGCGAGATGCCCAAGTTTGATATCAAATCTCGCCTGTCAAAGATATTCAGGGTATCGTACAGGATCAACAGTCCTAGGTGATAATGAAGAGCGAGAAGGTCTTGGAGCCCGTAAACTCTCAATATACGGATTCTGCAGAAGGACAGAGCACTTACACCAGTTGAGCTGGGCCTCGAAGTCGAGGAACAGCAATGCTCACTTACACGCAGCGAGCAGCGGAGCATATGTGACGTCGTATCTGTGCATGCATTGGACAACGGCAGTCTGTGCACGGACAACGAGGTGCGGCTCATGGCGGTAATTGAACGCTTCGCGGATCGAGGCGACCGCTTTCCAGAACAACCCTTTACAACCGCTGGCCGACTGAACTATCCAGATCGCGCGTTGATTGGTCACCTCGAAGCCGTTGAGTCGCCACGATTCCGTCTTGTCGTGGAATTCTTGCGCAGTTCTTTGTAGGAGCTGCACTGTCCCCTCTTGTTCGAAGCCTAGAAGACTCGCGTGGAGAATTGATGGTAGACCGGTGCTCAAAGACGCCGAAGTATCAAAGACGAAACCAGCCCAGTATACGATGGTCTCGCGGAGCTCGTAGCCCTCGTCAGTTGTGTTAGAGGACGCGACTGCTGATTTTGCCCCTGCTCCTACGAGTGCGGACTCAAAGCGGTTGACATATCTCCTCCTAGCCCGGACGCTCTGTAGCTGCCGCATCGCAATGTCAATGCACACTTCACCAATGTTCCCATACCCGATCTCCTGTTCCTCTAGACCTGGCGGCATGGGAGTCATTCCAAAGATATACAGTGCAAGTATCGATCTGTAGCAACGCCTCCGCAAGATGAGGAGGATTTTAGATTGTGCGTTCTGCCAAAGCCTGCGGGCCAGGTCATTCAGTTTGTCAGTTGAAATGTTCTCTCCGGCAACCAGAGGGAGCCACCGGACACTGAATGCGTGGACGGCTGCATTTAATGCGTGGTTGACCACCATGTCTGCTTTGACACACACATTTCCTGGTCCTGGGACTGGATGTCTGGTTTCAACTTGGCCATCATGACCCCGGCACGGGCATTTCCATTCGTCCAAGCTCACAAACAGCCTGGAAATGATTGTTCTCGAGCCCTATGTGTTCATCCATTCTCATTAACGACTGTTTGTCTGTTCAGCGGACGAATATAACGCAGAAGGGGGGGGGAAGGTGGGGCAGGGTCTGGACTTGCATCTGGCAGACCCGGGTATGGGCAGCAGCCGCTGCCGAGCCATACGCCGAGTGCGGTCTCAAAGATCGAGGAGAAGATGTGCCACATGGAGAAATCGATCGAATCCTCACGTAGGTTGAGCGCGCGGGCAACTCGTGAAGACGCGGTGGATCCTGAAGATGATGTTTCTCGGCCTAGAGATCTAGGTGTTTCTCAGATTTGGCGTAAAGTCATAAAAGAAAAGGTTGATACCAACACAGACCGTCCGCTGTTATGTATATTCTCCTCGTATTCGAATGATCGATGCACTGTGTCTTCTCCGTTCTCAACGCTGTCAACAGAAAATACCGAGCTCGACAGACGCCGACGCCGCTTAGCGACCTCAAGCCACTAAACAACCCACATGCTCAGCCCCAATGCCACCACTGGTCCCGTAGAGAACAGAGTCGACTCACTTTGAAAGTGCAAGGCCGCTCTTTCCTGGCGCAGTTGGTGCATCTGCGGTCGCCAAGGCCGCCGAAAACAGCGACGCCTCCCCCTTCTCGCCTGTGCACAGCATCGCAACGGATTCTTGAGGCCCGACAGCCATCGCAGCTTGAGTTTTGTTTTCGCGGAGGACGGGGCGTCTTTTCCATTTTGTTCTCCAGGCTTGTTTGCCTCTGAGTCTTCAGTTAGAGGATGACTCCGTGATGGAGACAGGAAGACAGGTACATGGTACACAGTAGTATGGTGAGGGCTCTCCAGGTGAAATCCGAGTCTTGACTTCGCATGGACTGCGACTGGCAACCAAGGAAGAAAGGCTCGGCAGTCTGTGACGAGCATTTTTATCGCCCGGTCTGGCGGAACCTTCACGGGAGAAACACGGTAGCGACATGTTCGGCTCTCAGGCGTGAAGGCACTGGGAGGGACTCTCCACTTGTCAACTGGCCAAGGCCCATGAGCACCAGGGGTCGTGGCCCCTTTTCTGGACAGCCTCGAGTTGGGACCAAGACCCACTTATTTCTCGCGTTAGTCTGCTTTGGGAAATATCAACATCGTCATTCCTCCGGAATCAGCTTGGAAGATTCCCCTTCTCGTGAGTCTCGAGATGGATTAGCAAGCAAGAGTCTACTAAGAAGCAATATATGCGGGGTTGAGCGGGACCAAATGTCGGACGAGATTTCTGGGTCTCCATGTTCGGGAAGTACGTTGCTGCGGAGGTTGTCGTTAGGGACTGGTAGGTCCAGGTCGGAACCCCTCGCAGCATCTCCTCAAGAAGGTTATTATACTCATCCGACTGTGGGGGCTCTGGGACTCGCTTCCGAAATGACTTCCTCCGCAAGATGGTAGTTTATGATGGGTTGCCGAGCAGTTATTTCCCTCTGCACCATCGAGCGACCACAGATAGTAGTATACTTCTACTGTTGATGTATATACCACGGACACTTCCTATCTAGATATCTAGAGACCATATCGTACCCTCCCAGAGCTACTCACAGGTGCTGTGAAAATGTCACACACGCCACTCCCCCATCCGCGCAGAATCGTCACCGGCCACGATGAGGAGGGAAAAGCGATCTTCCTCGCCGATTCGCGCATCCCCTTGGAAGTGACCAACCTAGGCGCCAGCCTCGGCGTGCTCTGGGAGACGAAGCAGGTCCCGACTGATAACTCTGGGAGGGATGATCCCGCGACGACGAGGACGACGGATCTCGCGAATAAGAGCGGGGTGGTGCTTAGGGTTGTGGACATTGAGCCCGGTACGACCCAGATAGGTTTGTCCTCCAATCCCCTTTAGTGATGTGGGCTTGAAAGAAGCGGGAGGAAGGTGGTCCTTATCAGAAAAGGAACAGAGAATCTAATTGTCGTCAGGCCAAGATGCTCTTCCACAGGACCGAGTCGCTCGACTTTGGGATTCTGTTCGACGGTCGAGTCTCGTGGTGAGCTTCACCTCCAGCAACATCTACTGCAATTCCTTCTCCTTACATCTTATTCCTTTCTCCTTCTTTGCCTCTTCAATGCAACCTGCACTGTCTCGTACTGATCAAAGCGTCTTGGTGCACAGTTACTTGGACGACGGCGCGAGAGTCGACATGGAGCCCGGCGACGTGTGTGTCCAGCGCGGCACGATCCACGGGTGGACAAATGCCGGCACAAAGACAGCACGAATGTATTTTGCTTGATAGGTACGTTGGCCTCCCGAGAGGCTTTTCTCGTTGCCGTTATGTCATTTCTTTACTGATCAGGGTTGGTGTTGTCGTCGAATAGCCGCGGAACCGGTCAAAGTGGGAGACAAGGTGCTCGGGGCACATGGATACCACAAGGAAGATGTCGCGACGGGAGGGACGTAAATAATCTAGTGCGAATAACAGGGTACTATGTTTACATTCGAATGCTTGTGTGTTCGCAGTATTGCGATACAGTTTCAACACTTTACCAGGATATGTATTGGTGGATCTTGTATGTATTTACAAAGAACCAATGGCTACCTCTGGTCATGGATACATCTATCTAGACGTGTTCTTGGACAAGGTATCCGTATGCTCGGAGGAGATTGTTCTGCGTGATTTAAACTCGGGGTGGATATTTCAACCTTTTCTCTTCTTGAAAGTCATTCTTTAAGCTCAAAACCTCAATGTCTTGCTCTATCATCGGATCGCCCACTCGTTTCCGGTGCCCACTCCTCGCCAAATTGATGTAACCGGGCCTCAACCTCGTAAAGACACCCTGTGGATCGTATTTCTCGCTGACCCGCACCAGTCTCGCTAGGTTCTCCTCTCCGTAGCTGGCGAACACGTCCTGATCGCCCGCCGCGTAGTTAAGGTAGACGTACCGGTGGAACTTGTTATGTGCTGTCGCCGTCTCCGTAACGCGCTGGGTGAATGTCCGCGCGAGGGATTCGACGAGATCGTCGTCCGAGGGGTCTTTCCATGACCAGAGCAGGGATATCACTTTTTGGGGCACTTGGTTAGAACACTTACGCGGTTTGCTGGAGAGTTGTCTTTCGGCTTGGGACCTAGGAACTTACCGAATAGAGGTCCGTCTTTCCTGCTGATGCCCAGCGGATTCTCGGTCTCGTCCGCCGGAAGCATTCGCGGAAGGAGAGGTTGTAGCAAGATCGCGGGGACAAAGTCCTTGATAGTATCTCTGTGTGGGTTGATAATGTCCTTGTAAATCTCCATGACTTCGTTGAGGACGACGACGTCGCTTTTGACCGCCAACGCTAGTGTTTTCGACCTTTTGGCCGGGATGTTAGCAATCGGCCATCTCTGCCTGACGGCGTCAAAGAGGATATGTATGATATGACATACCTCAGCCCATGGGGATTATTCGCATTCAACTCGACAGACAAGTCGGCAATGCTCCGGACCCTGGTCGACGACGCAATCGACGGCAAGGCCTTGAACCCGTCAAACACAGGAGGATCTTCCCGCGGTTGTCCATGGGACAGAACCGCCGTGGTGACGAACTTGCCCATCGGCGCGACGTAGGCCGTGATGATGAAGGCCTCGGCGTAGACATCTGCAGATGACGAAGAGGGATCCTGGCTTTTACAGAACTGGTCCAGCAAGGCGACCGCCTCCGCCTCTGAGTCTTCGAGATACTGTTTCACCCCGCCCCAGATCTGGCCCTGCTCGAACGCAACGAACTCGAATGTCGTCACGACCCCGAAATTCGTGCCCGCGCCGCGGAGGGCCCAGAAGAGGTCGGGATGGGATGCGCGTGTGGCGGTGACGATGTTGCCATCGGCGAGGACGATCTGCTGGCATTCGCTTAGGACACCTGCGTCTGCATGGCCTCGTCACCTCGAGGTCGACATACCTCGTAGCTCTTGACATTATCACACGCAAGCCCACGCCGGCTGGCTGCGAAGGAGATGCCTCCTAGACTGGGCAGTCAGAGCTGATTCGTCGTTCTTGTGGTCTCGATATGTATATCTCACCTCCGAGAGTCAAACCACCAACGCCGACAGTCGATATACGCCCCCCAGGCACACTGACTCCCAGCGCGTCAAGTCTGCCGTAGACGTCCCCCCACTTTGCCCCTGCGCCGACGAACACGGATTTGCGATCAGGGGCCACTTTCACCGAGTTGATCCTGCTCAGATCAATCAAGATGCCATCCTGGATGCTCGATGCGCCAGCGTAGACGCCATGTCCGCCCGCTTTCACCGCGAATGGGACTTGCTGATCCCGCGCGGTCTGGAGGATGGTGGCGATGTCTTTGGCGTCTTCCGGGAATACTTGGACAGCGGGGACCAGGGCTGCCGACTGGGCCGTCAAGTACTTCAGCTCGCCCGGCCGCGGTGCTGCGATTTTGTCCTTGCCCAGTTGGCCGCGGAGTGTGGTGTACTATCTAACCCTTAGCACTTTGATATTGTTTCCAGTTGGAGGGGCTCGTACTGACCACGTCTTTAGGGGCCATGACTTGTGTTGTGGAAGGAGGTCGAGCAAAATAATAGAGAGACGGTGTTCTGGTAATAGCGCTACTTTATATACTAGACTTGCACGTGTGCAAAGATCCTTCACAATCCAAGCTAGTGTATGGTCTGGGCATCTGAAATACTCCAAGTAACACGGGTGATTGATTCGGCTCCCGCTCGCGCTTCCCGCTTCCGGGAACCGAAAGGCCGTAAACCCCATGAGACCCCGGCGCCCCAGATTCCCGCAATTCCTAGTCTGTGCACAGGATTATGTGCCGCTGGAGAAAGCGGAGTCCATTGCGGAGCGCGTCGAAGGTCTCATCACGGTAATCTATGTCGGGAGTTCCTTTGATCAGGTTTCCGGAACCGGAACAGACCAGGTCGCCCACGGGAACACCACCTTTCCAAGAAATAGATACATATACCGCATGTTATCTCCTTTCAATCTCGTCCTTCTCACCTTTGTACCCCCAAAGATTTCATTGCCGTTAAAGTACAACCTCACAAGTGACAACCATGCCCTGCAAGCTACAGATCCTCATCAACAAGCAAGACCACCTCAGCGATGAGGAGTTCCACCATTAGTAAGTTCGTCCAAAGCGACATTGCACTGGCACCGGCACACACAATACAACAAGTCACCGCTTGACTAATCCTGTCTCAGCTGGTCCGTCGAACACTCCAAGATCTGGCTCAGTACCGAGATTGTCAAGAAGAAGATCATCACATACTCTCAGGTTGAGTGTTCCGAGCACAGCACTGGCGAGGGATCCACCATGGGGCTGACTGGTCAAAAAGTTCCACGTCGACAAAAAGGCCACGGCGGTTCTGACCGACTTTGGCGTCGATATTGGTCAGTGGGACGGCATCGTTACCATGGTGGCGGAAAGCATGGACGAGTTGTTGAGCGTAAGATGGGCCCCTTTTCTCTCAAAAAGTTCATTGGAACACAGATCTGTTGACGAAATCTTTCAATGTCAAGTTCTTTGCCGACGAAGAGTATCTGCGCGTGGTGGTGCCTGATGGGAAGAAGTTCCTGAAACGCGAAACGGCCATCATGATGATTGGGGAGGATCATCCAAAGAAGGTCGATGGAAAGGTCGTGATAGATATTGGGAGGTAGACTTATAGAACTAACTTATCGCTTGCCGGGCGACTCGACCTTTCTTCAGGCCTGCTTCTTGTATTTGAACCTCTCCAAGAGCGTCGTCAATGCCTTCTCTGCTGCTTCCTTGGTTGGTATCGTGCCGGGAAACCCGAACTCTTTCCAAACGGCTTTCTGGACCTCGGGCCGCTTCCGCAGGTAGTGCATACAGGCCCCCTCGATGTAACGCTCCTTGATGATTCCGCTGTCGTACCAGAAGACACGGTCCAGGATAAGGAGCACTTCCAGACAGATGATGATCATCTCGATCGACACGAGATACGTTCGAACCGCAACGGTGACGGCGACGTGAGCACCTCCAGCGATCCACAACATCGGCAGGGCGGTGCCTGCGGCTATTGCTGCGTCATTGAGGGCCGCGCTGAAGATGCTCGCGCTCAGGAAGGAGCCGCCGAAGATTCCCAGGAGAATGGCCGAGTCATTTTTGACCGGCTTGGGCACCTTCAGCGCGTTGCCGATGATGGAATCAATCGCAAGGGGATCAGGCTCGGTGTAATCGTATACCGTGGCAATGGCACGAATGGCCTTTGACAGGAGTTGCGATTTCTTGTCTTTCGAGCCAAGGAATTGGAAGTTGGGTCGATGTCGACCAAATTCTCGTACGGCGGCTTGGATGGCTCGTTTGTGCCGGTCCTGGACGAATCGCTTCTGCGCCGATCGATGTATGTCGGCAACAATCTCGCTGGTCAGTTTGGCATATGACGCAGTAACCAAATCCCTGATCGACTGTGTGCCGCCTGAATCCTATCAACGACTAGATCTAGAAGATCGAATGCCTGCCTGGAAGGGAAACGTACTTGCTGTGACATTCACAAAGATCGTGGACCCGATTCTTGGAAATCGTTGTCTCCACTCCGCGGCCATTGACTCTGTTCTCTGGGTATATCTCGTAGAGACGAGTGGCCGCAGGTTCTGTCTCAAGGCATCGGGTAGGTCTCCCCATCGGTAGATCTCGTTGAGTTCCTGGTGACCCTCGTCGATCAATCTATTTCTGTTTTCATCAAACACCGCCGTCTCAACGTCAGAGAGGAGCTTATCACTCATGGTAAAGACGTGAACCAGAGGGATTCGTCCGAGATCCGCCCTGAAGAACGTTGTATCGCTTCCTTGAATTCTGGGGTTGTCTGTTGAAGTACAATACCTTGTAACCATGTCAAAAGCGAAAACAGTGGCATTCTGTGCTCCGACAACTCACCATATACAATGAAGCTGGTCTTGTAGCCTAGGCTTCTGCCCACATTCGGACACAAAGTTCTGGACATCGCGCATTTCATTGTTGGTACCAGTCTGAAACCCTCTAGCATCGTGTAATGACAATGTAGGGTTGCCACCGGTGATGGCCTCTCGTATTCGACTTCGTCCCATCCTTGCACCGTGCTCGGGGACTGTCTGGTCCAACGTCAGAGTCAAAATTAGGACCCATGGAGTGCGGCTAGTGCGGCTAGTAAGGTCTTACTCACTGCCATTCGGCCAACAACTTTGTTGATCAGTGCAGATTTTCCAGCATGCGTATGCCCTGCTATCAAGACTCGAGGTAAATCTGGGGCCATTGCACTGTGGATCTCGTCATGTATGTTCCATAGCGCTCGGTGTTCGCGAATGATAAATCGATCTGTGTCTCGCAGTTCCTTTTCGAATTTCCACCTGTTGACCAGCTGAACCACTCCAGGGTTCTTGTGGTCAAGATAATACACGGAGGGGTGAATGAAGACACCGTGAGGGCCTAGGTCAGTCAGCATACAGGTGAATACCGTGCACCCACACTTCCAGTCTGGGTAAGAGGAAATAGGTATACTTACTGTTTGAGAGATAGCCAACTAGCCCTCCGTCTTTGAATATGAGTCGGTCGTCCTTTCCCGGGATGTCGATCCCAAAGTCAAGACTGGCGTTGAGTCCAGGCCTTTTCATTGCGCCTGTCAAATCTGTCACAGATGATTTTATCCCGTTCTTGTACCGGATCTGCCTCACTGGGACACCGCGTGGGAAGATGAGGTGTGATGGGTCCGTGACGTTTGACCCTTCTAGGCGTTGAAACCCGACTTTGAACCCATACTTTTCAGCCTCGCTGACGATCCACTGCAGCGGCCACAGAGCCAGACCGTCCTCCTCGCATCCTCCGCAGAGATTGCCATGCGTGCCAACGAACCAGGCCTCCTGAAGACTGCGTGAACCATCCAAGTCTTCTAGGTCCGTAGACGGGAACTGAGTAGGCCGATACGCGTTCCTGCGCTCAAATAGAGCAAGGGCGTGTCGCGCGTGCAACGTCGTTCTCAGAAGACCCATATCATTGAGACCCTCGTCATCCAGGGCCTTGACTGTATCAAACAGGCCGAGAAACTTGATTGCTGGGCTGGGTCGGGTGTGGTGTGATCGATGTGCAAACACAGAGTTCCGCAGTAGGTCATCTCTCGTCTTTGCGGCGTGATAAAGTTGTAGGGACTTGTCGAAAACGTCGTCAAAGTCAGGGTCATTGGCACGCAACGCTCCCAGGTGGTGAAGTAGACCGGCAACGGCGCGGACGACGAAAGCGCCTCGGCTTGAGCCGAAGAGAAAGATCTCATCCTGGGATGGACACAACTTGCAGCATCGCTTGTAGATCTCTTTGATTTTAGACTCGTAGCCAGTTCTCCCTTTCCCAGTCACTCCAGAGACGAGGCGCTCGATGGGGCCATCGACGGCACCTATACCGTCGACAATCGGGTGTCGTTGCTGCAACCAGGTCTTCCCGGTTGCGTCCTTGACTTCTCCCACAGCTGCCATCATCCATAGCCGACTGATGTTTGTAGCATTGCCTTGGGGGGCCCCAATTGCTCCGTCTGGAGTCAACCAAGTGCCATCTGCACAGATAATGAGCCGGATAGGGTGATGCGCAGTGCCGCAGTCACGACATGGGCTCGTCTCTCGATCCTGTTCCGGATCAGCGATGGCAGCCGATGGTCCCGGGGATTCTTCTCTGGTCATGTTGGAGACTGAGGCTTTCGTCTTGTAGTAGAACTCGACAAGGCACGAGGATAAAACCGTACTTCAGCCTTGCTCAGCCTTGCGTGTCTGTGACGTTTCTCACTGTACCGAACCTACATTTCACGATGTGTGGTAGCAGTAGAATGCAAGCCGCAGGAGGCCCAGCCTTTCTTTTATGGAACGTAGAAGAGGAGGACCATCAACGACGAGTTCACAGCAGAGAAAAGAAGAAGACTGGCCTCCTCCCAACTGGTGCGGCTGAGACGAGCGAGATACTTATACATTTTCCCCTCTTTTTCAGCCGCGGCTCACATGCATGCATGCAATCCGTCATGATAAGGCGGTTCACATTCAGCCTTATTTCTGATTGTTGCCTTGCGCCTCACAGCCTTACTCGCACATCCTGATGCCTCGGCATTGTGCATTGACTGGTTTCTGGGTGGTCTGTGTATCTGCAGTGCATATGAGATTTGAGAATCCCTTGTAGTCAGCCGGATAGGACGGCGGAAAGGGAGTTTCACCTCGATGGAACATTTCCTCGGAGGGTTGGTGAGATAGTCGGAGGTCTAGGGCAAGTGCCTCTGTAGGTAGGCACGTGGGTGGCACGCGTGGCACGCAGGGTTAGTAAGATTATGTAATGACGATCACGCTAAACCCTTGGGGGCTTTAGTTGAAGGCTCCAATAATTATTCGATGGTATACTCGGTATTGTCTGATAGGTCCCTTAGACCTGGGAGAATTCACTATGTTCCTTTATCAGAGTCACACTGAGTCTCAACTCTTATCAGACTTGGAGTTAGAACTCCAGCCTGCTGCTTGAGCCTCAGGACTGTCAAGCTCACTGTATCTGGGCGCATCTCCTTCCTCCACTGTCGGCAATTCGTGCACCGGCTTGGGCTGGCCGTCCAGCTCGGCCCTCTCGTAAATTTTACTTGGTAACGTCGTCGCCGTGTTGGTCCCTACTGGAGCTCCAGTTCCAGCACCAGCGACCGTGGCTGGCGTTACATAAGTCGCATCCTTGCCATCTCCAAGGCCCTTTTCGTGGTTAGACGGGACCAAGTAATTCAATCCTTGACGCTTACGAGTATGTGTACGCTTGCGTCGTCGCAGGAACCAGATCGCCAGGCCTACTAGACCCAGCGCTGCGAGAACGCCGATGACGAGTCCAGCGATCGCGCCACCACTTAGATCCGAGCCGCCACTACCGCCACCGCTACCGAGCAAAGAAGGATCCGTCAAGTTGCCCGGTTGAGCCGTTGCCGTAGTAGCAGCGGCACCAGAACCGCCAGCGGACCTTGTCGTGCCTGTCGTGCCCGCCGTGGTGGTCGATGTATCGTAAGTTGATACAGGGTTTCCAGTATCAGTTGTACCGCCAGCAGATGTGGTAATATATGGCGGCGCAGTTGAACTAGAATCACCTTGCGTAGTCGTCGCACTAGGAAGAGGGGCAGTAGCACTTCGTCCCGACTCGTCGATGATATTGATCGGGGCCGAGTCGACGGTCTGAGTCCCTTGAATCAGGCGCAAGCTGTAATATCCCCCAAAATTGTCACCGATGTCGACATCCCACTCAAATTGTTGAACAATGCCGTCGTCATCGTCGGCTGCGTGAACCAAAAACATATAAGTCAGCTTGAGGCACTGAGCAGTGCGTGAGCAGGAGCAGAGATTTTTAACTTACAATCGTCGTTAAAGACATCATCAATAATCCTCCCATCTTGGACCAGATCCACGGCGATAGGCTAAAAACGGTTGAGAAGTCGCATTCCGATGATTTGCAATGGAGATTAAGTTGAACAAGGTAGAACGTACCGTCACTCCATCTCCGCCGGTCCAAGATATGAAGATTTCTGCGCCTTCGTTGATTGACTCAGGAACATTGGAAAACTGAAGCGACTGAGTCTGGCCTTGACTTGGACGCAGCCAGATGACCCAGAGAAGAAGCAGGGGGATGGGAACGCTCGACAAGGGCATATTCCTCTGACATGAGAAGGCCCTCTTGTCTTTTCGGAACGAATACTTTCAGTTTGAACCAGGAGTGAACAACTCCACGTCAAGTGCACACCTGTACAGACAAGACGTAATGGGAGTCCTGAGGCATTATTTCAACAATAAACGACAACAATAATTCAGTGCAATCTGGTCCTCACCGATGGCTGGGCTGCAAATGTATTTCGGGTTGGGATAGCCAGTAAATTCCAAGACACAAATGCTTGATGACCCACAACAAGCGTGGCTGTGTGGTCTTGTGCTGTCTTGTGGTGGACTGAATCAAGCTCTTGGTCGCTGGGCATGCCAGACTCACTCGTAAGCTACAAAGGAAAAGTTGGTAGAGGACGTGGAGCTTGCCATGGAACCTGGATCAAATTCATGGGTCAATCTTCTTATCTCGTGCGCGGAGTACCTTGACTGCCAGTTGCCTCTATAGCACTTTGCATGCTCGAAGCTATTCTTAGATCCATCTCCTTTGATGAACGTGGGCACTGCATGAACTCCGAGCCCCCTCATTCTATGTGCACTATCCAGGAGCTTTTAGGAAATATAAGAAGCTCCCACACAGTGTTTTCCTGTTTGCGGCAAGTCCCGCTGTGCGTTTCGGACCACCGCGGCGAGGGTGAGGGCGATTTTATCAAGCATTGGCACCAGTCGGGCATGATAACTTTTCAATCCGACTCGCAGGTATGATTGTTTTGCGATCTTGCAGCTGAGGGAAGCAACAATGGGGGCCAAATACCTGTATCGTGATTCACTCGGGAGAAAAAGCAGCGCCTAGACACATGGTGAGTTAAATGCTCGATTGCGTATGAGTCTGATGATGCTGAACCCAGAGCCGTTGCTTCTGATCCATGTGTCACAGGCTTTCGGCCAAAGCCTGAGAGGCGGAGGGCTCAATATCTCAAGGAAAATCAGGGTATCTATGGTTAAAGGTGAATTGCACACATAACACGAGGGACACGCCAAGACTCGGCCGAGGAGTGACGAATGCAACTGTCTCCATTCGAATCACAGCCTCAACAGGCTGCGCCTGTCCTTGGACATCATCGAACTCGTCGCTGTGGACATTTCGTGTCCGGCCCCATAGTGGCCTCCTGGCAGAAAGACTGTCTTGGTGAACGCGACCAGAACTGCTTCGTGGGTAATTGGTGCATAAAAAAAGACAATACATGCACAGACTTCGAAGAACAGACAAAGTACCACCTATAGTGGACTTCTCGGGCTTGAGAGATCTTGGGATCGGCAACGCTCTTGTAAGACCTGGCTTTTGGAACCGTGGCTCAGCAAATTGTACGTATATTGTACATTCGATGACCCATAAAATAGCATCATCAGTCCTTGTATAGTCCATTGCCGCTACTCAATCCACCTGAGCTTGGTCCTGGGTTGCGCAAGGTACACGTCCAAACGTACCCTCTTGACGTGTTCAATGGTCAATTCGATTCTGAATAGAAAAAGTTAATTCAAGGTGATCACGCGACAGCGATTGGATCGGATTGGATGGGATATGACAACGAATGATGGAGAAATCGCAGCAGCACTGCCACTGTCTTGCCAACGAAGTCTTGGAGTATTGGCGAAGAAGGGATTTGGCAAATCGTTTCTTTCTCTGGCCTTGCGTTCGATGATCCTACACTAGAATGAAACTTAAAGGTGTCCAAGTCACAACCCAATCTATATAAAAGATATCTCTCCCTTCAGGTTGGGCACAGTCACTTACAACAAGCCAAGCTCGTTCTTCTGAAAATCACAATTTTCTATCATAAGCGAGAAGCAGAGTGTCAAAAGAAAGACTTTCTCTACATTCGAGAAAAGCAAACATGAAAGCATCTGCGGTGGTCATGACAACCCTGTTGGCCGGTGCTGTTCTTGCCCTACCAACAGCGCCAGCACCAGTCGACTCTTCCAACCGCCTGGCAACTCGTGACACGAATATTGATGCGTTGAGAGCGATTCATTATGCCGGGGGGGCGGGACAGTCCCTCGATATCAGGGATGATCCGGTATGACACTCTTGAAGAGCTGTGGCCTCATCTCGCAATACATTGTTGTGGATTGCTAATACCGTTCAAGGATACCACTGATGGGGAAGACACAGACGATCTCGAAAGCGACACAGATGACGAGGTAAGTACTCACATTAGATCTTTCTTCTCCCATAAGCCCCATCGATTCTAACTGGGCATTGTAGCGCCGGAAAGGAAAACTTACGCGAGCTGTTCAGAAGCGGTCTGAGCGGAGATCCAGCTCTTCCTCGTTTACAAAGAAAGACAAGAGACGTCCAGATGATACAGTGAGATCTGGCCCTTTTACAAAGTCCGATTTTGTCACCAATTCTAACATTTCGCAAGGACAGCGAGCATAGTGACGGAATCGACAGTGACAATGACAGTGATAGCGATGATGACAAGGTATATCCTCCGGACTCGGTAGAGCCCACTTGATATTAACTTGAGGTTCTTCTAGAAACACCGCAAGCGAGCCGTGGACGTCAAAAAGGCAAGACGGGCAAATCGTACTAGACGCACCGCCAACAACAAGAAACGCGATGATGATACCACCGACAACGATAGCCCGACTGATGGCGAGGATAGTCATAATGACCACACTGCCAGCGACACTGACTAAGTCTCTGTCCCGCAAGCACTTCATCGTATCATATCAAGGGGTTAATTGCGATCACCAAGGTCTTTTCATCTTGCTGAGGGTAGTGAAATTTTCATGGGCTCACCGCAGTTCGGAGGAAGTCGCTCGTTAAGGTGAAGAAGGAATCTCCAATTACACGTGCCACTCGTTTATACTGTACTCAATGCCGGTGGAACTTGAACAAAGCCCTCTTGCCAATTTCCGATTGCTTCGGCAGACAACGTTTGGGTGTCTAGAACCCCTCTTTCCACGTCCCTATGCGTAGTAGCTCTTTAGAATCACTGAAAGGGTGGGGCCTTTGGTTGCCAGAATTGTTGACACCTGCTCCCTTCTGCAGGTGAAACATCCAATACGCTGGACATGCTCTATTTCCTCGTCATCTACAACAACATCCGAGGTGTAACTATATTCAAGCAACCTCGTTTCGCTAGCTGCGGGACGCTGCAAGTTCAAGAGCTCCTGGAGCATAGAACTATTGGCCCTATCACATATTGCCTGTAGTGGGAGGTGTCGGTCGTCATGAACGGCATCGTGCTCTTCCGTCAAGGTAGCTACATGGGATGTGGAAAGAGGACCTGATTGTCGTCTATAGCAAGGAATGACGGTACAGATGGTGTGACGAGCGACGGCTGCGCTCCACCAACAATGCAACGAAACAGAGCTCTATCCATAGCCATCGTTCGTATCCCTGCATCTAGCCTGATACCTGATGTAACTTTGTCGATATTGTTCAGAAACCCTGCGAGCGAACAACTTGCCATGAGTAGCTCCCCCTCTCACCCCAGCAGCGCAGCCTGCGGAATCAAGATCGCCCACTCCCCGTTGAGGTCCTCGACCGTCAACGTCCACTCATTTTCGTCCAACTCGACTTCAAATTCACCGAGGCCAGAAGTGATAAAGGTATTGGTCGCGGGATCCAGTTTTCCAATGACACCTTGGTTGACGTCAACAAGCCTTTTGACTTGCTCGCTGTAAATGTAATCAACTTTGACAATATCGGTGGCTGGATTAGTGGCGGCGTCAGTGGCGACCTGGAAGGTGGTGCGGTCAACAAAGAGAAACCCGGCGGGTGGGCTGGCTGGATTCGCGTTCTGCGTCACAGTGATGGCGTTGGCATTCGTGCCGTTGTACTCAACTTCTAAAGATCCGGCAGCCTGAGGAGGGAGGAACACCGTTAGTGAGGTCCGTTATGTTGCTAAATGGGAGTGTGCTGTGCTGTGCGAGGCAGGAACGGAAAGCAAGGACTTACGCTCTCAGGGAACAAGATATCAGTCTTGACATTGCCACCAGGGACGGCGATCGCAGTTCCGAAAGTACCGTTCACGTTCACTTCTTCTGCTGGTGTCTCTTCCGCCGCTGCTTGCGACGCAACAGCCGCTGCTGACACGAAAATTCCCCACTCTCCATTCATATCGGCAACAGTCAACGACAGCTCATTTTCCTCAGCTTCGAATTCAAGCTCGCCGAGAGCAGGGTCGATCACAAACTGGCAGCCATCGGCAGAGAGTTTGCCAACTTGAGCCTGGGCAATGTTTGCGGCCACAACTGTAGGATCTGTTGGATAGTTAGTATTTGGGGGAAGAGCTTGTTGCAGTGAAGCCTTACTTGCGACATTGAAGATATAGTCCACCTTTTGTAGAGTGAGACCCTGAGTTCCTCCGGCCAAACTCACAATAAAAGACGAAGGTTCAAGGGCGACGAAGCCTGTCGGAGGCGGAGCGGGAGTCTTGTTCTCCCTCACCGTGAGGGTTCTGCCATCTCGGTTTTTGAACTCGATTTCGAGGCTTCCGATTGCCTTGTCATGACTTAGTGAAACACGGACATGACTTGATAGGATGCGGATATCCATCACTTACTGATGGTGGGTAGAGGACGTCTGTCTGGATATCACCTCCCTGTAAGGCTACAGCCTGACCAAATGTGCCATTGAGATTGATTTTTTCGGCTGTTTCTCCTCCTGCGGCAGCGTTGACTGGCGGAGTTCCTGGTGCGGGACAGGAGGTAGCAGTGGCAGCTGAAGGAGCCCTCGTTGAATTGACTACAGTCGTTGTTCTGCTTCTGCGCTCGTCCAAGTGACGCCTTTCAATAGCTGGAGGCGCGGGAAGAGCATCGGGTAGGCGGAGATTGGACACAGCAGCCCGCTTAGCTTGCACCAATACCGCAGGTCCAGCCAACGGCATCGGAGCAGCAAGCAGACTCAAGAACTGAGACAGGAATATCAATGACAGGAATAACATGATGACAGCAGTGTAAGAGAAGAGGACAGCTCCAAGACAAGTGGCGAGACAAGCACTGTGGAAAGAACGTGACACGAAAGAAGGGAAGGCTGGGCCAGCAGCTCAAAGAATATAACAGACGCGGAAAACGATGTACCGTATCAACATGTTTCTTGACAGGATTGGCAAAAGTGACTGGACTCTATATAAGAAATCCTCTACGGCTGCTCATCACGGGCAATGGTCCCTCGGAGTGAGAGACGAACACTCATCTGGTGGATCCTACATGACACCCGCTATCACAAGAGCAATTTCAAAGGTGTGTCAAGTTAATCTAGAGGACAGATACCTCCTCATGATAGTTAGACCTGTGAGTAGAACTAATCCGTCAACACAGGAGTTACTTTGATCACTTGGCGCTGACCCCTTCTGCGCGAAGGTCTTTACGCGGACTTGTCGCCAAGCTGTGTCCGAAAGAGGCAAGATCAAGTCAATGCCAAGACATTCCACCCCGCCGCCAAGCACAAACGTCGTCGCGGAATGAGTGACGCAAGCAAATTCGGCTCGCACTTGGCTTTCACTTCTAATCGTATACTACTTGGCAGGCTGGTAGGGCAATTGAAGACGAAGCTCCACGTGTCACAATGCCCTCGCCAGTACTTGCGATAATCGGAACTTAGCAATGAACAACCATGCCAATGTGGGGTGTCTAGGCCAGTCGCAATATGTCTTTGGAGACATTAATTCGAACCCGGTATTCGTCGCAGCTCTCGCAGTGCTTCTGGACATCTTCAAAGCTGTTCTGGATAGCATTACATTAGCTAGATCGCTGCCACATCCTTCATCAGGTGCAAGACGCGAATGCGTCGAGGTGGTTACGTGGCGCACGTCGTGGCGTTTGCTCGGAAGCGTCGTCGAGCCAAGCCGCTTGCGACGGTTCGCGACTCTATCCGTCTCATCTTGGTCTGAACGTCTGTATAGCCGCCCTAAGAAGCCCATGAAGCCCATAAAAGATGACGCTATCTCCTTATTCCTTCGTAATCAGTATGATCTAGAACCCGGTTGGAGGCGCGAGGATACAAGCAAGCGAGCTTGCTAGGCTAAACCTACCGTCGAGACTTATATCGATAGCTTGTATCACTTGTACCTTTCTTCCTCTTAACGAGCAAGAAGTGGCTGGCTTATCCCCCATGAAACAGGTGTACGTCAACTCAGCACGCTCCCAGCTAGTATGGCCCTCTTCAGATTTGCAAAGTAACTTCCACGCCCACGACCGGAGGGCTTGGTGTCGTTTGACATGACACCCCCTATCTGCCGTTCCCCACGAAGTATTGGAAAGCGACGCTGAAAGCCCATTTTGCTGCAGCACGAAACATGCTACCTCGGGGCCTCGCCTGTTCGAAAGTGTTGTAAACAACGGCATCGTCGACGGCTGGACAATAAGTACCCCCAGAACATGCTGCTTCCTATTAGACAGGGAGCCACTTCACTAACGAGAGGGGACTGAAGCCTCACTCACTTTCCTGGTCTATCAATCCGGGTATTCACAGGCTGGCCGTTGAATTATCCCTGCTATATTCAACTTACATTCCTTTTGCTCTATCCAGTTCGCTTTTCCTGACTATCCAAATAACAATGTTGTTCAGTTTTGGAACCCCACTACAACGCCAACGCCGCCACGCCCTCAGACCACATGGCCTCCTCCTCGCCCTCCTCACACTCACATCGGGTGCCGGTGCCCAGGACGAGGATGAGCCGACCTCGTCAGTAGCTCAAGCCAGTGAGCCATTCACTGATCCTCTGACGGCACTGCCAATGCAACGCTTCTTCGGAGCACGGACACAATTCGCCTTCTCCATGGCATTATCCACCGCCGCAACGACAACCACGTCCTTCATCGGGCAGCTCTCCTTTCCTCTCGTGGGTGGCGCTGGCTGGGGCGCCTTCGGCCTGACAGGCGAGATGGAAGGCAACTTCATTCTAGCCGTGTGGCCGGATGGCGCAGGCGGCGTCATGGCGTCGTTCCGCCAGGCCATAGACGAGGACAACCCGGCCGAAGTGCGTGGCAATTTCGCTGTGCGGCCCATCGCCAACGCCGTCTCCGTCAGCGACACACAGCTCACATACACCTTCCTCTGTGAGGAGTGCCTCAACAGCAGCCTCGGCCTGGGGCCGGAGGCCACCGTCGCCAACGCCGTCATGGGCTGGGCCCTGTCCGAGCGAGCGGTTCGCGACCCCGGAAACCCTGCAGCGTTCTTGGGATTTCATGAGCGTGGCTTTGGACCGTTTACGGCAAGGTTGGGTGACGCTAGGACTGCGGCGTTCGAAGGCGTGGCAGCTACGGCTGGGTTGCCGGTGGCTGACTCGGGGAATGCGGTGCCAGCCCAAACCAATATATTTGATGGCGAGGGAAGTGGGGACGAAGGCGGCAGCGGTGATGATGACGACGACGACGACGATGATGATGATTTCTTTGGGGTAGCTGCTAGTACTGGTGCTGGCGTCCCTGCTACAGGAGCTAACATCGGCAGCGGAGCTGCAGCCTCCGGTAACAACAACCAGGGGGGCGCTGGGGACGACAACGCAGATGACTCGGACGACTCGGACGACGATGACTGATGACGAGAATTGTATCGTCAGTAGCGTTCAACGGAGCCTATTGTAAGGTGAATTGTCTCGGTGCGTCTGTCACCATTTGATGCCCCTAGATCTACTGTACATATCTGTCCTTCCATCGATCACTACTTGGGCCGCTGAGCGCTCAGTAGTGCACTATCGTTTGTAACATAAAACATAGACTGGATCTCTGTGGCAAAACTGCCACACGAGCAAGACAGTTCTCGAAAGTCCCCGGTTTATCATTAGGTTGGGTGCTGCGGCTATGCTTTGGGATAGTTTCTACCCTGATGAGTGTGAAGGTCACGAAACCAGATGTCCACTTCTTCCATCAGTTTACGTTGTAGGTATTCCACATGCACTGCAGGTTCAACCAACCGCATCGCTTTCATCGCCGAATAGTATACTCCGTATAGTCCGATAGGTCCTTAGGACCTGGTGGAATTCACCATGTTCCTCCATCAAGTCACAGGAAGTATCGTAGCCTTGCATGTGCCTTACTCTCTCCGTGACTCGCTTAACTCCATCTGCGGCTCCACTTGCCGAGACTGCTCACAGTGCGTGAAACGGCAACTACTACTTCCTAATGCGGAAGGCCAATATTCCCGACTTCTCCGCATTCCAACCTCCAGGTCTTGGTCGCTTTTTTGCCTTCTCCAACATCTCAAAAATGGTTGACGTCTTGCGTATGACTGTCAACATTTCGTTCAAACTTCATTGATTCTCCAAGAAGTCCTTTTTGCCTGTGCCGAAATCTCTACCACCACAGATAACAAAGACAATGCCTCCCACGGGTGTCGCCATCCTCCTCGGCGCCGGACCCACAACCGGTTCGGGTATTGCCCGGGTCCTCGCCCGGCCATCCCAGGGAAACCTCGCTGTCGCCCTGCTCTCGCGCAGTGGCGATTTCCAGCTCGCCGAGCGCCTGTCGCGTGAGTCCGACGGCGGAGTCCTCAAGGCGTTCAGAACCGACACTACAGAGCAGAGCCTGAACAATGTGTTTGACGAGATCAAGCGGTGGTCCGAATCGCTGGGCCAGGACGTGAAGTTGAAATTGGCCATCTGGAGCATCAAACACTCGCACAAAACGCCGTTCGAGGACGAGTCCGCTCAGCGCTTTGGGGATAGCTTGCAGACCTACGTCACCGGGGCCATGGTGTTCAGCCAGCTGTGTCTCAAATGGTTTCTCGCTCAGTACCCAGCGGATGTCGAGAAGAGTGCAGCAAGCGGGCATGAGGAAATGATCAAAAAGGGAACATTGATTTTCACGGGGACCTTGGGCGCTTTGAGAACCAATCCCGGCTATGCCGCGTACGGGGCTGGACGAGCGGGCGTGAGGATGCTGGCCCAGAGTCTGGCCAGGGAGTATTCCGCCAAGGGTGTTCATGTTGTTCACGCGATTGCCAATGGCGGCATCGTCGATGTCGATGCATCTGCTGATGCGGAGGGAGATGACGCGAAAGCCAAAGAGGCCAAAGTCGCTCTAGGAGAAAGAATCCGTGCGGAAAGCGTGGGCAGATTGTACCTGGAGTGTATGCGCCAGAGCTGCGACTTGTGGGTCCACGAGTTAGACATGAGGCCTGCGAGGGAGAAGTTTTGATTGCATTGAATGGCTTCATCTAGCCACCACTTGGTGTATAAGGGTTGAGACAAGGGCCGAACACGCTCGGAATGACTGAGTGTCTGTTCGAGGTACGTAACAAGAGCAGATGCCATCAACTACCTATACAAGTACCTACAATAAATATTCCTTCATTACTACGTGAGAGATTTTAAAGCTGTTATGAGCCCAGTAGTCTTGTATTTCCCAACTCTCCACATTTTCCACCCACTACCTTTCTACGTACCAAGCCAGGTCGTTTCCACTTTGCAACTCATACTCCAAGAACCCGTTGCCCAAGAATCGAAAGCGGTTCTTGTCTCTAGTCACAATCTCAAAGTCTTCGGGCCGCAGGTCTTGGATGAGCCGCTTGAAGACCAACGCGCTGCCGGCAAAGGTGGCCGTCACGCGGCCGTCGACGGTGTTGTTCTTGTACCAGCTCCGACAGGCCCCGGTCCAGGTCAGCGTCTTGTGGATCTGGTCTGAATAGAGAATAAACTCGTCCACGGCGCTCTGCTTGGGCACGACGGCTTTGATGTCCTCCGAGGCGATCTTCCGCATCCACTTGATCATGTACTCGGCACTCCAGCCGAGACTCTCCATCAGAGAGCCGTGGCCGATCAGTGCGTTCGGCCCCGTGAACATGAAGTAGTTGGGCATGTCGGCCGACGCGAGTGAGAGGTAGGACGAAGGCTCCTCGGCCCATTTGTCTGCGAGATTCACCGAGTCGCGACCAACGATGGGATACTGAGGACGGTAGGAGACGTCGAATCCCGTGGCACAGACAACTGCAGAGGACGCGCTGGATTAGCTCTGGCGGAGCGGTGTGTGTCAGAATGTGTAAGCCTTACCAACATCCACTTTGTACGTCTTCCCGTCGGCGGTGACGACGCTGTCGGCATCGATGTGCGTGATGGGGCTTTGAGTGAGCTCGACGTTGTCGCGCAAGAAGCATTCGAGATAGCCTTCGCCGGGTGTGATCCTCCGACAGCCCAGCTCCCACTTCGGGATCAGTAACTCGCATAGTCTCGGGTCGTTTTGTAATTTGCTCGTCATCTGTGTACGAGCCAGCTCATAGATCTGCCGATTGAGCTCCGAACCTTTCAAAAACTTGCGGGGGTCTGTCAGCGTTCTCATATCCAAGTATATGGCCCGCGGTCAGGGCCGTACCATTTTGAAACTGTCGTTGATGTTGTGTATTATCTTTTTGCGATATTCATGGTGTTTCTTGGGGTTGTTCAGGAACTCTTGCTTCTCTTCCTCGGTGTACGCCGGGTTATATGCCGGGTCGTCCTTACCCAGCAGGGAAGCCGGGTTCATGGTGCTGACCACCCATGTAGGCCCGCGTTGGAAACTCGTCACCTTCGTGCCAGGCAGTTTGGCCAATTGGGGTAGGATCTGTATTCCAGATGAACCGTTGCCGATCACGGCAATTCTTTTGTTGCTGTAGTCGTATTCGTGGTCCCAGTTGGCCGAATGGACCTTCTTACCTGTAAATTGCGACAGTCCAGGAATCGACGGCCACTTCCAGTTGCTGTGGCACACAAGTCAGCTACTTCCGAACTTGGATCATTTCTCTGGAAAAGCTTTCTGACTTCAGGAAACCTTGCGCTGATATTAAGATGTCCGCATAGTCCTCTACAACAGCGCCGTTATGCTCGACCATCACCCGCCACTGACCGCGATCTTCTTGCCAATACGCACCCGTGACGCGATGGTTGTACTTGACGTCCCGCTCGAGATTCCATTTCTTAGCCGTCTTCTTCATGTATTCCCAGATTTCAGGTCCGGTGGAGAAGAACCGAGTCCAGCTCGGGTTGGGGTCAAACGGAAATGCCTTCGCCGGTCAGCAATCAAACAACCCGCTCTTGAGACGCTGCGGAACGTACATAGATGTGCGACGGAACATCGCAGACAACGCCCGGGTAGGTGTTTACCAGCCAAGTGCCGCCCAGCTCGGACCTCGCTTCGTAGATCGTGTGGTCGATCATATCGGCGAGGTCGGGGTGTTGGTGCTGGAACTTGTGGGCCAGCGTGAGACCCGAATAGCCAGCACCAATCGTGACGACACGGAGCTTTCTGGGTGTGTATGCTGGCAGAGGGTTCAGTACTGTGCTCGCATCTTTCAGACTTTGGGAGTCGCCGGCATGGGCAGTTGGTTCAGGGACCCCGTCAGACGTGACACCAGCGCTGTTGCTGGTTCCATTGGGCGTGCTCTTGGTCGCGCTGGTTGTAACGCCGTTGGTCTCGCTATGGTATGCCATTGTCAGGTGGTAAATGAATCAGATGCTGTTGGGAGTGCATCACAAGCGGAAGTGGCATCAGGTCCTGGAATAAATCAAATCCCCCCAGGCTCTGGCAAAGGCCGAGGTCAGTGCGATCATGCCACTGCCATGTATAGCCTTGCCGGCGGAATGACTTTTTCGCCAGCTCCAATGCGGAAGCCAGCCTGTGGTTCTGCTGGAGTCGCAAGTGAGTTGCAGAGTACGGATCCCCGAGGCGGGTAAAAACACCATCGGGGGCTCCACTCCTCAAGGCACTCAAGTCCCCTTTCGCCGAAATGAATTGACCGGTGATCTAGACGCGTCAGACCACTTGGCCGTGCACAAAGCACACGATTTGGCATATCATGGATGGCCTTGAAATGGGACAAGGCAAAATACCCCTGTCGCCGAAAACCTCTCGGCAAGGTTCAGACTCGAGGCGCCGCTATGATCCCTCCAGTCGCTGGGGAAGTTTTTATCAACCCAATGCATGTCTCGATAGCATATATCGGGTCTTGTGAGCAACAGGTTAGATTCGTGTGTTCAACAAACCCTTCCAGCTCGTTCGTCAAATACCTTCATCCCAGTGCTGTGCCTTTCTTCAACAGCAACACTCGCTCTGCAGGTTGCTCTCCGCCACCAGACGATATTCCCGCCGGACATGGGTTCCCTAGGAGAGTGCCGCGAGTATGATGCCATACTTATCGGTGCCGGCTTTGGAGGCTACACAATGCTTCCGAAGCTGCGCAAATTGGGGCTGCGAGCCAAGATATTTGAACGCGGGTCAGGCTCTGGAGGCGTCTGGTTCGTATCTCGACTGTGAAAAGCGTTGGACAGTCTGACTGAAGATCGCCGCAGGCATTGGAATCGGTGTAGGTGATTGCATTCCTCATAGCTGGGTCAGAAGCTCACCATTCAAGACCCCGGTGCTCGCGTCGACAGCGACTCGCCGGCATATCAGTTCTTCGATCGGGAGATTTGGGAGGATTTTACCTTCTCTGAGCGATTCCCTGGGTTCCGCGAATTGCAAAAGTACTTTCAGCACGTGGAGAGAAAATGGGACCTTCGAAAAGATATCGAGTACCACAAGAGCGTCACTTACGCACACTGGGATCCCGAGAGTCGACGCTGGGTCGTAGGCTGTTCTGACGGAACCACGACGCGATGCAAATGGCTGTTTGCGAATGTGGGCTTTGCGGCCAAGGAGTAAGTGCGTCGCGACACCATACAGTCTTTCTGTGGAATGACTGAACGGAGCACAGGTACAAACCGTATCTCAAAGGCTCGGCCGACTTTCAAGGTGAGATGTTCCACACGGCTCATTGGCCAGACCACGATGTCGCCCTCAAAGACAAACGCATCGCCGTCATCGGGACCGGGGCCAGTGGGATCCAGGTGATTCAAGAAGCCGGTAAACTCTGCAAGCATCTCACGGTGTATCAACGCACCCCTAATTTTTGGTAAGGTGTCCCGTATCCGAAGTTGAACGCATTCTGAAACATCTTCAGTCTGCCGATGCAGCAGCGTCGTCTGGATCCTGTGGAAGAGCAGAGAAAGAAAGACAGTGGCCTGTACGAGGCGGCCTTCAAAGCATGTGAAAAGACCTCTGCCGGTGTCCCGTACGAATCAAATGGCCGCAAGACCTTCGATGACACGAGTGAAGAGCGAGAAGCGTATTGGAACCGCCTCATACAAGACGGCGGCTTCAAGTTTTGGGTCGCAGGTTACGACGACCTGAACTTGGACCAAAGGGCCAACGACGCCGCGTACGACTTTTGGCGCCGCATGGTCCTCAAGCGCATCAAGGATCCCCAGAAAGCCCGGCTGTTGGCGCCAGAGGTTCCACCGCATCCTTTTGGCGCAAAGCGTCCGTCGCTGGAACAAGACTACTTTGAGGTTCTCAGCCAGCCCAATGTCGACATTGTCGACTTGAACGAGTTCCCTATCCAGGAAGTCAACGCCACGGGGATCCGCACCGCGGCGGGGCAAGTCGATGTGGACATGATTGTTCTCGCAACTGGCTTCGATGGTCTGACGGGTGGCTTCATGGACATTGACATCCAAGGGGTTGATAGAAGAACCCTGAAACAATACTGGAGTGACGGCGTCAAAACCTCCATGGGGGTCGCGATCCCGGGGTTCCCCAACCTCTTCTTCCTGTTTGGGCCACAAGCACCATCAACATTCTCGTAGGTGTTTCTCTTTTGTCCTGGCGGCTCTTGAGCTAACAGCATGTCTTTCCCAGGAACGGTCCGACCTGTATTCAATTTCAAGGTCGATGGTTCGAAAAGCTGGTCCAGAAAATGCTCGACGAGGGCATAGAAACATTGGAACCCAAGGAGGAAGCAGCCGACACCTGGACCGAGAAGATTCGTGAGCGATGGGAAGCAACTCTGCTCCCCCAGGGCAAGATAAGTATCTCCGCGGCTCAAAAGGGTGTCCTTCACTGACATTTCACACAGCTGGTGGACTGGAGCAAATATCCCAGGCAAGAAGGTGCAGCCGCTCAGCTGGGCAGGGGGGCTCCCGTCATATATGCAGATGCTGTATGAGACGCTGGAGAAGGACTATCAGGGCTGGATCATCGGAAAATAGTCATGCAAGTTTTCTATGTCGTAAGGTGTCCGAGTGAAAGTTGACCCGGGGTAGAGAGGACCATTTGATGACGGAGAACTACAAGGAAGGGGTTTGGAGATGGCTTGCGTCTAGTTTATTGTGCTCCTCACGTAACTTGATCACAGGGTTCTGCGACATGTGCAACGTCTATACAATAGTATCAACCTTTCCGGCCTGTCATGTCCAGTGTGTGGGATCATGTCTCCGGCCAGGCGATCAATGGCCATATCTCCGCGATCTTTCCCCCCTGGAACCGAAAGAAGACGTGCTCGTAGAACACCACGCGATCCTGGCCCAACTTCTTGTTCGGAGAATCATAACTCAGCCTGAATCTCGCTGAGACCATGCCGTCCAGGTCGGTCGAGCAGCGGTCGTCCACAACTAACATCTCTAGATCAAGGCGAAAATTCTCGAGTTTCCCAACAATCCCATCGATCATTCTGCCGTAATCTTGACTGGTCATCGGCGGCTGTGCGTTGTAGATGACGCCGTCGTGGACAAACTCTGGTAGTTCGGAGAATCTGCGCTCGCTCATGCAGGCCGCGTATCTGGAGCAAATTGTCCGAAGATTCATTGATTTTGGCGGATGAGATGATTGGTGAGGTAGCATTTTGGGCGTCCAGGGGGGTAAGGCTGCCTGAATATTTGTTCAAGGAGTATATCCCGCTGGAGAGTGCAACGAGATCAGATTTTATAGCAGCCATAGCATTGTTGTTCGCCCTTGGTTGAGTAATTTCGGCGAAAGATCATTCATACCGTTGAAGACATGACTGGCAGGCGCATGATGGTGAATGACCAGTCCGTCAATGTTACACTCCATATACTAACCACCGTGAAGCCGCATTGCACCTCCTCGACCTATCATGCCGCCGTCTCAACACCGGCCTGCTTTTTCATTGCTGGCATTCAGAAAGTGTGCGTTTCTTGTCTATGGAAGGTTAAAGTCTACCACTATGCGCCTACAGTCATCAGCAACCCGTTGTACAGGCCTGTACTGTATAGAACTCACCCTGCAACTTGACCCTTTTTCAACCTTTGCACAGCTTCATTGAACTTGCTCACTCCAACCACGACAGGCTCCAGGTGGATCTTTCCTGAACCCAGCAGTAAATATCATTGCTTTCATCTGTCACCATTGTAAGCGTCTCACCTCGTTTCGCAAAGTCCAGGGTGGCAGCTATATCCTTCCGACTGCTCGACAGGGTACCCCTGATGGACTGGTTCTTCAAGCAAAGCTGGGTAGGATCCGCATCAATGTGATATCGACCCTTGGGCGGGAGTCCGACGCTGTTTCCGACTCAATTAATCCATGCTTCTCATCAATCAGAAGTTTCAAGGTGTTTTGACATACCACATAACCACTCCACCGATACGTGAACCAAGATAGTCAAGCGATGCGGGATAAGCCTGTACAGCTAATCGCTCAAATCAGATCCAATCACGCACAGATATCTCCGCTTCGAGGAGCACACTGACCACTGACAAACACGCCGTGAGCACCTCCGTTGGTGACTTGCAAGACCTTTTTGACCGGGTCTGCCTCGGTCATAAAATCGACAAAATACTCAGCACCAAGGCTGAGCGAAAGCGATCGACGACTTTCGCCAGTATCAACCACCACAGGTCGAATGCCCATGGCGCAGGCCAGCTGTACACCTTGGATGCCTGTTCCACCACCTCCGCCAGGGAAGACGGCCCAGTCACCGGCTCCAAGTCCAGATTCTTTTAGCGAAGCATACATGGTACCTGCAGAGCACATGGCAGGCCCTGCCACGTAGTCAGAAACTCCCTGGTCATTGCTTCAGCTGGAGAACATCAGATATCAGTCCTGGTCAAGATACCTCGGGAATGAGCTAGGGCCATGATGTTGTATCAGTGTCTATTCTTTCAGTTTCCTCGAGGAATTTGCTCTGCAACGCACATGGACAAAACCTTCGGGGACAGCACAAAACTGCTTGTAAGTTCCTGCGAGAAATCAATTCACAGCCTCTTCACACAGGAGGGCAAGTCATTGGTCGTTCCTACCGTCCACTGTCCCCCCTGTATAGACTGCTTGCGGGCAGTATGTCTCTCTTCCCGATTTGCAGGAGTCGCACAAGCCGCATGTGCTATGGATCGGACCATATGCCGCTCGTTGGCCAACTTTGCAACTCTTGACACTGTCACCGATCTTGACAATCACTCCAGCCCCTTCGTGGCCGGCACAAGAAAGTCCCATCTCCGACATTTTTGGGAATGTCCAGTCATTCATCATAAAATGCACATCGGTCAGACACAATCCGGTTACATTGAGCTTGATGAGAACTTCCGAAGGCCCTGTGGTGAAAATCGTCCATCAGCAACTGGTCCATCAGCAGTTATAACCGGGTGTGTATAGTCCAACCAATGCTGGGCACTGGAACTCTCTCAACTGCCACGAAGAAGTCTGGTCCTTCGTTTTTCTGTCCGACGTTTGTAAGTTGAGATGCACGAGTCTTCACAGTTCTGCTGTCTACGCACGACAACTCCTGCCCAACACTCCTTGGGGATCTCCATGGTCGCCTCTTCCTCCGTTGACATCCTCCCTCTACTTTGTGGGAATCGCGTTGTGAAATCTGAATCAGCGCTTGTACCCTAGGTTACAAGTGGACGTCTTTGTCTCTCGCGTTTCGAAGGCACAGTACGAATCGAATAGCTGACGACTACTTTACATGTAGTGTGTACGAATACTACCCCTGCCTTGCACCAAGACCAGCAACGTTGGACAATCCGGTCTACTCTTCTTTCGCCGAAATGCGGTCTTCCTTTCTTACCCCAGCCATGCCGTCTTGGAAAAGACAATCTCCACGCGCCATGTTCCAGGCAACAAGATTACCTTCGAGTAACTCTTCCCCACGGGCACCAATAGCAACGCCTTGAGCCAATCCACGTTTAGGTCCGTTCCGTTTTCGGCGAAAGTCGTCCACCGGACATGTGGGCACTCCGCGACCAGCCTTCTCCCCCGCGATATCTTCTTCCCGTTGGCATCTATACCCCAGAATTCTGTGGGAAGGGTTTCCGGGGGGTCCTCATTCTGGCTATATTATACCTTCGTCATGGTCGTTATCCAGATGTCGTGGGTCTTTCTCCATCTACTACAGCATCATACCTATCTTGCCTCACATACAGTCTTCATCGTTTGAGCGTTCAGGAATCTGTCCCATCTCCCTCACAGCCATGGGCGATGACAAGGTGGAATACGAGAACTGGGAGGTTCAGCCCAACGTGGTTGTCACGGAGCAATACATAGAGGGTCTGTCCAGAGCTTCTTCTCGGTCTTGGTGATGAGGAGAAATGGCTGACATTCGCGTGTGTGTGTGTGTTTTCTTGCAGCCGAACCCACCTGGGCAAAATACATCCCTGGAGGCTACTCAAGGTCGAGATGCTTGAAACTGTCGGGTATGCCCATGGTGTCATGCATCCTTGGCCTCGCAGGGACGTGTCTGCTGTTCTTTGGCTACGACGCCGCTGTCATGAGCCTGGTCAACATCAACCCGGACTATCTGCAACACATGGACTCTGCGGGAGGCACGGACCGTGATGCCGCTCGCGTTGGAGGCATCGTGAGCTTCTGGTTCCTGGGTTTCCTCATCGGTATATTTCCAACCTACCATACCTTGTTATCTCGTTCTTCCTCAGAAGTGTGGGCTGACACGGGATGCGTTTGTATCAGGTGGAATTCTGGCCGGTAGCTACGCCGACAAGGTTGGACGACTCAAATCCATACAGCTGGGGTGCGTCTGGGGGATCGTGGGTGCCTGTCTTTTGGCGTCGGCTCAGAACTTCTCCTGGATGGTCTGCGCGCGTATCATCAGCGGCATCGGTTGCGGCCACCTCAACACCATCGCCCCAATTTGGACGTCGGAACTCGCAGACTACAACCTACGGGGCGCGTATGTCTCGGTGCAGTTTACCATGTGCGTCGGAGGGGCGACTATGTAAGTTTGACGACTTACCTACCTGTCTGCCTGAGCGGCACACAGACAGACATGACCATTTCTCAAGGGTTGTCCATAACTGACAACGTCAAACCAGGACATATTGGATGGAATACGCCGCGCTCAAGACCCGGTCTCTCCAGTTCGCCTGGCGGTTTCCCCAAGGCTTCCAGATGGTGTTTCTGATCTTCATCCTCCTTGCGGCCAATTTCCTGCCAGAGACACCCCGCCACCTCGCAAAGACGGGTCGTTTCGACGAGGCCCGCGAGATCCTCTTCCGCTGTCGCCTTCAGCCTTCCGAGCAGGCGATTGAGCAGGAACTCGCAGAGATTCGAGAGGCCATTCGCGTCGAGGCGACGTCCTCGGCCCACGGCTTTCTCTCCATGATCTGGAAAAAGGACGCGCTGCATACCCGTCGTCGTGTTGCGCTGGCCATGGGTATCCAGGCGATGGAGAAGCTCTGTGGTCCCGACGCCATTGCGGCGTATGGACCCATCATCTTCGGCTTGAGTGGATGTGAGTACACCCCCTGCCCTCAATGGTTTCTGTCTTGTGTCAACTTTGACGTTACGGAGAGAAGAAGAAGAAGTTTGGACTGATCATCTGTTATGTCTCTTAGTTACTGGAAACTTGCCTGCCATGCTGGCCGGCTTCAACTTTATATCCTACACATTCAGCGTCCCGATCGGCATGTACTTTGTCGAGCGAGCCGGGAGACGAAAGCTGATGTTGATTGGGCTGGTGGTCATGGGCTCTTCACTGCTCATTGCCGGCCCACTCGCGCGAGAAGCCATCAACACCCCCGATACCGAGTTGACCAAGAAAAGAGCCTACGGCGCCGCCGTTGTGGCGTTTGTTTTCTTGTACACCTGCGGATTCGGCAGTACCTGGATCACATGCTGGTTTGTCTCTCCCCGTCTCTGTCTCCCTCTGACCCTGGCCAGTTCCCCATTGCGTTCCCTCTTCTCCTTCACAGAATTTAGTGTAACTCGCTTGACTGACTGCTGATACCCACACCTCGTACAGCTGGGTCTATCCCACCGAGATCTTCCCCCTCGCCACACGCGCAAAGGGCGTCTCGCTGTCCATGGTATCCTTCGCCATCTGGGGCGCCGTCATCAACGAAGTCATCCCGTACGTCATCAGCGCCGTCGGGTGGTGGGTCTTCATCATGTTCGCCATCATGAACTTCCTCCAAATCATCCCCGTGTGGTTCTTCTACGTCGAAACGGCCAATCGTCACCTGGAGGACCTGGACATCCTCCTCGCCAGCGACAGTCCCCTCGCGTACAAGATGGAACGCGAGTTTGCAGAGAAGAAACGCGCCCTCGGCTTCCATGCGGAGAATGCGCAGGGCGTGGTTGGTGCGCACGCGCCGCCGGAGGTGATGGGATAGGTGACGACGAGATGTCTCAATGATGGCAAGCTCCAAGAGCAAATTATAATTCTCAATGGTGGGCACGGGCCCCTGAGGGATCTCGATCAAACCGATATCGCTGCAAGGACTTTAGTGTGAAATGCCGAGCAAAGCGCTGAACATCGAGTAATCGAAGGGCTTTTATAGATGGATTTATTTCTTCCACAGCTTCGGTAGGGCCAACCGAGCTACTCAGGTCTTTCCCAGACCGTTTGTCACTAAAAGTCACGGCCGATAGGTGCAGAAATGAACTCTTTCAGTACCTCTAGAGTCAGAACCACATGAGAGTTCCCTGGACACATAATTGGCAATTAACATGCAAGTCTCCAAACATGGCAATTAGTCGTTGGCATTGGAATAGTTCGTCATGGTTCATCTTGCTTATTGTGTATAGATGCGCGTTAGAGACGTAACATGATATACCGCGTGCTTTTTATTTTTTTAGGGGCGGTTTAAATTGGTAGACCTAATTCCGAGTCTCAGCTCATGACAGAAACTTTTCCAGCGAATCCACCGTGTCCGTGACCGTGTCGGCCAACTCCCTCCACGTAATGCCCAGCGTCTTTGTGACCTTGCTGCTGTCGACCTTGTACAGCCCTCCCTCGGGATAGCCACCGCCGGGACTGTCCTCCGCGGGCAGCCGGTCGCGCAGTCGTTCGTGTTTCGTGCGGATGATCTCCACGAGCTCCCTGTTGGAAAAGTAGCCGGCGGCGACGAGGAAGCGCTGGTTCGCGGCGCCGGGCTTCTCCAGGGCCAGGACGTGGCAGAGCGCGAGGTCCCGCACGTCGACCCACGTGAAAGTGGCGTTGTCGGGGATCTTGTCCTTGTGTTTCCCCCGAATCAGGTCCCCGATGATCTGATTGCTGGTGTTGAGGCGGTCCAGGCTGTCGAGGTGGGAGATCACGGGGCCCAACACCATCGGTGGACAGAGGGTGGTCAGTGAGAAAGGCGGCGGTCCTCGCGACTGTTGTTGCTGCAAGAACTCCCACGCTGCTCTCTCGGCAAACGTCTTGCTTGCCCGGTAGCCGTTGGCGATGCTTTCCGACGCCTGCTCCAGAGTGACGGGGTTCCAGTCCTGTTCCGTGTACATGTGCTCGGGCCAGGATCCCTTGAAGGGGTTCACGATCGAGGCGAACGACGACGTAATGACGACTTGTTTGACCGTGGGGGCGTGTTTGACGATCGACCTCAACAGACCCGTCGTGCCTTTGATCGCGGGGTCGAGGAGATCTCGTTGCACGTCCGTGACGTTGAAATGGAACGGGCTGGCCGTGTGGATGACGGCTTCGAAGGGCGGAGTAGACGAGGTGAGGGCGGCGTCGAACGCGTCGTCTTGAGCAATGTCTTCGACAATTGCAAAGTCCAGTCGATCTGTCCCGACGGTTGGATATGCAGCTCTGATCTTGTCGGCTTTGGCGGGAGAGCGCACCGTCGTCACCACGCTGTAGCCTCGCTGGATGAGATGGTCCAATACATGCGCCGCGATGAAGCCAGAGCCACCCGTTAGAAGCACACGTGTCATGATGGTCTGAGTTCTGTTAATCCTGTGGTTTCTAGTTCTCCCGTTCGTTGCAAAACTGCGATTCAAAACATGCGTGGCTTTACGAGTAGATTATAATATCTGTCCCAGAAGTTCTCTTATATTCTAAGCTACAACATCGACCAGCTTCGGCCTATACCTGTGCTAATAGTCCCCCACAGAGCCTGAGCCCGGCTGTTAGAGCAAGTACACACCATGGTGCCGAAGTTCTTAAAGTACCAGAGTGCTCATGTTCCCCGAGCTTCGGCGAACGTTTCCCGGCGAAATCGATTGGACTTTATCAGCAATGGCTTTGCCCGTAGAAAGACGGTTGGAGGAGATGGACGACCGGGTAATACCTAGAGCGAAGAAAGGGGCCTTAAAAGTAACGGGTAAATCTCTTCGTATTCTTCTAGCTAGGTCTAATCGCAGACCAGGAGTCCACAACTTACGCGAGAGAGGCTCCTGCAACTTGGGCCGGTGGGAGAAGGGAAAGTTTACAAGGAAGGCATGAATCAATATTCCCCATTGTTATGTTTCGGACATCCTTCCCCGGTTATGCCACTAACTGTCCAGCTTGGTGCATTGTTGTCTCCGTTGGTCACACACACACGGTTAACGCTTCGTCTTGTTTTTGAGGCATGATTTCGGACTTCAGAACGGTGGAAGCATTTTCATCTCGGTAAACTTTTTGAATACCGCATGGATAGATTCGATAGAATCCACAGTACCATGCCAACCAAACTTGCGGGCTTTGTCCATGCTAGAAAACCACTATTAGTATTGGCCCCCTTGGGTTTCCATCCGAGGAAATTCTCACCTCGTTTGCCAGGACCATGTCAGCTCGAGCGCAAACTGTAGAAAAGCAAAAGTCTTGTCGGGATCTTGCAAAGGCTCGGTATTGAGCCCGTATTCTTGCTTCAGCTCAGCCCAGGCTCGCCGAGTTGCGGGCTCCTTTGCCCACTCGATGAAGCTGAAAGTTGACCGGAGTTTTCCCTTTGGGCCGTATCTAAAACACAGCGCATCAGCAAGTGATTCTTCTCTCTGACAGAAACACCAGGGGCGGCTCCAAACATACCCTCTCGGGACAAATGGCAGCTCTACCTCGTGGTAACTGGCGTTCTCCTGAGGTGCAAGCCACTCTAAGCCAAACCAGGATGCCAGAATTGGCCACAACTTTGAGAAAGTGAACTCGGAGCCATCGGTGATGTTGAAAGACTCCCCTGCCGTGCCTTGGTTCAAGACTAACCACTCGTAAAATGTACCCAGAATGAAACCTGAGGATATGGGATGATTGTTATCCCAAGATACAAAATCCCCGGGATACCTCAGGGGCTGGTTCAGCTTTCGTTGAACGGCGGCATAGACTGCAAGCGGATAGAAGATGGTCATGTCTGTACCGGCGACGGCGGCCAGAATCCACTGCGGCATTGTCACGTTGTAGCTGACCCCCGGGTGAGTTTTGGCATACTTGACCAACAAATCTTCTTGGGTGTAATAGAAGTTGGGCTCCAACTCGACGCGAGGAGCTCCTTCGGTCAGAGGGACGTTGACGTGGCCTTGGTGGACGCCGTAGTTCTTTCCTCCAGTTTGAAGCAAGATTCGCCGGGGCTGAACATCTGCTTGGTCCAAGGCGGAAAGAAAGTTCTCAAAGAGCCGCCCTGCATGGGTAGAACTGTCACAACGAACTCATCTGCGTGTGCGCTGGGTGAAAAGTCTCTCACCATTCGTTTCAGCCAAGTGATTTGCATCCCCAAACACCTCTGAGTCGGAGCCTTGTCTTGCAACCTGGACATAGCCGAAGTAGAAGATGTAATCACTGGGTAGGAAGTCGCAAAGTCAATTCCATTCCCCCTTGAGAACAAACAGAAGGAACTGGGAGAGTGCAGGGGGTGGCCTTACGCCTGGACTTTGTGTTTCCGCAAGGCACTCGCAATTTGACCAGGCTCCCAGAGCAAGTCCACCGCTACGTGCTCGACGTTCTTCGCCTCTGTGGCCGGCGGTCTCCTTGACAGGGCATATATCTTCTCCCACCGGTCCGGACTGGAGCTGAGCACATCCACCACGGGTTGGCCAGATTGACCGCTGGCGCCGACAACGATAGCTCGAAGATTTCTCTGGGCAGGATCAATGACAGGCAATCCGCGAAATATGCCTTCTGAGCGGACTTGGTACGTCTTGCTGGTCGAGTGAACCATGATTTTTGATAGTTGTCGAGCAGGAGATCAGTTCGTGATTCTACATACCCTTTGAAATAGACCGGTACTCGAAGGACCAGAACCAAGACTGGAAAACGGTCCGCCAGACGATCATTAGTCAATCCCGAATTTGACGGTGGCGTACATTTTGCTGAGAATAATCTTTTGCTATTCGGCGAATTTGACAGAGTCTGTTCCTATTCAGGAGATGCTCCCGACTGGTGCTCAAGACGTGATATTCTGGGACTCAAGTGATTGCTAATCTCTACTTGCTTTCATGAATTCAATCAGTGTTCAAAGCATCGAGACAAGACTTCAGACATGGCATTGTTGAGCCTTCAGGTGCAGCACGCAGTCGGGCACAAGGAATACCTATAGCATGTTCCTCATTAGGATTTTACTTCGACGCTTTCTTCTCGCAGCCTCATCATCCTTCGTACATCGTCCTCCGCTTTTGTTATTGTTCTCATATGTGACCTCATGGTTTGAGATCCTGACGAGACCTCTCTGTCAATCGGTGTGAGGACCTCTTCATGCTTCGCCAATGTACTTTGGCCAATTTGGACTTGGGTTCCGAGCAATCCATCCACCGTCGACGATAAAGGCTGTGTTTAGTCAGTGATCCGCCCGATGACCAGACACTCTTGGGATTGGGGAGTCTCACGATGACCAGTAATGTAAGATGCTTCGTCTGAAGCCAGGAAAAGAACCAGCTGAGCCACCTCGTTCGGATGTCCTCCACGGTTCATGGGGATGCTCTCGAACAACTCTTCCCTCAGTCGTTCATTCTTCAGAGTGGCCTCCGTCATTGGAGTTTCCATAAACCCGGGACAGACTGTGACCGCCCGGATTCCGTCCCTCGCGTGGTCCATGGCGATGGTCCGCGTAAGATTGACCAACCCTCCCTTGGCGGCATTGTAGGAAGAAAGGCCGTAATCTCCACCAATGCCAGAGACACTGGCAGTGTTCACAATCACTCCCTTTCCCGCCTTTTTCATGTGCGGAATGACGGCTTTGGCGAGGTAGAACGCGCCACAGAGGTTGGTCATGATGACTTTGTTGAAGACGTCGACGTCGTGTTCGACTACAGGGACGATCGGGCTCAGCATTGCGGCGTTGTGGAACAGGACGTCGATTTTCTTGAATTTCGCAATGCAAGCATCGACTGCAGCGAAACAGGACGTTGAGTCTGGAATGTGTTCTCGATGTCAGTGTCGTCGTACGATCCGTATAAGGGTGGACAAATTGTGTCAGGGACGTCGAGACAAATCTTTACCAGAGACATCGCATGGGTGGAAGTGAGCCTTAGGACCAAATCGCTGCATTGCATCCCGTTCCTTCATGGTTGATCTTGGTCAGCAGTTTGCGGTGGGATAGTAGTATGGTGGCCAACAGACTCCCAGAGGACATGTCTGATGTCTTGACAATACCACGGGAAGAATTACCTTCAGATCCGTAACAAAGACAGTGGCGCCTTCGTCCAAGAACCGCTCGCAGGTCTGTGCTCCCAGTCCAGAGGTACCGCCCGTGATGAATATCACAGCCTCGTTGAAACGTCCCCCCATGGTATTCAGCGATATAGCCGACGACTAGGCAGCGTCGTGTTGTATTTGAGGAGACAGAGAGTGTGTGTCTTTATCTTGGACGAGGCGTAAATGGATCGACTTCTTTGTTCCGGCACGTTTCCAAGATGGTCGACACCAGGTCCTCATCCCTTAATGTGGCTTCTCGCTCATCGGCTCCGATGAGGGTCGAGTCTCAGACACGTCCTGAAGCCGAGAGCCTGGAAAAGGGAAGATGAGCCTGATGGTCAGACCCTGTCTAGGCTCACACATGGTTTGGAAGCTTCGGCGAAACAACCATCGTTGAGTAGGCCATCTACATGTCCCGGCTGCACCCTCATGTACCCCACGATCTTTCGACAGTCAATAACTCTAGCTAACCAGTGGGAGATTGAGATTTCTCCTCCGCAAAACGCCAATTGCGATTTCGACACGGTTGGCTCAAAGTTCGCCGAAGAAATGGACCGAGACCCAAGATCGTATCTACCATCTTACAACTACCACTGGTAGGTAATAAGACGTGGACCTCTGTGTTTCAACAAATTTTCACAAAGGCTGCTTGTGGTGGGTGCCGGACGCGGCTACAGTTTGCAACAGAAAAGACTACAGCGATAACAACCTCTGTTCCAACCACTTGTCTGGGTTCACAATGGCACCTCTTTTGATGACAGGGTAAGAAAACTATTCTCCCACAAGACAAGGTGCTGCTCTGCTAACCACGACATAAGGGTCGGCCTGGTCACGGGAGCAGCGTCTGGAATCGGGCGAGCATGTGCCAAAATCCTGGTCGAGGAAGGATGCACGAGGCTCGTGCTGTCGGACTTGCCTGGAGGTGGCCTGCAGGAAGTCGCAGACGAGCTCAAGAGCATCGAACCTTCGGTGGAGACAGTTCTATTCGTCGGTGACATGAGCAAAGAGGTCGACGTCGACCAGATGGTCGCGGCGGGCGTGGCTCGATTTGGCGCGATTCACTATTGCATCAACAGCGCCGGCGTGACGAGTCGGCCCAGACTACGGACGCACGAACTGGAGACGGAGGCATTCGATCGAGTCGTCAACATCAACCTCAGAGGCTTGTGGCTCTGCGAACGGGCGCAGATCCGCCAGTTCCTGAAGCAAGAGCCAACGCTTCAACCTCGCCGCCATCATGCCGCCGGAATAGCGACGCAGCGAGGGGCCATTGTCAACATCAGCAGTATTTTCGGCCTCACCGCGCACGCAACGGCCGGGGCTTATCCCGCCTCGAAATCCGGAGTGTTGGGACTGACGAGGACGGATGCGGTGGCGTACGCGACCGACGGGATCCGAGTCAACGCCATCTGTCCGGGCTTTATCAACACGCCATTGGTGGAAAAGGCCAAAGAAGCGGGCGCAGACTACAACAAGCTGGTCAGCCTGATCCCGTTCAGACGAATGGGTACTGCTGAAGAAGTGGCCGAAGCGGCAGTGTGGCTGGCAAGTGAGCGAGCAAGTTATGTGAGCGGCGTCGAGTTGCCTGTGGATGGTGCTTGGGTCAGAGCGTGCAACACATGATTTTGGACTGTCAAGAAGGAGGGTGCAAGAATACAAGAGCCAAGTCAGTGTTTGGGGGGTCTCGAGCCAACGAATGACTTGGATCCTAGACTCGTAACCAGCCACATTTCGCCGAAATATGTTGGCTCAGTCATTTCGCCGAAATGTGACAGAGGGTCATGGTTGTGGATACATTTTGATCCACCACCTTCGGCCGAGGCAAGCTGGCTGGTTCGGAAGGATGATCATGTCTACGTCCTTCAGCTGAGAGCGTTGTCGTGTACCTTGGAAGTAAAGCAAGGGACGAGCGGGATGAGTGCTCTCGCCACCACCCTCGATAGAATGACCCACGAATAGACAAAACCACTACAAAGGTGGAATTGATCAATATTTCGAATCTGGATATGAAACAGAAGTACTCACAGAGGCTTGCGACTGACTGAATTAATCTCCGCGATTGTTTCCAACCGAATAGAACAATCGGGACCCCCCGGAGACGTCTACGCATGCAGTGGCCAAGTATCAAGCAGCAGTTGTTATAGTTCTAAGTAGGTACCGAGTATGCTGCAAGCTGTAAGACAGTCTGGAAAGGTGCTCAATCACAATCATCCTCCAAGCCCCAAGATCTCTGTCTCCCCAGATCTGCGTCTCTTCATGCCCCATTAGATGAGAAGTGAGTGTGGGGTTCCCCGACATTAGTAAAAACCAGTGGCCAACACCCACACGGCCTTTCTCTCCCTCAACAAGTATCACTTTAAAATCTCACCTGACATATTTTGACAAGTTTACCAGGGTCTGAAAAAAGAAGCCCATCCGTCCCCTGCTCTGAATAACCATCTACTTCAAACAAATGGAGCAAAGCTCGAGTCGTGCGTACCGCCGGCGAAAGCGCAAGTTGGCGTGCAAATACTGCAATTCTCGCCACATACGATGCAAGATGCCAGAGACAACAGGGACATCCGACCGGGCAGGAAATGCCCGTCAATACCAATGTCAGGCTTGTTTGGATGCCAATAAAGAGTGCGATCTCGAAACACTTGCAATTACAATGTATCCAGAGTTATTCCCTCCGTCTCAGCCGACACCGCAGCGTGAAAGAGTCCGAGCCCGTCTGCCGCACACACAGCCATCAGAGCACTACCATCATCACCAGAGCACGCAGAGCGGCGCTGCTCTCCATTTATCGGCAGGTGGCCAAGACGTGTCGTATTCGCCTCGCTCCAAGAGTACCCCGCCGTGCCCGCCGCAGGAAGGGTCGGAGATGATCCTCGTACGATTGATGGATACGCAGCAGGACAAGGATGAACTTGACCAGCCGACCAAAACGACCGACCGAGTCCTGTATTTTGGAGACGAATCGATCTGGTCTGATAGCCTCCGAAGAGCTCGGAGCAGCAAATCCAAATCTCGTTATCCCGCAAGCCCACAGCTCCTGAGCGCCCGATCATTGGTGGACAGTAACAACATCCATTATGCTGTGCCGCCAACGGTCAGGGACCAGCCGCAGGATATCCCACAGGATGACATCGACGTGCAGCAGGAGGAAATCAAGCTGCTACAGAAGAAAGGGGCCTTTTCCCTGCCACCTCCCGACATCCAACGGAAACTCCTCGACGCGTATTTCACCTGGTCGTATCCCTTGCAGCCCATCCTCGACAAAGAACAGTTTCTCGACGACTTTGACAGGGGCCAAGCACCCATCATCCTCGTCCAAGCGTTATTGTTCGCCGGCACCACGTGCTGCGACGAGAGCATCATCATACAATTCTGGCCGAGTCGCCGCGCCGCCCAATCGACCCTGTACAAGCGGGTGAGGGCGCTGTACGACGCGGACCACGAACAGAATCGCGTCACCATCGTCCAGGTCCTCTTCCTCATGTGTTTCTGGTGGGGGAGTCCCATGGACAAAAAGGACTTTAGCCACTGGTTGGCGGCGTCTATCCATCTGGCCCAAGTGACGGGCATGCATCGGTCGTATGGTCATACACATCACCGTGAAAGAAAACCGAAATATTGACTGACTGTCATTTTTCTACCCTTCAGGACAAAGGACTCTCATCTTTCCATAAAGGACAGAAAGCTCTGGAAACGCATTTGGTGGACTTTATACGTAAGTCGTATCTTCGATCGCGGAAACTCTATCTCCACACATACGCAGAGAAATTCGACTAAGTCATGTACTTTAGGTACGCGACCATTTCGATGCTGCGTCAGTAGGCCGGCCCATGATCATCCACGACGACGATTGCGACGTTGAGCCCCTGTGCCTGACTGATTTTGAATGCGATGAGAACGGAATGCCACCCCTGGGAGCTATGCATTGTATTGAAATGACGAAACTGGCGACTTTGAGTACGACTCCCCTCCCCAAAGTCTCATGGGAGAGAGAGAGAGAGAAAATCAAAAGCTGATGTGATATGCAAAGTCGGCCGAGCGATTCGAGCCGTCCGATCCGGTCAAATACCCAGAGACCCTCCTTCTCCCACTGACGCCAAAGGAGCCATCGACGACGCTCTTTCAGCTTGGGAAAAGCAGCTGCCCGAGCAGTTACGATACCGCGAAGGGGAAGAGCGTAGCCCACAAGCCATGCTGTTTGCAGCAATGCTGATGCTGGGCCTGCAGTATGTCATCGTCATCGTCATCTTACCCTCTTTTTGCAAATGTTCTTTGAACAGAAGTTGGAAGATGTTGCTGACGGGAAAAAAAATTGGTCAGCTTTTGCCGGATCGTACTGCATCGAAAAGGGTTCTTGGACTCGAAACACAAGAACGAAACCAACTCGAGGGCCCTGGCGTCTGCTAATGCCGTGACTCGCATTGTCGAAGAACTCCTCAGTGAGGGTCTCCTGCCGCGGGCACAAGTACATTTGTAAGCTGGAGCTGTCATGTCGCTGTTACTATTGTTGTTAGTATTTGGCACAAAGACCTAACAATGATGTTCTCTCTCTACTGGACACAGAATCGCGGTCATTTTCGCCTCGTTCACCATCCATATCGTTTCCATGGAGCAAAGCCAGGGCGCACGGAGGCGAGTCCTGCAACACAAATCCAAGCTGTGCCTATTGGGTCTCGCAGAGTTCCGTGACTATTGGCCATTTGTGGACTGGATGTATCGATTATTCAGCAGCCTCTTGCACTGGCTGGAGGTTGGAGACAGCAGCAACACTTCCTTGTCCTCCGAGGGCCACAATCAGGGACTATGGGCAGCCACCACCCAGCTTCGTCCGGAGAACATGACTCTACAAGCTGCTGAACTGACAGACAGCACCACAGACGTCACCACCACCACCACCCATGCTGGTGACAACAACACGGCCATGTCTCTCCCACTCTCCTATGAGCAAGATGCGAGTTCCATGGCCGATGCTGCGCCCCCCGATCATTCCGGCATGCTCCAGCAATTCATGTCCGGCATGTTGGCATCAGAAAACTTTCTCGACCCGTTTCTGCCACCATTGGAAAATCTCGATTGGGATGATCCCAACATGGCAGGAAATCCCATGCTCTGGACTTCCACGCCGCTACCCACGGTGGAAAGAGGGTCTCTGTCCTGAGAATGTTTCCAGGAACCCCATGACATTTTGGCGGGTTGTGTACAGCTCATACCAGAGTTGCGGCATCAATCACGATCCGATTTCCAAGGTTGATCATTGAACAGCGGCATGAACTTGAGCCCTCCAACTTGATATCTTGTCAAACTCAAATATTGACTTTTCGAAGAGAGATGGAGGAGGTCCCAACCCCAACCCGCCCCATCTCTCTCAGGGCTTATATTAGATTGGAGGATCGAGCTGGTATAGTTCTTGTACAATCTTGAACACGTCCTCCGCCGACCCGCGTATAGTATCGGAGCATTGACTAAATTTGTCGGGATGCCAGCGCTTTCTTTCCCGTCTCAGCCATTGGCGAGAGTATTCGGGTGACTGTTGAAAAAATTCAGCAATGGCGTGGTGACAAGGCTGGCCTTGAACTGCTTTGTCTTTGCATTCGGTACATGAAGCAATGGGCGGGAAAGGGAATTCTTGTAGGTTCGGTTTATCTGATAGACACGTTTGAGTGTGACGATACCACTTCTGAAAGGTCACAGAGGACTTTTTCGCGGGAGGCACGAATTGCTGGTCGATGTTGGTAGGCTGTGGTGGAGGAGCCCGTGGTGGAGGAGCCCGACCGGCGGAGTCGGCGCAAGTGCCGTAATTCGAGTAGAGCGGTGTCCTAGAGCTTGCGGAACCCCTCGAGCTAGAGGACGCCGCTGGGAATGGATGAAAATGTCGTGGTTCCTCAAACCCTCGTCGCGGCGTGGGCTTGGACCAAAGAGGCCTTCGTATTCGTTTTCTGCATTCTTTGGCGACCCAGAGAATGATCCTGATGGCGATCAAGAGGGTCCAAGGGACTATGAGCACAGCGGCAACACTAATGGCCACGATTTTCAGAGCCTCCAGGATGAAGTCAAATAGATACGCTGCACCTGAGGCGTGCCAAAGCCAGGACAACAGTTTGCCGGCACCCTTGGCTAGCCACGACAGAGCTGCGAGCACCAGTCGTGCAAGGGTACACCCAAGCTGTTCGCATGCTGATCCGTCAGAGACCACATCGACTGGAGGTGTCAACGCCGTGGGAGCCATTCTTTGGCAGAATCGGTATTGCTTCAAACACTATGGCGGCAAGGCTGTTTCAGTTTATGAGGTTCAGCAAGTGATTAAGCGTAAACTTAAAGTGTGGACTAAGACCTCGTCTAACCTTCCCTGCTAATCTTTTCACAGGCAGCATTCCAGTGCCGACCTAACATCGAGCCTCAGATGCCCGCTTATTCGTACAGCCTCACTACGCAGTTCATTAAATCAGCGAGGAGGTCAGCCATGACCGGTAAGGCGAGGAGTGATCGCTACCGCCGGCTCGGCGCGAGCCGGCGGTAGACAAGGGCGGCATCACGCTATTCCCCGATCGGGTTGTTCAGAGAGAGATCGTGGTCGGACGCTGTGTCACTGTCCTTTGGAGTTACACAAAGATGATTTTACCTAGTATCCCTTCTCCAACCTCCAAAACGCACGTCGAATGGACTTGACAACATTGTTTACCCTTATGGTTCTCGAGTGAACGAGTTGCGGTAGCCAAAAGCCACCCTCGCCTGGCAGTTGTCAGGCTGTCAACCACCAAACCATCGCCGTGGAATATGTTCTCCTATTCTTGCCATGGGCTATCTCGACGCCTAAGTACACGCATGGCTCGGCTGTTGCCGTTTCGCAACAAGCATTCCACCATGGTGGACACTGACAAAGGTAATACAAGCATGAACACACATCGGGAGAAAGGAAGCTGATGCATCAAAGACTGGAATACCAACCAAGATTTCTTCAACTTCTCGCGCGGCCGTTTTGTGTGTGACGAAGAATACAACATGTCAATACGGAGAGTACGCTTCGACATGAACAAGCTCGCACGAGTTGCCACTGAGGCCATAACGGCCAATAAATGCATCAATGTCGAAAAATGCCCCGACGGCCTGTACAACAAGTCCTATCTCTTCACCATGGACGACGGCAGACAAGTCATCGGCAAAGTGCCAAATCCCAATGCCGGTGTGCCCCATTTCACCACTGCAAGTGAAGTTGCAACCCTGGATTTTGTACGTGCAATCACCCCTCGCCGTGACAGTTCTGTGGTTTGGCTGACACTTGTGAAGGTCCGTAACATCTTGGAAACACCAGCACCACATGTCTACGCTTGGAACTCTAGGGCAGACAATCCAGTTGGTAGTGAATACATCATCATGGAAAAGATGCCAGGGGTGCAGCTCTCCCGGGTCTGGGACCACATGAAACCCACGGACAAGGTCTTGGTGGTCATTCAACTGTTCCGCTTTCAGAAAAGGTGGCTGTCGGCCTGTTTTACAAATATTGGTGGCCTCTATTATGCAGATGACGTTGAGGCCGGCGCAGCCAGAGCACCTCTGTTTACCGACAGCACTGGAAAGGAGGTCAGAGACGACCGATTCGTGATAGGGCCAACCAACGGTCGAGACTGGGTTGATGGAGTCAGATCCTCGTTGAAATGCGATCGAGGTCCTTGTAAGACGGATAATTACTGTTTAGAGTGTCCCAGTCTAATTCTTTACAGGGACTTCCATCTCGGACTACTACCAAGCCATCCTCCACCGCGAGATCAACGCTACGAAGAATGCAACGCGCCTCCCCAAGCAATCGGTGATGCTCTGCGGGCCGACACTGTACGAGCCACCGCGTGAAAATAAACAGGCAGTTTTGGAACGGACTGCCCGCGTTGTGAGATACCTCATTCCTGCCGAAGCATCAATATGTGCATCACACATATGGCACAACGACCTTCACGACGAAAACATCTTCGTGGATCCGGCAAATCCCACCAAAATCACTGGCATCATCGACTGGCAGTCGACTCTCGCCGCGCCTCTATTCCAGAATACCATCGATCCTGGGTTCCTTAACTATGACGGACCAGGCATCGAATCCCTAGACAAGCCAGTGCTCCCCAAGAACTTCGACGACTTATCCGCCGCCGAAAAAGACGCCGCACTCGAACTTTCCTACAGCCAGGCTCTCCTGGTAGCTTACCGCAGGCTGATCCAGAAGAAAACGCCATTGAAACTGGCATCAGAATTCCAGACCTCTACCGCATATGACATCCTCAAACTTTCTCGCCGCATCTTTGAAGTTGGCGAGGCACACGTACTGGCTATTCTCACCACCCTGGAATCCGAGTGGGGCGACCTCCCTGCTGTGCGACAGGCGGGAGGGCCTCGTTTCCCGCTCAGCTTCTCGGAATCCGAGCTCGAGCAGATCGACGAGGATGTAGAAGCTGCCGATGCTGGGATCTACGCCATGGACGGCATCAGACGGCGTCTCGGACGTCTGTGGCCCGACAAAGGCGCCGTACAGGCTCAACAGTACGATGAAACGAAGAGACTGCTTAGAGAGGTGAAAGAAGAACTGCTGCACAGTCTCAAACTTGACGATAAAGACGCCCGGGTCTTTGAAGAACTGTGGCCTTTTGATGAATAGTGCCCACCCTTGACTCCGCCCTCCATCTCTCCCTCTCAGACATGGCTTGTCGGGTGCTGTGGATGAAGTTCTGCTGGGAGTCTTGTGCTCATATGCCGTGTACGAATAGAATGTCGGTTAACTTGGCACCCAACCCGCCTCCCCACTGGTTGGCTTAGCTCAAGATTAGTTTTTTCCGCTCCACCCCTCGCTCCTCAGAATCTAACCATTTTATCTACACCACATAATACACATACACATGCTTCGTATTGTATGTAGATACTCGACACTCGCGGGTACCCTGGGGTTCTTTTCTGTCTGGTATATAGGTTACATATCACCCCTGTGACAGTGGCTGTATTGATATGCCCGATCCTCCTTCCATCTATGTCTATTGTCTGGTCTCATCTGGTTTCTTCCGTTTTCTTCCCGTCGTGAGTGAGCCTCCACACCCCGTCGACAACTTATCACAGCCCTATAACTTCGAGTCCTTCGGCTGCTCCTTCGATTTCCTCGTAGTGTTGCGGCTGGCATCCACGATCAGACTCGCGTGTGTGCTGCTCGCCACCAATTCTCCCGCTTCGTCCCAAACCTCAATGTTCAAATCGAACCGGCCGTTCCTGATCGTCTTGGCCAGGACTCGCACAAATAGCCACTCGACGCCTTCCTCTGGCAATAACTTTTTCACATCCAGATTCAAGCTGAGCGTCGGGTACCAGAATTTGGCACTCGGCTCGCCTGATTTCAGCAAGGCTTTGAGCTCGGCTTGGCTGTGTTGGCCGATTGCGGCCTCCTCGACGACAGGATTTACGTATGACTCGACAATCTGTGGAAACATGTCGACCACGAAGCCCAGAGCGTCATTGGTCCAGCGACCTGTGATGTTTTTACTGGGATTGAGAGAAGGCGTCTTGGGCGCGAACCGCACCCACTGGTCCACGATGGCCCGAGGCTGACCGGACTGGCCTGGTTGTCGCCGGCGATGGGGCTGGACCAGGTAGATCTGAATGTTCTGCCCGGCACGGCGGAAGGCAGGAAACGGGTCGTTTGCGCGGATCGTATAGTTTTCATCCCGGCCTTTGGTGCCCAAGAGCGCGAGGTTCGCAGGTAGAGCGGGCGGCCAGAGCTGATACTGCGTGTCGAAGCTCAGGCCTTGTTCGGTCGCAATATTGCTCATGGTTATGTACCCCTGCACCTGATCCTGCCATTGACCGTTGTGTTCCTGCTTTTGCGCCAGGACAATGTGTAAGTTGCTGATGCGCGAGCCCAGCTTGACGTCCTTCACCGTAAAGACCGCCGGACCCACGGAGGTGCGGCGCAGGAACTCCAAGTGCATATTGACGGGGTGTGGTTCGGAGCGAGAACCATGGGTCAGAGACATGTGGGTGCGGGCAACCATGAGAAAGGCCGAAGTCGTATAGCCGCCATTGGGGACTGAAGGTGGTCATCAGTGAGTGTAGATACGGGCGAGGATATCGTGCAACCTACCAGTCCCTATGCACCATTCGTTCTCCAAAGTGAGGGTATATTGGTGCGACGAGAGTTGCTTGATGGGGAGCACATCTGCGAATGTCGGGGGCGCCATGGCTGGCGTGCTCAGGTAGTAAAGAAGAGGAGGGAAATATGTTCCAACTCGACGTCAGCCGGAACTACATGGTGCGATTTAATATAATGGCGACACGGTAATGAGGGTATCTGTCTGGGAAGAAAACTAAAAGAGACGTCTTACCGGGCGATGAACCTCGGCTCAAGACGGTATTGATTCATTATTGGTGATTGCGACTCGCTGATTATTAGCCACGCCTGGAGCCCTTGAGCGAGTAGAAGGCATTGGGCCTAGCAAGTCTAGGAACGTCCCGAGCACCCCTAAGCATCCCTCCCCTTCTTTTAAGTGTGGTGGCTCGAAATAGGCGGGTAAATGTTACATCACGCCGCTAATCTGTGGCGGTGCAGAACCCCCCAACCTGCACCATGACGAGGTCTGCTTGTTACCGCAATAAAGTGGGATTTTTAGTGGAGTGACAAGACAAGAAAGCATGGAATATCGAGCGTTTCCTTTCTGCCTTGATATCGCCATCACCATCACCCGGCACACATCTGTGTATCCCGTATAGCAATCTCCATGCACCACCCTCTTCTTCACGGCCTACCTCCGTGTGCAGTATGAGGGAGGAAGTGAAATCACGACGACCGCCATGACACTCTCCAATCGTCCCAGGCGACTGCGCCCAGTCCGCCAACAAGGTCGCGCCTTCTATCTGACGGCCCTGGTCATCACTCTCTTTACTTGTTATAGCTTCATACGAGACCGGAATTATGGCCACCTTTCTCGGACGAAGAAGTTCGACACTCGCTCTATCGCACCACGCGATCTCGAGGTAACCACCGCATTGACTGCGCTCTCAGTTATCCCAATGGAGCTTCCTGACTGACTCTTGATCGAATTGCTAGTGTCGACTTGTCCACACTTCCAAAGACCAATGTACTTTTGTCAAGGAAAATTGTCCCGACGAAGAAGCCGGCCTCATCTCCTACCTCCAGCTCTACTACTGCTCGCTCGCCGATGCTCAGCCGTTCGCGTTTCTGCTCCTCGTCGTTTGGGTATGTCTCCTCTTCAGCACGATCGGCATCGCAGCCTCCGATTTCCTCTGTATCAACCTGAGTACGATTGCGAACATACTGGGGATGAGCGAGAGTTTGACGGGTGTCACTTTTCTGGCCTTTGGAAATGGCAGCCCCGACGTCTTTTCCACCTTCGCCGCCATGCGAAGTAACAGTGGCAGCTTAGCTGTGGGGGAGTTGGTGGGCGCGGCCAGCTTCATCACTGCTGTGGTAGCGGGGAGCATGGCCTTGGTTGCGCCTTTCCAAGTCGCCAAGAGAAGTTTTATTCGCGACGTTGGGTTCTTCGCAGTCTCGGCGAGTTTCAGTCTGGTATTCCTCGCGGATGGGAGTCTGCGATTCTGGGAGTCCATCACCATGATCGCATATTACGTTTTCTATGTGTTTTTTGTGGTCGGCTGGCACTGGTGGCTGTCCCGACGACGGAAGAGGAAGCTTGCCGAGACTGCGGCGAGACTGCATCACCACATTCCGGAATCACAGGAGTTGGAGGTGCCCGAAATCGAGGAGGACGAAGAAGCACGCCCTGCTACGGAACGAACTGGCCTCTTGCGTGAGCAGTCCAGCGAGACTATCCCAACCTTGCGGACACCAGGAACCCCAGCCTGGAAAGTTGACGATCTCGACGACGACGACGAAACGCGAGACCGATATCTGGCTGAATTGCAAAGCAGGATGAGGGTGGGCCGACCAGCACGAGGCGAGCGAAGGAATACAATGACCCCGATCCGGCCGAGCTTGATAGGGGCGCTGGAATTTCGATCACTTATGACTTCGCTAGAGAAGAAAGCCACCCATTCCCAACCTATTGGCTTACGGAGGTATTCTGACGACGCCTCGGCCTCCCATTCTCCCATTCCCGTCAGTGCACCACCCGGCGCTTCTCAACCCAATCTGGTCAGCACACATTATACGGACTTGGAGGGCGAGAGTCCACGTCGCGCACGAGCCGTGTCTGCAAATGATGCCACTCATCTGCACATCGATACGGATTTTCTTAGCGACAGACATTCTGAGAGAAGCTCAGAAAGTGTCCTCACCAGCGGTGATTCCGATTCAAAGGCTCCTGCTGCAAACCACACGAGGCCGAGCGCCCACATTCTCAGAACACTGAACGACCCATCTTCTCAAAGACCCCCTTCACCTAAACTCATTGTGTCTACTTCAGGTGCTAAAGTCCCAGAGACAGGCTCCCTCTCCGCCGAGCGTCCCAGATCGCCGAATCTCTTGGCACCGCCGACAACGACCTTCCACCGACCGGACTACCAGGAAGAACATCATTCTCCCAATCGAAGTCCGCTGCTGTCGCCCGGCTCCGGACCGACACTGCAAGTGCCTATTCTGCATACGCCACATCCCGACCACTCCAAGGGAGTTCTGCGTCACGAGGATTTTCCGCCATACGTGGATTCTCCAATGCTCCTGACCCCGATGTCCTCCCGGCCTCCAAGTATTCACCTACCGGCACCCAGTATGTCGCCCCAGTCAACTCACCATCTGGGCCTTCTGCCGGACGAGGAGGAACCGCCGATGCGGAGATTCTCGTGGTGGCCGTACCGATACCTTCCTGCTCCTCAGGTTATCTGCGCGGCATTGTTTCCTACCATTTATGGGTGGCGGGAGAAGTCGTACACGGACAAGGTACTGGGGGTGGTGACTGCACCCAGCGTCTTTCTGCTGGCCATTACACTTCCAGTTGTCGAGCCCAGGGAGGAAAAGCCGGTGGTCACGGATCCCGAACTCCTGACCCCAGCGGAGGGCATCCGGCGCAGGTCGGCAAGCTACCTTGAAACCACACACGACGTGCCAGGTCTAGATCCGGTGTCGCCATCATCTGACGGACCGCCTCATCCGCACGGCACGGGAATCTCCCGACAAATGTCGGAGCATGGCAAAAGTCCTCAACCAAAGGTGGACGAGTTGGGTGGACCCAAGGACTGGAACAGATGGTTGGTGTTCCTCCAAGTGTTCACAGCACCATTCTTTGTCGTGACTATCGCCTGGGCAAACATGGATGATGATCTGAGCATGAGACTTTATGTTCGCATGGTACTGGGATCACTGGTGTTTTCGCTCGTGGCGCTTCTTATCCTCCTTTCACTCACAACGCCTGATCGCGAACCAAAATATCGGCCACTACTCTGCTTCTTGGGGTTTGCTGTGGCCATAGGATGGATTTCCACCATTGCCAATGAGGTGGTTGGCGTCCTCAAAGCCTTTGGGGTGATTCTGGGCATATCGGACGCCATATTGGGTTTGACCATCTTTGCTGTTGGCAACTCGTGCGGTGACCTGGTGGCGGATATCACGGTGGCCAAACTCGGATACCCCGTCATGGCCCTGTCGGCGTGCTTTGGTGGACCTATGCTGAACATTTTGCTGGGGATCGGCATTGGAGGCATGTACATGAGCATCACTCACGCCTCTCACAAGCACGCCAAACATCCTCACAAACCGATCAAATACAAACCCTACGAAATCGACGTGAGTACGACGTTGATGATATCGGGAATCACGCTGCTCGTGACGTTAGTGGGATTGCTCATCGTGGTGCCATTGAACGGATGGAGGATGGATCGCAAGATTGGGCTTGGATTGATCTTGCTGTGGTCAGTGTCGACGGTGGGCAATGTGATTGTGGAACTGCTTGGATATGGGGGAGACACGGTAATGTCAGCCATAGGGCGATGACATGGTTATACCCCGAGATGAATGGATTGGATCTCGCTGGGCGTTCAGGACCGCAACATAAAACGTGGGGATTTCCGTCCCAGTACATATACCACTTACTATATTCTGCGTCCGGTCTGCCTCCATGCGACGTGAGGCACTCCTTGTTGGGCTCGAGAGCTTCTAACGAATATCGACAGAGGTCTCTGTCGATCTCGACAAGACATGGTTATCTGGAGCTTGGAAAATGTCGGAGCCGTCCCTTTGGCTCTCTACGCACGTTAAATTGGTCTGGCTGCCCATGCCTCCTCGAAATCCCTCCGAACATCGCTCTCGATTGGGCTCGTCCAAGTCCGGTACGGATCCGGTGTTTGGAGGTGCTTTTGTACTGTGGGTGCATGGCTATTGCGAATGTCTCTGATTGGCGCTTCTTTAGCGAACCTCGGCATGTTGCAGCGGCCAATATCGGCCACTGTCGCATCACGGCGGAAAGACGATGAGGCGAGATGACGACGAGCGGCACAAGTTGGTACGGTGCGAGCACCACGACCGACTCAGCAAAAGGGCGACGCCACCGAGGCGTCCATCGCTCGTATTTGTGATTATTATTTGGTCAATCACGGACTTGGATCGGACATTTTTCCCTTTTTTACCCCAGATTTTACCTCTTACCAAGACTCTTCGTGTTTGATGTACATACATCTGCACGTATAATATCTCTTGGTGTTCTATTTCTCCCCAAGGTCCTTCTCCCCTTGATTATTTGGTCTTTTAGCATAGGAACCTACCCTTGTTAAAATCTCTGCGTTGTCCCGCGTGTGACTAGATCAGACCAAATCAACAAGAAAGGCAACGGCGCGGAGAAGCTCGAGCCCCATCCCAATAAGGCCAGCCATCGTTAGAGAAACGGACATATCCATCCTTTCTGTTTGACTGCTACGACCCAGAATTTAGATACACGCAAAAAGGATTTGAGAGAATGCCTATCAAGTCGAACTTTCCGGACATCGACCTCCAGGTCACTGACCTCTGGTCGCTTTTGTTCAACAGAAAAGACCGAGAGTTCCCCGATGATCATGGTGAGTGGGTTTTTGCTTGGGTTTTCTGCAGTTTGGAAGAGGGTGGTCTGGTCTGAGTCCTCGATGGTTCTTGAGATGAGGAGAAGGAGTGGGAGAGGTGGAAGCGGTGAATCGCCCAGATTTCTGGGAGGATGTCTCTTTGGTGCATCGAGCAGGACGACGAGGGTGCTTCCTACCAACGCCTACCAAAGCATATCAAAAGATACTGTCACTGACCTTGGCCCCCGTGATCAGTCATATTCCAATCTGCCGACTCCCTCTCCAGACAATACACCTATGCCTCGCTGCGGCAATCTAGCATCGACTTTGGCAAGGGCCTCAAATCCAATTTCAACTTCCGCAAATCCGATGTCCTGGGTCTCTTCGTGCCCAACGACATCGATGTCCCGCCTGTCGTCCTGGGAACCCTCTGGGCAGGTGGCATCGTCTCCCCCGCGAACCCGGGCTACACGGTCGCCGAACTGGTCTACCAACTGAAAGACTCGGGCGCAAAGGTTCTATGCACGCACGTGTCCGTGCTCGATACGGCGCGCAAGGCAGCTCGCGAGGCTGGCATCCCAGAGAGCCACATCATCTTGCTCGGCGAGCAGAGCGATCCCTCTCGAAAGTTCAAGCACTGGACGCTCGTCCGCAACCTGGAGGGCACGGCGCGGTACCGCACCCCCAAACTGGACCCGAAATCCGACCTCGCCTTTTTGGTGTACTCGTCCGGCACGACGGGTCGGCCCAAGGGTGTGCGACTGACGCATTTCAACATGACCAGCAACGTCGAACAGATCCACCGGGCCGAGGGGTGGGTGACGTGGAATGGATCCAAGACGCCTCCAGGCAGCGACATCCCGCTGCCACCCAAGGGCCAGGGCGACAAGATCCTGGCGTGTCTACCCTTTTTCCACATCTACGGGCTCAACTGTCTGGTCTTGTGTCCCATCTTCAGCGGCGTCCACACGCTGGTCATGGCGCGGTTCGATTTGGAAAAGTGGTGCGCGCTGGTGCAGGACCACAAGGTGACATTCAGCTACATCGTGCCGCCGATCGTGCTGCTCCTGTGCAAGAGCCCCGTGGTGGAAAAGTACGACCTCTCGTCGCTGCGCATGACCAACTCGGGCGCGGCGCCGCTGACGCGCGAGCTCGTCGAGAACCTCTACAAGCGCAAGGGCGTGCGCGTCAAGCAGGGCTACGGCCTCAGCGAGACGTCCCCCACCATCTTCGTCCAGCGCTGGGAGGACTGGTGGTCCGCCGTCGGCACCACGGGCATCATGGTGCCGAACCTCGAGGCCAGGTTCTGCGCCGTGCCCGGCTCCGGCGAGGAGTCTGACGGCTCCAAGGAGCTGCCGCGAGGAAAAGTCGGCGAGCTGTACGTCAGGGGTCCCAACATCTTTGGCGGATACCACAACAACCCCAACGCCACGGCCGAGTGTCTCGAGGACGGATGGTTTCGGACCGGCGACGTGGGTTTCTTGGATGAGAGGGGGAACTTGACCATCACGGACCGTGTCAAGGAGTTGATCAAATATAAAGGTATGTCTGTCCATATCACTCTTGCCAACCTTTGTCCCCTACCTGCTTTTTCAGCCTTGCCTCTTCCATCCTGCTTTTGGCTTCTTCCCGTTCCTGGGACTGAATCCCCCCCTCCGGGCGTGCATGGGCAACTAACGTCCCCCGCGCATGAAAGGCTTCCAAGTCGCCCCCGCCGAACTCGAGGGCTACCTCGCATCCCACCCACTCATCGACGACGTGGCCGTCGTGGGCGTCGACTCACAGATCCTCGGCACCGAAGTTCCCCGCGCGTACATTGTCCCCAAGGACCGGAGTCTCGTCTCTTCTTCTTCCTCTTCTTCGTCCTCGTCACAAAAAGCAGCCGCCGCAGCCGCAGAGATCACATCGTGGATGAACGCCAAAGTGGCCAACCACAAGAAACTGCGCGGCGGGGTCAAGTTCGTCGACGCCGTGCCTAAGAGCGTCAGCGGGAAGATTCTGCGGAGGGTCTTGAAGGAGCGGGCGAAGAAGGAGTTTCAGGAGGAAGAGGAGGAGGAGGAGAGGAGGAAGAAGGTAAGGGCGAAGTTGTGATTTTGGTCTCAATTTCTTCAAGCAAAGACGATGTATCAGGAAAAGGGGGGGAGGAGATGAGAGATATGTAGACAGACAGACTGAAGGTCAGAGAGACGGATGGGCAGATAGACTGATGGGATCTGGATCGTTAAGTGGACGTACGAATGGATGGATGGATATATGGATACCCCAATGGCTTGATCTGATCTGATGAGTTCCTGTGTATGCCATGTCCATGTCCATGTCCATACAAGAATGACAGCCGAGTTTGGATACTTGTGTTTCTGCGGTAAAATATATTGGAACTGGAGTGATTGGAACGAATGGGACATGATGCATTACCCGATACATCAGGTACCTACCTGGGTACGAAAATGTGTTTGCGACTGGCCATTCTTGCGCCAGATATCCGCTGCGGTGGAACGACCTAGTATAACATGTACTATATGTACATGAAGTATCTACTGTATAGGTAAATAAGGTCCTGGGCAGGTGACTTGTTCATAACTCATTATGAGGACTGGAAGACTGAGAGACTGAGAGAGTCGCCCGTTCAGTCATTCATTGATTCATCCATCCTTCCATCCTTCCATCTAGGCAGAGAAACAGAGAGACAGACATCACACACCACACAGAGAGAAAGAATAGGATCCTTCTCGGCACAGCACACTGTGTTCAATTGACCAAACATGTCTCTTCTCCTTTTATTCTCCATTGTCACAAAGCCAGCAAACAAACTCCCACCTCCTTTCCGAACAGGGTCTGAATCCTGCAAGAGACTCAGGTTCAGCCCCGAACCAGGAGAACAATCCACTCCCAATCCAATACCTCACCCACAGGAACAACTCGCATTATTTCGGGGAATCAATCCCCTGGAGCCCGGGTAAAGTCTTCTTCAGCTCAGCTTCAGGCACAAATCCCAACACCACAGAGCAAACTGTCATTGGTGGTCGTAGTCTCTGCAGATCCGTGCATGCCCTCTAGCTCCTGTAAAACAGAATCCGTGCTTCAAGTCTTGAATTCACTGTCAGCCACAAAACCTTCAGAGGCGCCACCCTACCATCTTTGGCAGTCGAGGTGAGTGATGATCTGCACGGACTTTAGCAAGAAACTCTCCTGAAGCCCGTAGCAGCCGTTATATCGACTAGAGAGTCACACCGTCCATCTTTCGTATTTCTTCTTGTCCTTGAGCTGTGGATGGATCATTGGTAAAAAGAAATCTCTACTCCTGTCAGTACGTGCGTAGTTTGGATGATGCTCAGAATTAAGACAGGCATCAACAAATCCCAGCCAGGACGCCTGATGCGGCATCGGCCATTTGGTCCCGCGGCGCAAAGTCCATCGAGCTGACGGTCAACCGAAGAGAGGGCACAGTGATAGTTCGTGATAGATTGGCGATCGACTGTGATCACTTGGGCAGATCGCAGCGTTCGTCCCAGGAGGAAGCCAATGGAATCGACGATTCAGCAAACAGCGAGCTGCAATGCATTGCTAAGCGTGCAGCAGTGCCTTGGTTGATTCTCTGACGAGACATCAATCTATGCCGATCTTGCCGCCAACGTTACTGGACATTGTAGGAGATGGGCTCCTCTCGGGATTTGTCCTCCTGCATCCGCGCCCAAAGATACTGCCTGTGTGGGCTGCAAAACCCGCCAGAAGATCTTCTCAGACAGAGGGACGGGGAGATCCAAGCCCGGCCGTGGGAATCGGTCTGTCGATCATAGTAGAAGGGACAGCAGGGATGATGGCAGATGGTGGGGTGGACACCGCATCCCCCAAAGGTTCATCCGTTTTGCGCAACACAACGAGGACGTGCTTGATGCTTCGAGAGATGGGATTTTTCCAGCAGTGCAACGGTTGGCTTGGTCGCTCCGACTACCGGAAAAGACATTTGATACAACGCACCCATGGACCTGCAATGCAGGCAGCACAAGTGGTGTGACAGTGACGAGGGGAAACTTGCAGACGCAAGTCGCAGGTAGCTTGGAGGTCGGACGACCCGGTGTCTGACTCCGGCGCCTCCCAAGCCATGATGGACAGTTTAGGCGCATGCCACGCCCCCGAGATTTCGATCCCCGTCGCTTGTTTGGGGGCTACGCAACCTTGCGACCCCCTGGGTGGCTCCGTTGCTGGCCCCTAAGGCACGCCAATGCAGGTCCTTAGTGGGTTTTGAGACGCGGCTAGTTGCTTCCCTGGGCCGCTCCCGCAGTCCAGCAGCCCCAAGTTACTTTACTCGTCCCCAAGCCCCTCCAACCCTCGACGGGACCTGGGTTGTCGCATTTTCTCAAACCATTTCTGCTTCGAGCCCTTTCTTGTCACCGAGTTCACATGTCGCAGCTCCGTCCTTCCTGTCCTTCTCTATCCTCCCGCACCTCTGGAGACGGACCGCTGTGAGATGGAAACCCCCGAATCTTGATCTTCACCGGAAAAAACTTGCTCTCATTCGCACCCCCCGAGCTCCCAACCTCGATCGCTCGCTTACCCTTATCTCTCACGTGTCGACTCCACGAGTTGCTTCACTCGAAGAGATGGCCTCGAGATCGATATCCACCGACAAGTCCAGAACTTACAGCACCTCCAACTCGTTCAGCTTGACCGTGCTCATCTCTGGCTCAGGGACGAACCTCCAAGCTCTGATTGACGCTTGCGGCCAAGCTCCTCCTTCCAAAGACAAACCAGCTCCTCGACGGCTGCTCCCCAATGCTGAAATATCACATGTCATCTGCAATCGTCGTGAAGCCAAAGGCATTGCTCGCGCCCAAGATGCTCACATTCCGGTGACATACCACAACCTGCTCGCATACAAGAAGAAATTCCCGGACACGGAGGCCGGGGTCACTGCTGCTCGGAACCAGTACGACACCGACCTAGCCCAGAAGATCCTCACGCACATCCCTTGTCCGGACCTGGTGGTCTGTGCAGGCTTTATGCACATCCTGTCTCCGGTGTTCATCAACGCTCTAGCCTCCGCCAATGTGCCCATTATCAACCTCCATCCAGCATTGCCAGGGCAGTTCGACGGGGCAAATGCCATCGGACGTGCTTATGAGGCATTTCAAAGAGGAGAGATCTCGAATACTGGCGTCATGGTCCACTACGTGACTGCTGAGGTAGATCGCGGGGCACCTGTCCTGGTGCGGGAAGTCGAGATTAAACCTGGGGAGTCGCAGAGCGATCTGGAAGAGAGAATACATGAGACAGAATGGAAGCTGATTGTCGATGCTACAAGTCGGGTGTTGGCAGATTTGGAGGAGAAGCGCAGGCAGGAGAGTTGAGGGTGCTTGGTCTGAGGTCGTTTTTGGGTACCAGCGATGAATGTCACAGGACGTATGCGACAGCGCAAGAAGGGGGGCAAAGTGGTGGGCCAGGGTGGCAGGAAACAGTCGGTTCTTCGGGCCTAGCGAGGTGTTTGGGAGGCTTCTTCTTTGGACAATTACAAGTCAAGCAACCCGGAGTTGAGGTCTGGACTTCTGAAGCGGTGTTGACCCTCCACCCTCTGATTTTTCCGACTACCAGCCAGATGGTCTTTCTCTGCAATGGTTGCCGGCAAAGGGACCAAGAGACACACGCGTTTCAGGTTTGGGGCCGAGACAGCGAGATTGACGGAAGTTTTTGATGAATGGAACAAAAGTTGGCATGCAGATTTCCGACGAGATGGTGAACGGCTCTCTCTTTCTCCTAGCTCTCTTAGATGGTCTTTTGCTATGAAAGCAAATCACAGTGAAAATCTCCCATCACCCAGTATCTGGTCGCACTTATAGAATGTTGTATCCGCCCTGAAGCCTCCCTTTCCCTTGTCAGCTTCACTCGGGTAAAAGAACGAGCTCGATTTGATCAAGAATGAACGTGATTGAGCATTGAAGGGGCCTGGCCGAGCACTCCATGCACATATACGAATAGTCATATCCAAGTAGTACTACGTCATTGATTCAGGAACACTATGGGATGTCGAGGTATGCACAGCAACCCACTACCTTGGTACCTAGTACCATGTATTTATAGTGGCGATGAACCCTCCTTCCGACCCTTTTTCTTTCAGCCAATCATCCTACAACGCCATGACCGACCCCAATGAATTAAATGCTTGTCCAGACAAGACGACACAACGAGGGGTCGGCAATCCTGAATTCGGACATACCGAGCTTGTGACGCTCGTCGAGTTCCTCGGGCCCAGCGATGGAGAATGCGTATACTTGGAGAACAGGGCAAGTAGGCGATCAATATGGACTTGACCTCTACAGAAGACACTCGTCCACTTAGCAGGCCAAGCGAGCAGGTAAGCAGGCAGGCATCATGGCAAACGCAGACGAACAGATCCTGGTCACGGGCGCAACGGGGGTGGTGGGACGCTCGGCCATGCAGTACTACGGTGAGCGGGGGTACAAGGTGATTGCCGTGTCTCGACGACGGCCGTTGAACACATACGGGGCGTCGTGGCACTCGCTGGACCTATCGGACGAAGCGGCGTGCAAGGCGCTATTGTCGCCGTTGACGGGGATCGTGCAGATCGTCTTCGCGGCGTTGCACGAGGAACCCAACCTGGTGGCCGGGTGGCAGGAGAAGCAGCACGTCGACCGCAACGCGCTGATGCTGCGCAACACGGTCGAGGCCGTCGCCCCCTACGCCAGGAACCTCCGCAACGTGACGATCCTGCAGGGCCCCAAGGCGTACGGGGTGCACGTGCACCCGATCCGCCACGGGGCGCGCGAGGACCGCGACGAGGACCGCTCCATCCAGAACTTCTACTGGGCCCAGGAGGACTACCTCAAGGCGCGACAGCGGGGCCAGCCCTGGAGCTGGAACATCCTCCGCCCGTCGCTCATCATCGGCCTGAGCATCGGCGGCGCCATGAACCTCTACGCCACCATCGGCGTCTATGCCGCCGTGCTCAAGGAGCGCGGCGAACCCCTCTACTTCCCGGGCCAGGGCCAGGGCGTGTTCGAATCGACCGACGCCGACCTGATCGCCGAAGCGTGCGAATACATCCTCCTCCACAACGACACCACGCAGAACCAGACCTACAACCTCACCAACGGCGAGAGCTCCTCCCTGCGCGAAGACTGGCCCCTGATCGCCCACTCGCTCGGCATGCAGCCCGGTCCGGACAAACCGTTCGCCTTTGCGCGCGACCTCCCCTCCTTCAGCGCCGACTGGGACCTGATCCGGGAGAAGTACTCGCTCAAAGCTCCGCCCTTGGACGACTTCCTCGGCCAGAGCGCCCAGTTTGCCGACTTTGTCTTTGCCAAGGGCGCGACGGACCCGAGTTTCATGAGTTGCATCAAGATCCGGAGGGCGGGGTTTGCGGGGACCGTCTACACGGACGATATGATTCGCAAGTGGTTCCGGTTGTATCAGGACGAGGGGTTGTTGCCGGCTGCGTCTGCTTGAGATGTACTGTGTCGTGGAGGAGAGAAGAGGGAAGTATTAGGAAGTGGAAGTGGAACTGGGGAGATGGAATAGAATAGAAATGGAGGTAGGGTGGAAGTGGACGCGGACTATCTATCTCGTACTGTATGTATAAATGATATGTACCGACCGCGTAGGTAGGCAGGTAGGTAGCCACGAATCCAAGGTACCTCAGGCAAGGTATCGATGTACACACATACTTGCACAGCATCTATTTACTCGGTATACAGACCCATGTTCGTCAGTGGGAGAGCCGACTGACCGCATGAATCCTGGACTTCTGTATACGTAGCAACATATCTGAGATGGTGGACGTGGGAAAATGAATAGATGATGAGGTCGGAGTAGTAAGTAGCTATCACCACCGCCAACACAGTCATCGCTACCAAAAAGGAATGGAAAGCCAGGGATAACTATTGCATGGATGGCATCTGGTATAGATACTCCGGAAGAATCTAGAATAGGGCAGCAAAAAAAGGGTATCGCATTGCATGGCGTTATAAACAGTAGATAGATATACACACTGTCCTGTCCTGACAAGATTATACCACAAGGGACTGAATACATGTCCCCAGGTAGGTAAGTAGTTGGTAGTTGGGTAGTTCAGAAGACACGGCCTGCGCTCCCACATTCCTTTCATACCACTCACTCTGAGCGATGAGAACATGCCCAAGTGATCAGACAGACCCAGACCTGGCCAGATCCAGCCGGTTCTTCGCTCGCTCGCTCGCTCAAATCCTCCCAAAAGGTCCAACACAAAACACAAGCACAAATATACAGAATACTGTCTTTCGCCTCCTGAAAGCCGACATGGTCATGATTGTAACCTCAATAGTGCCGCGTCACTGCCTCGCCCTACCTCTCGGTCCCAGCAGTGGCCGGCTCGTTTGCAGGTACTTCTTTCTCTTTACCTTTTTCTGCGTCGATCCCATCACCAGAATGATAATGCTCATCGTCGTTGCCGTCGCCGTGGTGCTCGTCCCGACCTCCGTCCATAAACTTGTGCATCTCCCGCTTGTATCGGCTCTCGTGGATCTGCCCGCCATCGTCCGCAGCAGTACGGGTGGCGAGATCCTCTTCATCGCTCGAGCTCAGACTGCTCAAGCTCATATTCTGCAGGTACATGACCTGCTTGCCCCCACGGGATTGCTTCTTCTTCTCCCGCTGCTCGGATTTCAGCTTCTGTTGCACCTCCGCATCGGCCTGGCAGTCGAGCGTTCGAACCTTGAGGCCAGGGAAGTTTTCCGTGAGGTAGCTACGAAGAAGGGGGAGTTTCGCCGCATTGGGTCGATACGTCCCGGAATCATTGTCGATGACGAGTTCGTAATGCCACGGTTCCCTGCTCTCAGAGGTAGCTGTGCCGTTTGTCAGAGGCTGTGCGTCATGGGCTTGACTGGAGCTACCTCCGCCACTACTGCTGCTCGTGCCGATGTTGTCTCTTTCTTCTTCCGGTGGCGTTGCTGGAGGGTGTGTCTCATCACTCGGATGGACGTTGTCGTCGTTCCGGTGTGCCTTTGCATGTTTGATTCTGCGAATGAAAAACTCGCCACTGAATGCGATGTAGATGCTCACGTCGCTATGCATGGTGTGTTTGCTGAGCAGATCGATCCCAAATTCCTTGCCCGTTTCTGTGAACCGGAGCTGCCCATCCAACGTCAAGACATAGGTAAAAATGCGGCCCCCCTCGTCATAATTTACCATGTCGAGGAACAGCTTCGTCATCTCGGGACAGGGCTCTTGGAAGACACCGTACTTGGTAGTTTTATCATAGTTGTAAATACGAGCATGTTGGTGGTGCAAAGCACGATTGAGCAGGCGACCGCGAATAGTATGGGCCGTAAACATGCCGGCCACAAATGGTCTGAATTCGACGTATCGATGATAGAGATCTGCGGGGACAGGTCCACGTAACTGCATTTGCACAGATTGGAAACTGGGAGACGGGTTAGTCGGTGGCCATTGACAAAACACTCAGCGCGTGGACATACTTGTATCTCTGCACCTCTTTTCCATCTTTGCCTTGCTCTGTATTCTTCGTGCCCGCTATCCGCCCGATCAGAGGAGAGTAATGCCGACTCCAAGGCAATGGGCCGATCGTGTATGCGCGACCACCGTCCTCTGCATCTGTCCTGCCGAGATTCTCGACGCTGACGATGAGGCTCCCGTTCAGTTTGACTTTGCGCGAGATCAAGGCGGCGCACCCACGCAAAGTATATGCTCGTTTGCTCCCCATGCGCTTCTTCAATTGGAACTTCTGGTGGGAGAACCCTTTCCAGCTCTCGTCGACACGTGGAACATCAATGTGAACATTTCCCAGTCGATCATCGTAATCCGACGGATCCTCGTCGTATAATCTGCACTTGAGATGGAAGCCACTGGCTGGGATGTTGCCAACAATCCACTCGGTTTCCCATTCCGGGTCCGTGTTGCGATGGATTGTGGGTGTCCTCAACTTGAGATCAGGATCCTGCTTGTGCCTCTTGGGAAGATCTGTTCGCAGAACCGCCAGGACATAGGGATCCGATGACAGAGTGCCAAAGTCGGAAAATGGTAGATTCTCGGCCTTGTGGAATGTGATCTTGAGAGTGTACCCGGGGGGTGCCCTGGGTAGAGGCGTGTCATCGTACCCGCCAGCAGGACCGTTCTTCTCTTTCTTCTCGGAATCCGTTCCCGTGTTTCCGCGATATTTCTCCTCCAACTTCTCTGTTTTACCGACCAGCTTAGGTCCTATCTTGTCCGCCTGGGAAAGGACTCCGCCATTGCGCAGCGCGGGAATGTTGGAATCGTTCGGATCGTTCTCGGCCATTGGATGGGAGGAAAGGTGTTATCGCGCGTATCCGCGCCAGCATATGTTGATGACTGTACGTGGCCGAGGTAAACGCTCGTGCGCACACCCTGGAAAAACAAGGATCTGGTATCCTGTACTTTGACAGTCTGGGAGAATCGAGGAGGGAAAGGGAGGAAGAGCGCAGGTTGAGGGCAGGGATTTGTCGGCGGATAGTTTAGGAGTTTTGTATCTGGCAAGGGAAGATTTGAGGGCGCATGGATCAGCTCAGCATGGGGTGATGTGTCAAGACTCGAAAGAAGGCCCCCACCACCTGTTCTTGAACTTGTCTTTGCAGGATTATGGACGATGGCACCATGACCCTCGTCAGCTCCAATGAAAGAACTAAAGTACTTGGGACAAGTATACAATAGACTTCTGGTTCCTCTGGAGACTTGACCCCGACTGGTACGACTGGGCACCACCTATCCCACCCACCCACTCACCCGCCCGTGCCACCCAACTGCGCATCAAGCAAAAAACATGGCCTCAAGCCTAGAAGCTTAAGCAAAAGCTTGGCCACGAGCCGACGATCAATTGCCAGTCTTGCCAGTTTCTTGCTCTGGATGCAACGAGTGACGCGCAATCATGAGCCCTAAGCTTGTCCCGCAAATGGAAGACATCGAGATCTTGTTCCCATCAACCGTATAGGACGACTACTGAGGTCAACCAGGTACGAGTCCAAGATGCCTTAGGGCTGGAGAGTTCATAGTCCACGATTAGGTCTTTCATTTCGGTTACTCCATACTGGACCAAGCACCAACTCAGCCCCCAAGCCCCAAGGAAGCCACCAGGGGCTGGCATCACCCAGTCGAGTAAGCAGCCTAGAACAATAATCCAAGACAAAGGCTCCTTCGCTCCACGTAAATCCGTTGCCGCGCCATGCAAAAACCAAACACAGAAGTTCATTACTGCCTAATTCTTATTCTTCAAGTAGCCTCAACAACAAATCCGAGCCTGGCCCCGTCAGGCTATCTCGCATCTCCTTTTCAGACACGGCGCTTACCACCTGTTTGTCATCCATCGCCCGTCCGTTTCGAGATGGCGTGTTGGCTGGTGTCAACAAGCCCGAGCTACGTCCAGATGCCTCCTGCACTAACCCCAAGGTTTCGAGGCTGGCAACCACGTCTCGAAACTCGGTGTTCTTGAGCGGTTGTAACAGTCCATCATCGCGCTTACATAGCTGAGCATACTTTTCAAACAGACTCTTGATCGTAGGAAGCCTCGATCCGGATTTGGACGGGGTGGTATAGGGATCTCGGCGGTGTTGTCGGGCTTCGGAAGCCACCAAGGAGCACAGCACAGCCTTCTGTTGGAGATTCAGACCGCTCAAGCGAGAAAGTGTACCGTTGTTGAAAATGGTCGCCGCAATCTTGGCCACGTGTGCAATAGACACTTTTGGCGCCGTCTCCCAGGTAAGATGATTGAGGACTGACCGATCATCCCTCCTGACAGGAGATGGAACAATCTGAGTAGAGGCCACGTTGGAAATCTCTTGGAGTGGTTGCTTGGTCGGCGTCACACTCTGTTCTCGACTCATCTTCAAGAGGGTTTCTTGCTCAACCTGGTCAAGGGCACGACGGACCAGACTAAAGGCCTTTCGTAGATCTCCTGTCTGAGAAGATATCTTCTTTCCTGCCAACTGAATCGCTGCGGGATGCATCAGAGGAATCGAGTCAGCGCCGTCCGCCGTTCCATTGGTTATGAGAGATCGTAGTTTATCCGAGATGATGGTAGCGATCTGTTGAGCGGAATATGGCAGGAAAGGTAGCAGTTGGGGCTTCAGGTTCCTCAACTTCAGCCGTGGCAGAAAGCGATCAGTCAAGTCCAGAGCGTTGGCGATTCCAATTAAGATGAGAGTGGACGAAGGGTGCATAGCCCATTCGAAGATGCTGTACAACATCTCGCAATCACCTGCCAGGAGTGTGTCGATTTCGTCAAGCAAGACGAGACGCATCTCAGACTTGGCCTTCTTTGTCGTGAACAATCTCGCCAGGGCAGCTTTGGATGACTTTGAGCTTCCATTGCCAGGACAAAACACCTGGCTCAGACGCGCGAGGACTTCGGTGGAAGACTTCAAGGACACACAGTTGATCGTGGTACTTGTGACAGATCCAGCTTGAAATTCTTGCATGATCTCCTGGACCAAGGCACTCTTACCAGTGCCAGGTGGCCCACTAACATATGTGCAGCCTCCGAGACGAGTTTCGATCGCCTTGGAGATGAAATTGGTCAACTGACGACGTTCAGCCTCTCGACCGATAATCTTTCCATTCCCGGCTTGAGTGAACAACTGTCGGGCCTGCGAGTATACATTTTGTGATCTTGCTGGTGTGGATGTCCGTGACGATTGAGGGGTGAGAAGCCTGCCAACAAGTCGGACTCGGTGCTTGGGTGTGCTGGGAGCGGAAAGAGCAAGAGCATCCTTGAAACGAATATTGGTGGGAGTCGATACGATTGAGGGTGGAAGGTTTTCGTCTGTCTGATGGTTGGAATTTCCAATGGGCTTGGTTGTGTTTGTGTTGTTCTTTACAGGACTGTCTTGTACAGTATCATTCTTTCGTCCGTTACGACCTCCAACAAGACGAGTATTCGATTTCCCCAACACTTTGTTCTCAGCTGCATCTTGGTATATCTCAGGTACAGAGCGTCGCGTCCGCCTTTTTGGGCTGGGAGGTGTATCTGGGCCATCTGCCAATGCATCCTGTCAGTAGTATTCTTCAAAGCTGAAAATTTGGACATTGAGACGCACTTTGTTCATCCAGAACTCGTCGAGAACGCTTTCCCAGCACTGTGGCAGCCATTTGATGTGGTCGTCGCTGCTTTTGATGGGTTGGAGTTGGAGAAAGTTGAAGCTGTGGAAGGCGCGAGGGACACGACTCAAGAAGTGGCAGGCGCGAGTCATGCATCCCAGCCATGAACCTCCCATCAGTCGCGCCTGCCAAGAGTCGACGCGACCGCGTTTCGAGGGAAGGAGCGTGCCACCACTTAGCCCCGGCTGGACTTGACACTCTTGATCCTGGCGCCACATTGCCACTGTTACACATCTCGTAGCTCTGTGCTCCGCCCTACATTTACCATCTAGCTTGACTTGTCATTTGAAGTGCCCACTAAAGTGATACTTCTTGGCACGTTTGTCTCATTTCGATCACCTTGAATGTATCGGGCAGTGACGCCGGCCCTTTTCGTCATACCTTCGCCGCCTTGTGCATGGTGCCTCGTCTTGTGCCTGCCTTTGCCTCATAACAAAAAACCCCCATCACAACTGGACGCAGTGACTGGCAGTTTACTGTTTGACACATGGCATCCTCTACCTTCTCCTATCGTTTCCTGACGCATCGTTTCCTACAATGATCCCACTTTCAATTTCTTCATGATTTCTCTCCTCGAGACCTCTGTTAGGGTCATCTGTATTTCATATCACCAACCCAGACCACAAACCTCTCCGCCTACCGAGAACTATATCTCCCTCCTTCACTATGGATGAAGCAATTGCCACTGTCGTCTCCGTCTGCGGAACGACCCCAGAGCTGGCCTCGCAATATGTACAGCTTGCCGACGGTGATCCTAATCAAGCAGTTCAGTTGTTTTTTGAAAATGGCGGCGCCGACCTCGCAGGCAATACCTCTCGTCCTCCTCCACCTCCACCACCAACAACTTCTTCCGACCCACGTATGCCTGGCGGGCCCCTAAATCCCATCGATGCCGACGCGGACGATAATATTTCCGATGACAATGATCCGGAAATTACTGGTTTTCGGAAAAATACTCTGAGAGACACTGCTTCTGGACCCCCGCGGGGTCTAGACTATGAAGATGATGAGGCCATGGCGCGGCGCTTACAAAATGAAATGTACGGAGAGGGTGCCATGGACGATATTGTGCGGGCCCCCATTGCCCGACAGGCAGAGACTTTGGTGGGAGCAGGGTCAACCATCCCAGGCATGAGGGAAGTGTCATATACCTCGTCCGTAGAAGAACGAATGCGGGCCCTGGAGAGAAGGAGGCAACAAGGTCAGTATCTTAGACCACCTCCGGCTGCGGCATGTGACTAATCCTCGAGTAGCGCGGGCAGGAATCTTCAACCAACACCAGCCGACCTCCATTTGGGACCAAAATGTGAGTGCCACCTCGAACGGTCCGGATGTACTTGCAGAGTCTACTGGTGGAGCGTCAGAGGCTTCCGCGAGGTCGAATCGACTTGCCAGACTCTTTCAACCTCCGTGGGATCTGATGTACAAGGGAGATTGGGAAGCGGCAAGAGATCAGGGCAAGGAGCACAAAAAGTGGCTACTGGTGGATATCCAGGATCCTTCGATCTTTGACTGCCAGGCATTGAACCGTGATATATGGAAGAACGAAGGGATTGCGGAAACGGTCAGGGAGAATTTCATCTTTCTCCAATACAACAGGGACGACCCGAGAGCCTCGCAATACGTCCAATATTATTTTCCCAACTATGAGGTCCAGAATGAATACCCGCACGTCGCCATCGTTGATCCTCGAACGGGCGAACAAATCAAACTTTGGTCGCGCAAAGTTCCCCCACCTCCTGAGTTTCTCATGCAACTGCACGAATTTTTGGATCGATACAGTCTTGAGAACAACGTCCGCAACCCAGTGGCCAAGAGGAAATCCGAGGCCAAAAAGGAGAAGCCCATCGATCAGCTTACGGAGGAGGAAATGCTGGAACGAGCGTTGCAAGCTAGTTTGGCGACTCAGAGTCACGAACACAAATCGAATCCGGCAGAAGATCCGGATGATCTCACCCGGAGTGTTGGGGATGTCCGAGGAACAGAAACACCAGAAGTTACAAGTGCAATGGATGTTGACCACAACGGCACTGACGAAGCAGCCCCATCGACTGCATTTACACAAATCCCATCTGATCACCCTCATCAAGAGCCACCTGCCGGGCAGGGAGTGACGCGAGTACAAATCAGACATCCCGGTGGACGCATCGTTCGTCGATTCGCAGAAAAAGATCTTGTGCAACGAATCTATGAGTTTCTCAAGGCGGAACCACTTGAAGGTAGGGAAGGAATGCCATTCGAGCTCGTGTCAATGGGCAAGAACCTCCTGGATGTCCGGCATGAGACGATAGAAAGTGCAGGTCTGAAGAATGGGACGGTCATGGTGGAATTTCTGGAGTAATGATGAGGCTAGTAGTCTCGATAGTAGACAAGCATTGCGAGGCGCTCTCAAACTTGCTACCACTAGTTAGTACCATCAGGTCTGACTCTTGTATGGGCCCCAGTCCACGGAGGTGTTCTGGACGGAGGTGGTTGAGCTTGTACTCTACAATCCCTGGGATGAAATGAGCATATGAAGCAGACTACGGAAAATGTTTTCAAGGGGTTTGTAACGCATCATCTTCACTGGCTGTCGTAGTCGAAATCGCAATGTAATGAGTATAGCCAATAGGAATCGGTAGGGGTCACCGAGAACGGAAAGCCGTAAACAAGCGCGACGAAGCTAATCGTCGAGGTGTTTCATCTTTCCCAACACCACTGGTCACTCCATACAAGTGACTGGGCACTGCCTTACCTATGAATTGAAATGAGCGACGACTTCACGAACCCTTAATGACGAGGATAGAGAGCCCATAAGGGTGGGGAGGCGTCCATCAACAATAGCACCTGCCCAATGCGCACTGAGGAATTGACAGTGCATCTCCGCCCGAATCTCGAGATTGCACTGGCATTTAGGGCGAGATCACAGGTCTTTCGGCGTCGACTACGATCCTCGCATCGAAGCAACTGTACGACCAATTCAGCGCCTTCACATTCGCGTATTCCACTTTCGAACCACGCCCTACGGTAGTCCCGCAGTGCGCCGTCGAGATCGCACCACTCACACCACCGTCCCATAAGGTGTCGGCCTAGACACAAACACAAGACAAGATGGACCCGGAGGAACTCTATACCAAGCAAAGCTGTATTGGAGGGGGCAGTTTCGGAAAAGTGTACAAGGGAGTGGACAAGCGCACAGGTCAAGCGGTGGCCATCAAGGTCATAGATGTGGAAAATGCGGAAGACGAAGTCGAAGACATCATACAAGAGATTTCGATCCTCTCGGAATTGCAGTCGCCATACGTGACAAAATACCACGGCTCATACCTGAAAGGTTCGGACCTCTGGATTATAATGGAGTTCTGCTCGGGCGGCAGTTGCTCAGACCTGATGAGACCAGGCCTGATCCATGAAGATTACATCTGCATCATCATTCGAGAACTACTCATGGGATTGGACTACTTGCATTCCGACAAGAAGCTGCACCGCGATATCAAGGCTGCCAACGTGCTTCTCGGCCAAAACGGACAGGTCAAGCTTGCGGATTTTGGTGTGTCAGGACAACTCTCAGCGACCATGACCAAGAAGAATACCTTCGTGGGCACTCCATTCTGGATGGCACCTGAGGTCATCAAGCAATCAGGCTATGATCATAAAGCGGATATCTGGTCCCTTGGTATTACAGCAATCGAATTGGCACAAGGAGAACCACCCTACGCCGACATCCACCCCATGAAGGTTCTTTTCCTCATTCCAAAGAATCCCCCGCCAACTTTACAGGGCAATTTCTCTCGCACATTCAAGGACTTTGTCGAGCTCTGTCTCCGCCGAGACCCTAGGGAACGACCCTCTGCCAAAGAGCTGTTGAAGCATCCATTTGTCAAGAAAGCCAAGAAGACCACTTACCTGACCGAGCTCATTGAGAGGAATGAGAGATACATGGCAACTCGCGGCAACCGTGTCTCCGATGATGAAGAAGACGAAGAACCCATAAGAGCCGCGGTTCATCGACCAGAGGATGAAGACCTCTGGGATTTCGGTACCGTTCGACCCGTGGGAGGTCGTGGGCCGGGACTTCGACCGATGAATGACTCTGCCACAAACGCAAGAGCCTCTGCAGATCCAGCAACCTCTGCACAGAGCATGTCAGACTGGGATGAAACGGTAAAGGTTCCCTCATCGCCTCAGAAGTCGCCCGTCAAAGGCGCATTCCCGACCCCTGCAAAAGTACCACTACCCCCATCTCCCGTGAGAACAACAATCTCTGCTCCCGACGAAAATAAGGCCCCGTCCGCGGTGTCCGTACCTTCCACCGCCCCGAAGACGCCAGCTGCTCGTGTAGCGACGCAAAATCCACCTTTGCCACCGCACAAAGACAGTCCTGGGTCGAACGAATACAACAAAGCATTCCAGGCTCAGCTGGCCAAAGAGATGGGATTCTTGAAGCTCGATGCCGAGGACGGCCCAGGATCGTCGCCATCTCAAGGGCAGACTCCTCCAGGCAAGAAACCCCAAATGGTCATCCCTGAAATCCCGCCTTTCAAAGGCAAGCCAGGACGAGGTGAACCCGTGCAGAGGTCCCAACAATCTACATCTTCCAGACCTGTCAGCCAACACCCTCTTCCACACTCTTCATCTATGCTCTCTGGTCAGTTAGCAGTGGGTCCAGCCTCGATTGCCAACCAACAGCCACTGCCGCCACTTACAACAAAGACAAACGTGTCCCAGACAACAACATCCAGCGCGAGTGGCACACATGCACAAAGCCTCATGCCAGACCCGAATCAAGAGCTCACCGCGCTCAATTCGGTGCTTATCCCGGCTCTTGAGGCAGCAATGCATCGTCGGACGTATATGTTGAAAGAACTTGCACGAACAAGTAAGTTGAGCTCATCTGGGGCGACAGAATTGCACCAGCAGAGAGTACAAACACACGAAAGGGTTCGCAAACTTGCTGCCAAAGTGGCGGGTGTTTTTCACGAGATTCAGAAGTGCGATGAGGAATTCCCCGTTGGTATGGGAGGCGGAGTTACAGAGTTCCTAGAAGGTTTCTTGGAGGAAATCCTGGTCCGGGTCGAAGCAGCTGATGAGCCAGAGTCCAGCCCTCCCAAAAAGGCATGAAAGCGTGAAAACTTTATGAGATGACTTGATATGGTTTGATCGATGTATGTTTACAATGCGAGGCAGAAATCCTCTGCTGAAAGCCTTGCCTGGCGTATTAGCATTTCTAGATGCGGTTCATTATTGAGCAATTGATATAATATTCGACGCCATACTCGTCGTATTCCTGTGGTGGATCCTCTTGCACGAGTCGTTGTGCACTGATTGGGGAAGAAGCACGAGTCATGACATTTGATGACGACGACGATCCCATCATGAAACGACGAACCCGGCGTATCAGCGAAGTGATGGCGCATGTACGGCGACTCGCCAGATGATGTCGCCAACTCGATGAATTACATACCTACCATATGGCGACAATCAGGCTCCGTTTGCCTCTGTCCAACTCTACCCAGGAATCCATGATACTTGGGATTCGCAACTCACCACCGTCTCCGAATCTTAAACCTGTACCTTCATTGACGTGACATTAGGAATGGCTACCAACACAACCCAAAGCAACCTCATCCGACTAGCTCCCCTTCAACTGGGAGAGCTTCCAGAACATCCCTCGCTGCCTTGCGCAGACAGCGCCCGTCCGAATCTCCTCTCCTTCCTGCTGACTCTACTTGATGACGGTGCCGATTTTCTTGCGCCTGACAGCTTCTCCGCCAACTTCAGACACCACTCTATCAAGTCCGCGCCGCCTAGTGAAGCCAAAGTCGAGGTGCTGACCTACTCGGTTGCAGCCAAAGAGTTGGAAGCCATTGTTGACTGGGGTTCTTCGAAGAATACCACGGGGAATGCAAATCCAGCCACTTATGCTCGGCCTGGCCGAAGCAAGCCGCCTCTCAGGGTCCTGAGTGCGGGCGAACATTGGTGTGCTCGCAGATCGGTCCACAAGGATATCTCCTCGAAAGACACCAAATCTCCGGGAAACGCAAGCTGGAAGGAGTTCATCTTCGGCCTGCGCGACAACCATTCCAAACACGAAGAGGACTTTACACCCACCCTGTACGATGCGCATTGTGTGTGCACGTGGAACGAAGAAGTGAAAGATCTTGAAGCACAGGAGAAGATTGTGGGGAAATCTGGCCAGAAATATTCATGTGTGACCATGTCGATCTACGAAATGTGCCACGCAACCCCGCCGCCGACGAGCCCGCGCTGTTTCCCCGTGCTGGTTGCCACGGCCAGTATCACCTCAGATGAATTTCTTGCCGTCACCGTCCCTGTGAACTTGGGCACGAGCGTGCACGATGCGTTCTACTCCTCTGGCCGCAACACCCGCGAAGGCAAGACCTCGCAGCAGCGAAAGTCGGTGGTGCTGGGAGTTTACACTGCGTTAGAAATGGTCCGGCGGAAAGAGGGAGATGCCAACGTGGGGAAGAATTGGGGGGAGGTGGAATGGGTCATGGCAACTGCGAGCGACGCCAAGGGCAATTTGCCCATGTGGATGCAGAAGATGAGCGTGCCTGGTATGATTTCCAAGGACGTGAGTTATTTCTTGAAATGGGTCAAGACCGTGCCAGAGAACGAGGTCGACAGCGTTAAAGTCGCGTGAAAGAAGGGAGATGGAAGCGGTGAATGGAAAGGCAACCAAAAGAAGGGGTTCGACGCGGGCGCGCAAGCCACAATCAGTCACACCTTGAAGAGCAACCTGCGAAGGTGGAAAATGAGACACCAAAATCGACGCCAGACGAGGAGGCATGAAGCATTTGCAACCATAGTCGGGCAATTCTGACCACAACAAAGCGGATATTCGCAGTAACGGTTACTGTGGATTGAATGAACGTGATCAAGGCAGCTCCGGGCATGGACTGGTGCGACATGCAGGTTTTCTGATAGGCACGCTGCAGCCCTACACAAGAGGACAGAGGAGCCATTTGGTCCACGCCCGATGCATCCTCTTACAGTCCCTGTTGGCTTGCCCGAGAAATCATGTGGAGAAGTCACAACCCAGGCATTGCTGCACAGAGGCCGAAGTCCTGGGGAACGACGATGAAGGGACTACTGTAGGCCAGCATCATTGAACAAGACCGGTCTGGATCTCGACACATCCTGGTCATAGTCATACAACCTGTCGGGCGACCGCGATCAAGCTTGGAGCGATGTCAGCACTTTGCTCTCACACAACTCCCTTTCCAGGCCCCCACGGGGATTTTCTTCTTTGTGCCTTGTTCGACTAGCCAATCGATGTTGGAGTTTCGTCTAATCTGCTCTGCCATTTCATTTGTCAGGTTTTCCATCGAGGAGGGCAGCAGGCTAGCCCTTTAACAGACTAGATTTCAAGCTTCCACCAGCTTTATACAAACGATCAGCACTCTGGATGAGCAATGCGAATGTGATGGACATAGAACCTAGCTTCAGCGGGAATCCGAGCTTCTCCATCTTGATTTGCCAGGGAGCATTCAGCCAGCCAGTTAGGGTATCGGACAACCACCTTCTTGCTGGTGCCACAGACAAGCTGTGCTCCAGGACCAGACCAATCTATTCAGCCAGCCCTCTGACGCAGCTCAACAACAAGGCTGCTTCAAGCAATCAGTTGATAGCTTCGTAACTGCAGCTCCTGGCCCAAAAACCGGTTTCCTTGCGTAAGAGCCAAGGCTGCCAGGACGCCATCGCCTGCGGATCTGCTCAGCTCCCGCCTGAGCCTCGCAATTTGTTTGCTAAAGCCTCACCATCTTTTCCGAGCATCACACTCAGCTGAGTCCATACGATGCACCTCTTTCCGAGCCAAGGCGGCAGGGCACATGTGATCATCCTCCCCGCCTGTGCATGCTCGTGTTCACCTTTTCCTTTTTCGACAACGCTACTCTATCCAGGCACCAGGAAGCCAGAGGTCCAACAGCGACAGACACTGGGACACCATGTCAATGCACACTGGAACTTATTATTAGCTTGCAAGTCAAATATACCCGGTGGATGTTAACGCTTCGACTACCGGCATCTTTACCCCGGGCGTTCGAGTCGACCATCCTGAAACACTCCGCAAGGCTGGGCTGCCACTACCCCATGCACCTATACAGGTTTCTGTCGATGCTGGGCAGTCTCACTTCTGGTCGATCCCCTGCAGCAAACTCCCCAAAGGCGGTTCAGGGCTTGTTTTGACATGTGAGATGAGATGATGTGGTCCAGCATTGGTTGGCTTTGCGCATGATGCCCCTCTCGTGTTGCCTGGTGTCTAGAACTTTCAGATGAGCATGATGCCTGTGACCGGTTTCCAGCCAAGCTACACTTGTCCAACGCACCATTCAGCCGTAGCTGAAGATCAAGGCCATGTTTGGATGTGAAGCAGGCTGGTATGAGAGATGTCTCGTCGAAAACAAGATACTTAAAGGCTCAGACTTCCAGCGGAAGGAAGACTGAATTCTTCTCTCAAGTTGCTTCCTTTCCAGCCTGACCGTTGAGAATCTACCCGCCAGACCAACCCTCGAGTTGGCTTTGTTTCGCATCCAATATGTCTGATGATATTGTTATCAACGGCCGGACTGTGGCTAGCTCTGATCTGCAGTCAGACGCTGCCGACTCGAACTATATCTTGGTTCGCACCACAGGTGACCCCTTGAACAAAGCGCAGAAGACCGAACTGAAGGGCCTGGGAGTTGAGATCCAGGAGTTTGTCGGGAACGAAAACGACCAGCTGTATCTCTGCGGATACAAGCCCACGTCTCTGGACCAAGTCCGTCACCTGGACTACATCAGCTATGCCAATATCTACTCTCCCACCTTTGTGGTGCCGGACGTCCTACAGTCTACTACGACCACACCAGCGTTGAGAACCAACGAGGAGACTGACGGCACCGTCGAAGTGGATGTCCTGCTTCACCACGACATCAAGGAGGCATCCGAGGACATTTTGAGCAAGATTGCAGAAGCCGGGAGCGTGCAGACGTCAGCCATCTCGGTCGAGCCAGGCTTCATCAGGGTGAAGGTTGACCCCGAGAAACTGGACAAGATCGCCGCGGTCGACGAGGTGCGGGTCATTCACCCGATCAATGAACGCCGACTTTTCAATAACGTTGCTCGTGGCATCCTGCGCCTGGATGGGCAAAGTGGCAGCAACACGTCCTACAAGGGAAAAGGCCAGGTTGTGTGTGTAGCAGACACGGGTTTCGACAAAGGCAGCCAGACCGACGTGCACGACGCCTTTCTCGGTCGTGTGAGGAAGCTCAATCCGTGGGGCCGAAGGAGATTGAACCTTTCAGATGACCCAGATGGCCATGGCACTCATGTGTGCGGTTCCGTCCTAGGCAGCGGCCAGCATAGCTCACAGGGTCTGATCCAGGGTGCAGCCCCCGAGGCGACTCTGATTATGCAGTCGACATTCAGCGGTTTCGACTCGAGACGCCGATCCCAACTCGGAGGCATTCCAAACGACATCAGTCAACTGTTCGATGAAGGCTACAAAGCCGGCGCGAGAGTCCACACAAACTCGTGGGGTACTCCGTTGTCAGCAACAGGCGTGCAAAACCCTTACGATGGTGGTGCCGAGAGTATCGACAAGTTCGTTTTCGAAAACCAGGACATGACCATCCTTTTCGCCGCCGGCAATGACGGGCAAGACTCGGACCTTGATGGCAAAGTCAACGAGCGCTCGCTTGGTGCTGAGGCTGCGGCCAAAAACTGTATTACTGTCGGGGCGTCCGAGAACAACCGCCCTGACCTCCAGTCTGGCGAGGCAGGCCGGGCATACACATATGGCGGCTTCTGGCTTCGGGACTTCCCCAAGAATCCTCTGAAAGATGACCACCAAGCCAACAATCCGGAAGGGCTTGCAGCGTTCAGCAGCCGTGGACTAACGGCGGAGAATCGCATCAAGCCAGACATTGTCGCCCCAGGCACCGCCATCCTCTCGGCACGTTCCAGAAACCAGAAATACGATGACGAAGTCAAGATCATGGGGGAGTCTGGTGATGATAGGTACATGTATCTGTCGGGCACGAGCATGGCCACGCCTCTGGTGGCGGGTTGCTGTGCCGTTCTTCGAGAGGCGCTGCTGGCCCACGGCTACCAAGATGAGCAGAATGGCGTCAAGAACCCCACGGGCTCGCTGATCAAGGCTCTGCTGATCAACGGCGCAGTGCCCATCAAAGGACAATACATGCCCAAGGAGGTCGGGGACGAGCCCAACCCGCATTCCGGCTTCGGACGTGTCGACGTGTCAACCTCGGTGGTCGACCCTGCCGAAAAGTCCTCGGGATATGAAATTGGAGCCATCGAGGACGACGAAGAGCCAGTCACGTTCAAGATCACCGTCCCCCAGACCGGGGGTCGCACCCTGAAAGTCACCCTGGTGTACGCCGACGTTGCCGGTGCCGCGCTGGCCAATGACCTGAACCTGCTCGCCGTCGCGGGCGGCAAGGAGCGTCACGGCAACCAGCAGGATCAAGAGTTCGACGTCGGCGCGACCAGGACCTTTGACCGCCGCAACAACGTCGAGCAGATCATCTGGGCCCAGATCCCGGGTGACGAGGTCGAGATTGTCGTCAAGCCGTTCCGTCTGTTTAGTGAGCGTGTGCCCTTTGCCGTGGCGTGGAGGTTTTATTAGGAGGTAACCTTGAAGGGACCTTGGGGCTGTGTGTGTCCGACAGGTTGTCGCGTTGATTGTTGTCTCCGTCCTCTAAGGAAGTGAGCAAATGAATTCATTGAGTGAAAGTCGGACTTGATCTATATAGCTGATAGTCCAGGACGAGGAAACCCATCTTTCAGTACTCGTCAACGACATGCTATGCTACGTGACTACCTACCTATCTGAGTATGTAGATAGGTATTCACTGCATTCATTACTCAAGTTTGTGCCTGCCTGCCTGCGTATCTGAGCATCTACGTGTCTGTACCTGTATCTGTCTCTGTATAACTCAACTGCATTACCTCGTACATGTAAACTTGTAAACATGTTCTGTATTCTCGTTCTCTCATTTCTAGTCTAGACTACTTGCCTACCTGCCAACCTTCCTTACGAGTCGTACCCGACGCCACTGCATTCGTCATATTAACACACACACACACACACACACACACACACACACACACACCACACCGAGACAGCTAGACACTGACAGGCACAGAGGG